ATTAAGACCGTTCAGCCGTCTGTTATCGCGGCGGACTTCTTCTTCCTACAAGGAAGAGATGCTGCATACAACACGGGATACACCGCGATTTTGATCAATACTACGTCCCTCACTCACATTGTTCTTGGATTGCAGCCACAATCCGCTGCGCTGTGGAAATATCCCTTGTGAGTTGATGTCCTTAGCCCTTCAAAAGTTGCAACCACTGACTACAGACTAGGCCGGGGACAGGATTTCCATACCCTCTTCCATGGCATCTGGTTCCACTCAATGCTCTGGCTGTCATCAAAACGGCAAAGATGTACCATGGAAGTGGGCGGCGGCGTGAGATTCGCGAGTGGAGGATTCGGCACAAGATCCACGGTCGGTTTCCGTTTGCTGATGCCTGGAGGCCCGATCGATTCCATCTTTCCCCGGCGCTGAAAGAGCTTGACTGGCCTATGGAGGTACCAGATAATATTCTTCCATGTGGCCCGATTTTACTCCCCACGGCTGCGGTTCACAAACAGGACCCCGAACTGGCAAGTTGGCTGCGAAAAGCGCCGACGGTGTTGGTTAATCTTGGGACGCTTTATGCGCCCGACCCAAAGGTTGCAGAGAGTATTGCAACAGGTCTCAAGTATTTCCTTGATGCCTGGAAGGGTGAGGAGATACAGATTCTGTGGAAGCTTCCCAAACACCCGCATGATGAGGATGATGTATACAGCCGGTCTATCCAGCCACTGAGGCAGGAGACTGAAGCCGATCACGTTCGTATTCACCCATGGTTCTCCGTTGAACCCATGGCCATGCTTCAGACTGGGCAAATTATCTGCTCCGTTCACCACGGTGGAGCGAACTCTTGGTACGAGGCCATCCAGTGAGTCCTCCTTCGCCTACCCTTCATACAGGGTAGCCGCTAACAGGTATAGAAATGGTGTCCCCCATGTGGTTCTACCGGCATGGCAGGATTGCTATGAGAATGCTGCCCGAGCGGAGTGGCTTGGAATTGGGGTGTACGGCAACAAAGCCCAAGCCCCGAATATTAATGGCCGGGAGTTAAGCAATGCCCTTTTGAAGGTCATGAGTGATTGCTCATATAAAGAGAAAGCGCTTGACCTTGCCAAGCTATGTCAGAAAAAGGAAGGGCGTGTGGCAGGCGCGGAAAAGATCGTTGAGCTGGCGCGCAATCCGGACTTGATGGCCATGCACATTCCAGATGTGAAGATCGATGATACTCAGTGTCAGCTCAGCGAAATCCGGAACCGTTCTGGAATGGTTCTCCAGTCAGTCCAATTGTCTCAGCCAGCAGGCAAACCAACGGCTAAGTAGATCTCCCCAGCCATATCACCACTGTCGTGCCTTTTGGTTGTAACTAATCCCTGAGTGATAGGCCCTTCCTTAACGATCTTGCAGAGGCAGCCCTGATGACCGCGCTGTGCAACACTTGGTTCATTTTACCCTTGCTTGGATATTCACTTCTTTTGATACCCCGTTTGCGATTTCTGGTTTTGATCTACATCATCTATATCAAGTATTTTTCCAAAGCACACCAAGCGGGTACCCTTCCTCTACGGAATGATAAGTTCCGGAGGTCTTGGATCTGGAAAATCCTTATATCCTACTTTCCCCTGAGACTCTATCGTTCGGTATCTCTCTCACCACGGAGGAAGTATATCTTCGGCTACCATCCGCATGGTGTCGCTATCCGAGGAGCTGTCGGCGCATTCGCCGCAGACGTGGCCGGGTTCTCCCAGCTCTTCCCTGGGATTACCAATACCCTGTTGATGAAGGATAGTGTCTTTTCTCAACCACTGCTTCGAGAATATCTCCTCTCTGCTGGGCTCAGTGGTGTCTCTCGAACTTCATGCATCAGGCATTTGACACGGGGAGGCCATGACGGTCGGGGGATGGGCCGTGCCATTACCATTACTGTGGGAGGGAGTCGTGAATACAACGTCGCTCGACCGGGCACCATGGGGGTCGTTATCAAAATTCGTAAGGGGTTTATCCGAGTCGCCGTGGAAACTGGTGCCGACATCGTGCCTGTGGTGGCGTTTGGGGAGAATGATATCTTCGACCGCGTGGACGTCGAATCAAAGTCCGTGCTCAGATTCGCCGCACGACTGTGGGAATGGTGTGTTGGACACAAAGTAGCGTTCTCTATTGGCCGCTTCAACATCTTCTGCCCTTATCGTAAGCCGTTGAATGTCGTCGTGGGAAATCCCATTCCCGTCACTCAACAACGATGGGACCCAGATGAGAAATATATCAATCAGTTACACCAGCAATACATGAGAGAGTTGGAACGACTGTGGGAGAGCTGGAAGGACACATTTGGAACTGATAAGTCAGTGAAATTCGAGTTGGTGGAATAATTCTTCATTGATCTGTATCATAATCTCTCCCTACGCTCGGGCATTTTTCCTCCCAGTCATGCACACTACATGTCAAATTACCATTCTATGCCTAAGCCTTTTTAAGCCTATTAAAGCTTCGACTTATTGCACTAGTGCCACGACCAATAGCTTGTTATTGGATGAATGGTCTGCCTTGAAGCGCTGGACTGGGGCCGTGGGGCGAGATCGGATCGGATCCTTCCCAGTCTTTCTTCAGAGTGCCTTGTCATGGTCTAAGACCAGGCTGTGTGCTTTGACATTTCAGGCGTACAGTCTTAAGCGAGATTAGGAATGCATTAAAGTAATTTAGCTCGCGTGGCGGAGTTCCGAAGCTCGGGCTGTGATTAGAGACATTTGTATACGAAGGTTAGCAACATAGCCTCAACAATCCTTCGGCCCCCACGTCAGCGTCAGGAATGACCAACACAACAAGCGCTCGGATATTTTTCTCTTTTCTTTTCTCCTTTTTTTCAACGCATGGAGATGTTGGGCTCGTTGAGCTCTTGCAATAAAATCAACAAGGGGCCCCGAAGTCAGATTGTCGTCGCCGTATACCCTTTCCTCATCTAAATCTCCAATGAGCTATATTCCTTCTCATGGCGAAGACAGACCGCAAGACGCCGGTCGAGGGCGCTTCGATCCCATTGTCCAGTTCTCCAAGTGATGATGGTGCTTCGTCTTCGAGAAATACCAACCATGCGGTGTTGATTACGTGGAGTTCTTTCGTGGTCACGATCCCCATCCTCGCACTCACCGTGGCATTCCTGGTGCTGGTATTCAAGTATCGTGTGAGCCATGGAGATCCTCCTTTCGAGAGCCTTCGCATGCCCGCGGAGAATGACGAAGCAAGCGCACTTTATGTCAATATGAACTCGAGTGTCCTTCTGTTCTTAGCTTCCTGGGCTAGCTCTGTCGCTACGATGCTGTCCGGGTTTATGTTAACCCTCGCCTCGTTTCCCATAGCACGGCGTTTCTTCCAAGATGTCCAGAGCTCTCGTGTGGATCGCCTGCCGACCCCATACCAATTGGCACTGACGTTGAAGTTTCTGGATGGAAGCACCCTCGCCGCGATTTGGGGGTGGCTCGTCTATCTCGTTTCGTGGAGAAAGACGCGTGCGCCGCTGGCACCTCCCTTGACCACCGCTGCATCGGTTGCCGTACTCGCAATACTGCTTGGGTAAGTTCTCCCGATCTGCTGAAGGTTGCTTGAGATGTTCTGACACCCGGAGAGGTTGCTGGTCGCCCTAGGGGATACCTGGCTGCATCTTACCACCACTACTGTGGAATTCACTCAAGTCAAACCGGTCAGCAACCAGACGGACTATGGTTTTGGACTCATACCTGAATGTCTTACGAGCAACAACTCGGTGGCAGCGCAGAGCGGAGAGCAAATTTTATGTAGCGTTTCCCTAGCGGTTACAGGCAGTTTCCTCAGAAACGGAACGGTGTCTCTGGGGGTTCTGAACGACATGTCGGACCAGGCGACTGTTTCGACGTATACCGACCCACAGGCGAACAAATACGCCTACTTGCAAGCACCGGAAGGGGCATCGCTGTCCAACCGAGACTATACGGCGAAGACATACGGAGCGAGGACACAATGCGAACTGATATCGACGAAGTGTAAATTGAAAAACAACGCGTCGGTCGTCACATACAACTGCTCCAGTGACTTCGCCGGCAGCTTCACTCAAACTGGCTTGAAAACGGCATTCTTCACCAACGCCAGCATGGCCGAAGATATGAGCCAAAGCATGTACAACAAGGGTGTGGGCAACCCATACTACTTTGCGGCGGGCAACATCATGAGTCTGGCCGGTGGAGAAGCGCCGAACTCCACTGAGTTTCTCAAGAGCCTTCACGGCCCATATGCGTTCATCCTGGGCTGCAACACGACGATCTACGACATTGAGTACGACCGGGTGAACAACACGGTAACGCGGTTTGTCCCAACTATCAGCAACACCTCTACGAGCAACGTCTGGCAGACGAGCATCTCACACCTTAACAACTGGTATCCTACGATCGAACAGACGGCGGGAGCAGCCATTTTGAGTGGCTCTGCCCAGGTGTTTGTGGACCAGATTGCCGAGTCCTTTAGTAAAGTCACCATCGCTCTGGGGGCGGACGCAGTCGATGCACGACCAGCAATAGCGGCACAGGATCGCGAGTCATTTCTCGTGGCGCGGCTCCCGAAGGCTCCTTTCATCACGTTGGTCGCGGTCAGTTTGTTGTACGTACTCTGCGGCTTGACTTTCGTTGTGCTCGCCCTGGTGGCTGTCCGACATAAAATACCAGATATCCAAGCGCGCATGAGCATCGCTGGCCTGGTTGCAGATCGATTTGGGGATCCCTCTTCATGGAATAAGAATACAAGCGTGGACGAGATGTTCGAAGAGCATTCTGGGAAGTCTGAGAAACGGGTTGCTATTGAGTCGCCGGATCTTGGCGGAGCCCATCGATTCACAACCCAGACGGTGGAATCGACTGTTGTTCACTGATCGGCAAGGTAGATAGATGGATTGAATCGTTCCCTAGGTGCATGGCTAGCTAGGGCTTGAAGAATACGTAATGTTTATTTGGATTTTCTTTTCTTCCTCTTATTTCCCTTGGCGGACGTACCGGAGCCCAAATATAGAGAACCATTTCCTAGAAATAGCGCCCCCCTAGGCCTTTTTAAGCATGTCCGATGAGTATCTATGATATACGAAGTCGACCTACACGGCCACCTGGGAGCTCTTGGTCCTTGACCCGGCCAGACATCTGCAAGAGCTGCCCATCACGTCTCTACCAGAGAGTGATGCATTCTACGTGCCAGGAGTGAAATTTGAGCACGGTGGCAACAGACGAAACACACTTGCAGATCCTTTCCTGATAGCAATGACGTGTGCGAGAGTGTTATTGGGTTGGAGTCGCCCAGAGAAGTGCTCCGAAGATAAGGTTAAACTGGATCCCCAGTTTCCATGGCCCAGCAGCCCCAGGATTCAGTCCCCGCGCTGCTGATCGAGTCGCCGCCAGAACGTGCCAGCAATGAGCATGCAGCTTGTGCCAAGCTATCGGAAATTCCAGGAAGTCTCTGCGTTTCGCATCCTTCCGTGGACAGCCGCGGTCCAACCACGGACCCTAGTCGAGCAGTAGCTTTCAGGGGCCACGTTTAGTCTAACGCCAAGACAGACGCGTTGATTTAGGAGCTCCAGCTCAATTCCGTGAAACAAATCCTTTGTCTCATTTTCTCTCATCGCGCTCGTCGATGGGTCTTCATGTCGCTGTATGCCGATAGCGGTGGAACAGGGGATTCCCGACAGCGCTCATCATGCCCTGATGTCGGACAGTGGAAAGAACAGTCACTATAATCCTTTTCGCACCGAGTCCAGTGCGGAGTTCGCCCTGGAATGTACCGTGGCGACGTTTATCGGCATCGCATGGTATAATTCCATCGAACTCGTCGTCCTGTGTTTCACCACATTCAAACGATATGGGGGATGTTATTTTTGGAGTCTGGTGATAGCCTCGATCAGCATCGTCCCCTTCGCACTGGGCTATGCGCTACTCATCTTTAAAATCTTCCCCAGTTACTTCTCTGTCGCCCTCGAGGTTGTTGGATGGTGGGGCATGGTCACCGGCCAATCCATGGTTCTGTGGTCTCGATTACATCTGGTCGTTCACAGCCGCAGGATTTTGCGCTGGACCTTGATCATGATTATCACAGATGCCATTCTGTTTCATGTCCCTGCGTCGGTCCTTGAGTTTGGCGCTCATTCCGACAACCATCCCGATTTCAATCCGGCCTTTGACATCTTCGAACGGATTCAGCTAGTGGCCTTCTCCGTGCAAGAGATTGTATTATCGGCCATCTATGCTTGGGCCGCGATTGAGATGCTGAAGCTAACGCCACGGGGCCAATATAAAGGCATCCTGGTCCATCTCCTGCTGATTAATTTCGTGATGATCAGCATGGACGCGGCGGTCGTGGGGGTGCAATATGCAGGCTTCTTTCGGATCCACGTATCCCTGAAAGCCATGTTCTACAGCGTGAAGCTGAAGATGGAGTATGCAATTCTGGGAAGACTGGTTCATGTCGCTGCCGTTCCGGTGCATGCCCTATCGAGCTACACTCCGACCGAACGATCCAGTTCTGTATCACACACATGAGACTTTTTGGAGGTGGATATATCCTGGGTATCATCCCCAACGAATGGCGGTGCTCTTCTCATGAGTCCGGTGCAACCTCTCCAGAGATGCGACTGATGTTGGTTGCAAAGTCGAAAGGTCGCTACTCCTGAAACGCACAGAGCTCTGCAACGGAGATCCATATAATGTCAGTTTGCTCGCCATTCAATTCACGGAGAAACTGTGAGCTCGTCGGCCTGGAGTGACTGAGCGCAGGTGAACGGCTCCCTGAGTAGTGTGAGCGAAACATTCGCGCTGAGTGTGGGAGTAAAATCATAGGGCTTTCCCCAGGGAGGCCAGTATGATGCTTAGCCTTTTCCTGTGACAATATTACATGACATCGGTATCGCAATACCTGTGAGATGCACCCTACAGTGGGAGTTAGTTGGATATGCCTGGTATCGACCGATATGATGTGTTAGATTGGCCCTCATGGTATGGGATGCGTGTACATACATATTTTCCTCTTTCTGTCTAGCTGTATATAGAATTTGACCGATACCCATGTTCATCTCCTCCCACCCTGATTAGCAGAGGCAATGTACCATATGCAGTGTCGCATGGATTCGATCCGGAGGTTGACTCTTCATCTCGAGCAATGCAAACTTATATACAATCGAATTGCAGATGATGGTGCAGCCTGTGGCAGCTATACACTTCCGCTGTTGCAAACCGCGTGAAGGTGTTGCCAGACAAGGTGCAGGTTCTGGTGCTGACGGGGAGGCTCCAGGAGACGATACACGGCGCTCAACTTGTCGTCCGGCTCTACCGTCCGATTGACTGTAATGAACTCCGGCGTTGTCCTATTCTGCACAGGGTGAGGCAGGAAACCTAGTGCAAACGCCGCTCTAAGGCCAAGAGGGGGCTGCATTAGACTGCGAGACTACTTTCGTCCTCTCTGAGACTCATTTCAATCCCACATGCGATGATGTTTCGTACGAGCAAACGGACAGCCCGGTCCGTTATCTGGAGGCTAGTAGTTGAGCAATATACCTGAAGCCTCAAGAGGAAATCACTAACTGTGGTGCTTCAGTGCTGGAGAGCTTGGATACTCTACGTAGATCAACACGTGCGAGGTGACCAGAGCGCACCCTAATTATAGGTATGCGTCAAGCTAGCCATTGGCGGCATAACCATGCAGGAAAAGGCGTAAAAATAATTAATATGACATGACAACAAAGCTAAAGACAAGAAAATGTCAAACTGTTACTCTATTCAGTCCCATCCTTGGCTATACGCAGATTGCTCCCATGTGAATTCTAGTTAAGGGGGAGTATCACATTAAAGTACGAGTAGAGACTTTGTTTGGCAGCATCACTGAATAGTCGAGAGAGTGTTCGATGTTCCTCGCCAATGCATATTTTTTATTCCCTATGATCTGCATGCGCGCTGTGAGTTATCACCACGGTTACTACCGGGCTGCTGAGTGGATCTATGGAGGAAACCATGGCTGATCTCATCGTAGCATAACCGAAAGGCCTCTGGTATCTACCAGTTAACAAAAGTACGATTTGTCTAGCGGCTTCAAAGAATCATTATCCTTGTTCCGCGAAGCGCTCCACATCGACTGCACGTCTTATACGATGATGTTTGACCCACACACGGGCAACTTTCTCCACCACTTATGCTCCTGTCCGAATGCAGGAAAAGATGGTAATCTTTTCAGGTTTGACCCCCTGTTCGTCCGGGATCCATGGACGTCCAGGGCAGCCGTCGGCCGCCGAGACCGTATCTCCAAAGCAGCTATGAAGATCTTCTCCAATTTCAGGCACCACAGCTTAATAGTCCTGTTGATATGTCATATTAACGTGTATCTGACAGGTGGAGGCTTGACCCACAATCGCCTGATGCGAACCATCTTCTTAGTTAAGAGAAACGCAGAGAAAAGAACCAAAAGCTGTAGCCAGCTGTCGACCCCTAGGGCTAGATAGAGGCCCGAAAGACACCCCTTTACACGACCACAATAGACATGTCATTGAAAGAAGAACAAAAGGGAATAGAACTTGATTGCCCACAGATGGAGTATTTAATTGTAGAGCAACATGTGATCGTATGCACTATTGTCCAAAATACACATCTCGTAACAGAAATCGAGTCGTGAAATTACATAACCCCATCCAACGTTAAGCGCTGACTGCCAGGTCTGTACGCTCCCGCATCTTGACAGGAATATCCTCGTGTCTGACAAACCATGAGTTGGTGACATGCCACGTGTGATCGAGGCTAGCAAGCTCCATCTGAAATACGCTGTTAGTAGTGTCTTACCAGGAAGCGAGGGGAAACTGACCTCAAAGGTACTGAACAAAGTCGCAATGAGTTTGTAGCTTTCGAGTTGGGATAGATATCGCCCCATACACATCCGGGGGCCAGCCCCAAAGCTGAAGTCAGTACTCTTCATTTTAGAAAATCGTGCTTGGTAAGCTTCCTCGCTTTCACCCGAGCTTGGCAACCAACGCTCGGGGATAAAATCCCCAGTGTTGGCCCCGAAGACGGCCTCATTCTTGTTGATCACCCAGGGGTTCATGCCAACAATAGTTCCCTCGGGAATGAAACGTCCGTCGGGAAGAGTAAAGCCACCTTCAGGAACAATCCGCTCGAGCATGAGGCCAACACCAGGGTTAACTCGCATGGACTCACGCATGACGGCGTCAAGATAGGTGAGCCCCTGCAGGTCCTTCCACCTGGCTGGGAGAGGGAGTTTAGCCGCATACAGTTCATCACATAACTTTCGATGGACGCGAGGATGCTTCAGGATGTGGTAAACCGCGGAGCACATCGTGCTGCCGGTCGTATCACTACCAGCCAAAGTGTTGGACAAGAGATAGCCGACGACCGTGTTATCATTGACGAGATCGGGGTACTTCTTCTTGGTTTCCAAGAATTTGTCAAGGAAGTCCGTGTGGTTGCTCGGTGAAGTGCCACCGCTCAGGCGCTTCTGGAGTTGCTCGAGACTAAAGATATTAGCCCAGACAAAGGTGGGCGGGCCGAGACGGACGATTGGGTTCTTGTCTAGAAGCAAGTCTAAGACCGGCATCTGAGAGATCTGCAAGGGTCAGCTGCGTCCAGGCGCAAAGGAGGTTGATTGATCTCACCGGGGCGAAGTAGTCGAGGCTCTTGTTCGATCGGCTTAGAAAGCCTTGATGGTCCGAACCAGCCTCCAGGATGCCCAGGTTTTCAGAGAAAGTGATTTCACTCATAACATCCCATGCAACTATCGGGACCCACGGATCAGTAGAGCTGATGGAAGACGTATCGTCGGTGACTTACAGAAATTAAGGTAGTCAGCCATGTCGCAAGGGCGGCCCTTTTCCACAAATCGCTCCCGCAGTATATCCATGAACAATTTAATGGTCATATCTACGCCAGGCTCCATCTCCTGCACCTTGGTCATTGAATAGAGCCCCTTCACTGGCCGGATGTACGTCGAGTGCCATTTCTCATCTTGATTCGAGAAGAGGTTCTTCAAGCGCACGCCGGAGACAATCACGTCGTTCACATTGTACATATTACTCTGATGATTGGGTTAGTTAGGATAGTATCGGTTACGACGCAAGTCAGGGAAACGAACCTTCATCCACGGATTCTTCGAATTAAAGACATGAGGGATGAGGCTAGGGTCCGAGAGACTGAGAACGTTGGGACCCATCCGCACCGCAGTTCCATACTTGCGGTGCAGCTGGTTGTGTGTGATATCACAACGGCCCCTGAATACATCCTGGAGGCGCCACAGATTGGTAAAGCTAGCCCAGAATGGCCCTGGAAAGATCTTCAACGGGGACGAAAGGTAGTTCCAAAGAAGGTGAGAGACGCCCAGGATGATGATTGCCAATCCCAGGTTCATTACCAGCTCGTTGATAGATAACATGATTGTCTGATGGGTCGTTTCAGCGCACTGCACTAGGTATGCAGCGTTCCAGGCACTTCCCTGTCCGTTCTTGACCTGTCTACATTCGGGGTAGATATACTTAATGTCGGACTGGAGAATGTGGGGGGAAGGATGATATGACACCCGGGCTCGTGCAGCAGGGTACGCCAGCTCCACAAGAAGGAGGAACGGGAGTAAACTCTCCGGACGACGGCGTACAATCTGGGATGCTCGAGTCTATCAGGCTTATTCTGCCTCGTCGCCATAGGAAGATGTCCGAGTTCGGCCCCATGCTCCCTGTGGGGGCATGATCAACAGTATTTTCCTTGATGTGTCTTCGTAGCCTCTATATCAAGCGGTGTTATAAGCGCACAGGGCGCCCGACTAATCGTACAGGGTGCCTGCTCAGTCCCTTAATCTAACTACTTAGAAAGGTCTTTGTGTCCCTAGGCGGGTAGCCCGTGGGCTCTTGAGGCCCATATAGAACGATATACGGAGTAAAATGGCACCTTTGTGTTCCAAGCGTGTGCTGTTTGCCGTTGGCGGCACAGGACGTTATTATCGATGTGTTGGCGGCCTTGCCATTTGTGGGTATATAACCGACACGGATTAATATCGAATCCTGTACGCTCTAGTCCCTACTATTGCGTAAAACATGTTGCGCTAATGGTGCCGATTGTGTCATGAGTGAGGATAGTGAAGCTGGCTAGCTGGCTTGGCGGTACTCCTGCGCAAACCCTGCTTGAAGTATACCAGAGGACGTGCTAAGGAGAAGACTAGTGTGGCAGGGTGCGAAAAAGATGTCGGTGGGATGAACAGGGCCACTGTAACAATGCCACCGCTGGTACCACTTCCTAGTTCAGTAGTGATCTGGTCTTATATCGTAACCTTGAAAGGTATCTCTTCCTATACCATCGAGTCATATCGACCAGGGCATTAAGATAAAACTGGCAGAATCCTAGTCAACAAACAAAGTCCCTGGCCCGCCAGCAGTCCAACGGTAGCCTCCCACAAAAAAGGTCCGACCCGCTGGCGGAGCGCTGTGGAGTCTGGACGGATGCCGATCCATGTCATATCCACTTCGCTAATGTTCGCTAACCGTGCGGGTTGGCTCATTGGCCATGGCATAGGTCCATTAAGGGCTCGTTCTATGACTCGGCTGTTCAGGATGTGCTCCTCTTATGGTAATCACCCCCTGCAGTGTGCGTATTTGACCAATATCGATTCGTCGAGCGGGGGTTTCATCCCAATGTTACTGCGGAACTTTATCCTTGCCACTATAAAGCAGCGGTTGATATTAGTTCGTCTTAAGTCGGGAGTGGCCCTTGCTCAGTGGAGGTTGTTCATGTCAATCTTTGCCGTTATTCGTGTTTCCAAGTTGGTACGTCTGAAGGATAAACCCACGTCACATACTCCGTATTATGAAAGAAAAAGAAAAAATGAAAATTAGAAAAAGGTACAGTTGCGCTGTGTGCGGCGCTACAGAGACTTGGCCTACAACATTCTTGAGGTTTGGACTCCCCAGGAGACAAAGCTCTGGGGGTGGAAGTTCACCTTTTACTCCGTACATTTACCCTGGTATTGGTAGCCCGGGACATCCGGGCGACTTGACAGCTTCTGCCCAACACTTTTCCGGCGAAGGTCTTTGTGGACATCCTCTGCATGCTTCCATATACCCCAATTCGCTGACGAGCCATGTCGTCGAAGGCGATTGACAACCAGGGTCCAACCATCCTGGCGGTGTGCTGGATCCTGGTCTTAATCCCGGCACTTATTGTCGCCCTCCGAATGTATTGCAAGGTGATGTTGAATAGAGGATTCGGATGGGATGATATGGTGATCTGTCTGGCTCTGGTCCGTGGCTTTCCTCCGATTTAACGCTACTTGATAACTGATCATCGACCAACAGGTGCTGCTCCTTGTCTACACGGCGCTCACCACCCGAGGCGTCCAGATGGGCGTAATCGGTAAACATGTTGGCGATATTGACGACCCCAGTAAAACGCCTGGAGCGCTAAAGTTGATCTATATTGGCATGATTATTTGTATCATCAGCTGTGTGCTCAGCAAGACGTCCTTCGCCATCACCCTATTGCGCATTGTGACAAGTACCTGGCAGAAGGCGATCCTGTGGTTCATCATCATCTCTATGAATATCATCATGTGGCTATGTGCCATTTGCTACCTGCTGCAGTGCAAGCCCGCGGCGGCACTCTGGGATGCCGAGCTTATGCCGACGGCGGACTGCTGGCCCAGCTATATCTTTCAGACGATAGCTCTTACTGCCGGGGGTACTATATAAGAAGCGCTTTAATCGAGAGGCGGTTCGCTGACATGTTTCTTAGCCTATTCCGGATGTATGGATTTCATATTGGCCTTACTGCCATGGTTGGTGATTTGGAAGCTCCAGATGAGGCGACGCGAGAAGCTAGGCATCGCAATTGCGATGAGCTTGGGTATCTTGTACGTGTGCTCTGCATCTCCAACTGCAACCAAGTGAAGTACTGACATGGCCATTTCCCAGTGCGGCAGCGACGGCCTTCATCAAAACCACGAAGCTAACCAACGTGTCAAACGTCGCCGACTATACATGTATGTCTCTCTGCCTTCCTGTTCCCTTGTTTGACTTTGTGCTAATGCGGCCATAGATGCATGTTCGGAGATTCTCATCTGGGCATCGGCTGAAACAGGTCTGACCATTTTTGCCGCCTCGATTCCTTCCCTCCGGGTGCTGTTTGTCCGGATCAGTTCCTCCTACAATCACAGTGACGAGCCATCTTCCTATGCCTACAGCAGCTCCGCAAAGAGAAGCCGGAATCGCCGGGGCCTGGCTGGGTCTCGCCAGCGAGATCCTTACTACAGTGGGGAGACTATCATCCTTCCCGACCGACGAGACGACAACAGTGCTAAAAGTATACTTGGGAGCTCCGGGATTAAGCAGACGCAAGAGGTCATCGTAACATACGACCAGGGCCCAGAGGAGAACGAACAGGTGGCAGATAGGCTGGATGTTTTGCGCTCAGAGTCACACCGTTAGGACGGCTGTCTATGTATTATATTGCGATTGGCAAGCGTGTGCACTACCCTGGGTGTTATGACTATGGTCAGACAAAATAAGATGATATCAATCGCCAATAGAAGCCCAACCAGGGACGAGTTCTCCTGGCCAACTGAAATGAAAGCTTGACCACGCATTTGACACCGATCGCTCCCCACGATCAACCGTATCGCCAAAACCAGCCAGGGAATCAGTGATGACTTTGGTTCTTTTGGGGAAATTTGCGCCTGATCTCCTCCTCAGTGAATCGGCGAGTCTTAGTGCGCAGCATTTCCGCAATTTCGCTCTGCTCCATCCCGATCTGATCTCCCAATGGAACCAAACACTTGGCGAGATGGAGATAGTCCTTCCGCATTAGTCTCACGGTGATCATAATGTAGTCGATGTTGCGGAACACCAGTGCATTCTCGGTGGTATATCGGTCCTTCTGTTGCAGGAAGGCCACGGGGTGCTCCCTCCAGTGGCGGCGAGGATTCAGGTGATGGGAAGTGTGATAGCCATCGTTGTAGCAGAAACGGTTACTCTGCTCCTGTTAGTTTACATCGCGGGAAATCAGACCTCCGGCGCTTGCTTACTGCAACATCGATCAATGTAATGCTCGAGCGAAAGTCCGAGTCCGGATCAACCTCGTCCACAAAGGCATGCTGCCCCCAGTTGCCCACCATCAGCCCCAGGCGCAGTTGCACAAATGGAAGGACGAAGCAAAAGAGCGTTGGTTTCCACCCGAGATATTTCCAGGCCCAGTACATCGACGCCATGCTGAGAATCTCCCACGCCCCCGCCTTGAACGCACAGCGAAGATTACCCTTGCGGAAAAAGTAACGGGGTAGCTCGAACCAAATACACAGCAAGAACCGGCCAAAGTAGCAAAGAAAGTCGAACAGGTCATCCCGTTGATACCGGATGGTCGACGAGAGATCGTCCGGCCCATTGCCCTCCACATGGTGGTGCTTGACATGGTGATAGTAGTAGCTGTTCCAGGTATGTCCCATCAGGCGATCTGTGATATAGGGGAATGTCATGTCCAGCCAGCGGTATTTCGGCTTCAGCACTCCGCCCATATGGATATGCTGGTGCATCAACAGGGTATATGTCCCGGTATAGTAGCTTTGCATGAGCCAATGCAGGACCCCATGGGTCCAGCTGAATCTATAATATAAGAGGACTGCGCTGGGGACGGAGGTAGTGAGGTAGAGCAGAATATGGGACAGCATCACCACGTCGGTCTCATGGCGAACAATTCTTCTTGCCAGGCCGATGTAGGGCTGCAGAATCCACCTGTCGAGCCAAGGGTACAGGCGAAGATCCCTGAGGTCCCATGTAAACACAACGCTGGGCTCGAAGTCTGAATGCTGAGGATCATTCAACGCCTGCAGTTTCTTGACCGTCTCTTCATTGTGAGACGTCCTACTTTGTATCACGGCTTCACCATCTACCAGTCATCTTTAGAGTCTGTGCCTCATTGGGGACTGGGGATGGGAGTGGACTTACCTTGTTCCTCTTTCTTCCATGTTTTAATATCGTCCAAAAGGTTCTCCAAGACTAGCACATCGCTAATCGTCAAATTAGGATCAAGATCCATGGCACCGACGCGGCTGGGTTACTGTCTTCTTTTCTACCTGGACAGCTGGAATTTTTTTGCGATCAGCAAATCAGCTGACGTCATTATTTGGCTTTTCCTTTCGTACTTTAGTATTTTTTTTTTTTTTGCCCCTCCAGATACGCTTTGTTCGATCGCGGTTTTTACGTTTCCACTTTGGTGTAACTGCGCCTTCTTTACGTTCATCCGAGCCCGATATATGTGGGCATACGGAGAAAAAAAAAATAAAAAAAAAAAAAAGAGAAAAAAATAGGAGCCCCCTTTTCGTGTGGTCTGTGCTTGATTTCTATACGAACCAATCATGGCTAGACCTGGGTGGCTCCGTAATCTCCATAGTCTCCATAATCCTCAGGGGGAACTGGTCTATTGAGTCTTGAGTTGGACTCTATTCTTGGAGAGGGTCTCCAATGAACGCAGACGCCTAGTGAGTACGTCTAGGGGAACATACGATGCTATAAAAAGAATGTGTGTGTGCCGCCTCCTGGAATGCCAGCGCCGGAAACGGCGGTAACGATGAGAGGATACTTTATATCTCTCCCTCGCAGGACAGCCACAGTGATAGTACTCTCTGATGCGGTGATTTAGTGATCTTGGCGAATGCCCCCGTTCGCTTCATCTCAGCCCTACATGCGAGTAACGTAGGAGTCTCCATGAGAGTTTCGCATGCACCTTCCTGCTCACCGAGGGACATGCGATGGGCCTTAGCCGACCCATCTGGTATGATGTACTAACTATGGATAACCAAAAACCTCAATCTACCAGCCTGTTGCATACCGGACAGTCATGAGTCTCCCTGATCGGGTTGTTTTCCCCCCGAACGACGGCTTGCCGTGGCCAAGGCTTGACCGAATTCTCCGATGTTCTTCAACCGTTGAGTGGGGCCCGTAAGGCACGTCGGTCAGGGCTTGGCGTGCAGCGTGAGGGAGAGAGCAATTAGAGTATTTTTTCAAAGGTTGGCTCGGGGCCCGTTAGGAGTGGAGTGGTTGCAAATCATCGAGAGAGGTCTCCATTGATCGGTAAGCTAAGAACGCAGGTGTATCGAATTGCACGGTGGCAATCGCAGAGCGGGTCCAGACCTGCGAATTTTGCTGAATTGACGGGAAGGTCGAGCCGGCCAGAAACTTTTTGATCGTTGGCTAAGCCACTCACTTCCTCCGATACCAAAGGAGTACTCCACCAGATCGACTGCCTATTTTCCCTTCTACGAGACATGTTTCGATCGTAGAATCAAGGTTCTATCCAGGGTAAAGATGACGCCACAGACTGCACAAGAGGCTGACAAATGCTACTCTGCGACACGGTTTAGCAAGCAGGGGATAAGCCTGACTCAATTTCGGGGTGTATGAGACACGATATAAAAGCGGTCTTTGAACCTCTTCCGAATGCCAGTAATTCTCCCACAATTAAACAGCCCTTGGTATACACGGAATCATCATATTCACACCACGCGATGTCGCAAACTCGCATTCTTCTGACCGGCGCCACAGGCTACATGTGAGTATACTTCCTTATGCGTCGTTAGAGAAACACACTAATGAGACACAGTGGTGGCTCGGTCCTGACCACTCTCAAGACCAGTCCTGCCGTCGAGGTACAGAACGCTCAGATCGACGTCCTCATTCGCGGGCCGGAGAGGATTCCGGAGTTTGAAAATCTCGGTGTTGGGGTCATTGTCTTCAAGAGTCTCGATGAGACAGATTTCATTCGGAAGCTCGCGAGCGACTACGATGGTGAGCATTGGTAAAGGAACTCGGCGACGACAGATCTCTGATGGCATTCTATACCAGTCATTATCAACACCGCTTCCGCTTTCCACACAGAATCCGCTATCGCCATGATCACTGGTCTTCATGATAGAGAGACCAAGACAGGCCGGAAACCCCACTTTATCCATGTGAGTGAGGAGATAGAGAAGTTATTGAGGTCTTAACCGCTGACGAGTTGGCAGACCTCTGGAACGTCCAGCATTGCCGACCGCCCGGTCAGCAAAGTCTACCTCGAATCCCGAGAGCTGCACGATACCAACGATGTATATGCGTATCAACAGGCTCGCGAGGACCACGAAGCCTATAAACAGCGCACAACCGACCTGGCCGTCTTCCGCACGGGTCTTGATCTTTCCGTCAAGACGACGATCATCATGGCCCCAACCATCTTCGGCATTGGCACTGGTCCAGTCAACCGGCTCTCGATCCAAATTCCCGCGCTCATCCGTCGTGCCTTGCAGTACGGACACGCTGTGGTGATCGGGGACGGTCAGGCCGAGTGGGATCATGTCCACATCGCCGATCTAGTGACCCTGTTCGAGTTGGTTCTGGTGAAGGTGCTGAAGGGAGAGGACGTGCCGTACGGAGCCCAAGGATTGTTGTTCGCAGAAACGGGCCGTCATACCTGGATGGACGTATCTCGCGGCATTGCCGCAGCAGGATCCGAGTTGGGCTTACTAGCGACCGACGAAGTTCGTAGTGTGTCCCTGCCAGAGGCAGCCGCCTGGGCCGCCAATGGCAGCGAGCAGGTGCGCGAGCTAGGCTTTGCATCCAAGTGAGTCCCCTTCCCCCGTTGCCATCATCAGTGGTACTCACCCTATCCTAGTGCTCGATCGAAGGCTACGTTGAGCAGAGCCTTGGGATGGCAACCACAGAAGACAGAGACGGACTGGCACGGTGCATTCAAGGAGGACTTCGAAGCGATTGCCAAAACTGTGGTATAGAAAATAGTCTGTCTACTCATTTCATGTCGGAAACCGGGGGAGTCATGGTGCAGAATTTTCGTCTATCTAGCTTCCTTCACGCGTAGGTAATAATACAATTGTTTTGACCTTTGACATTCTCAATCCTGGATCTGGCTATCCTTCGACTCGCTCTAGTAGAGAGGCACATAGCAAGATGGTGTAGGATATCCTGGCAAAGATGTATATAAATGATAACGAAACCGAGTTTCAGAGTGAATTGCAGAATCCTTCCCTGTGGATTCCATCATGATAAGTACTTTTCTGTCTACACAGGCGGGTGAGTCTTTGCAATGTCTAGAATATTTATTCGGTCGACTCATCACTCTATATGCTCAGTTTCATATCAGTTCTGGTAGCATATTTTGTGCTGGGGCAAAGATGGGGAAACGCAGAAAACCGTATTATACCAAAGCGGAGTCGCTCTGACCAATGACATAGGGCAGAAAGTCTCCGGGACCGGATTTACAAAACGAGAATTGGATGACATGTGGATTATTAATTGATTCCAACATCCCCTCGCAATAAAACGAAGCAGCAAAACCGACCAAGGATATACTGCTCCCATGCTCTAACATACTTGATACAATGCTTCACGGCGACATGTCTCAACCGGCTCATACGTCAAAGACCCGAACTCGTACTGGCTGCGCCAACTGTCGCCAGAGTCGGGTCAAGTGTGACGGAGAGGAGCCCTGCACGCGATGCTGGCAGAAAGGCTGGCAATGCACCAGGGAAAAGTTGACTCTCAAATGGAAATCGGACTATCAGAGCCGTGGCTTGGCCTTCGGTCGGGAAGGAGTCTGGGGAAAAGGACCGTCGTCGAAGAAAAAGGCCGGTGTCATATCAACCGGGGAGCAGAATTGGTCTCCCAATAGCACCGTGTATCCGTGGAGCTTTGTCAATCAGGATATCTCAACAATGGAGTGGCTTTACGATGAGAAAGGAGCCCCCCGATACCCGTCATCTATGGAGATCAGTGTGATCCGCCCGAAGCGCGACAGGTTCGGAGTGGCAGAGCAGACTCCTTTGTGGTACTCGCCGCCTGTATTTCCCTACCCACAAGCGCAGAAGCACGCCGTCATGGTGGAGTATTTCATCGATCAGGTCTGTCCTCGAACGACGTCAAGTCTAAAGATCGCTTCTCCTTTCACGTCTGTGATCCTACCATTTTGCTTGAACGGCTCCGAGAACGGACTCGTAGCGCTCCAAGCACTGGCTGCGTGCTACTGGTCCCAATCTAACCCCGTGCATACAAGCACCGCAGTTCGATTAAAGTCCCACGTTCTGGGAGAATTACGCCGCAGGATTGTGGCTGAGCCCTCCTATACCATCTCCCCGGATCCCGAAGTGCTGGTCCTGATGATGATGCTGAGTCTATACGACATCGTCGACCAGTGCGACAAAGGATGGGTCGTTCACCTCCAAGGCGCGAAGGATATCATCCGGCTTCGGAGGAGAAACCTATCCAACCAAACGCAGTGTCCAGTGACAGCCTTTGCAGAACTATTCTTTGCGTTCCAGGATGTCATGGGCCGTACTGCGTGTGCCAAGGCAGATTTGTTCGGTCCTTCTTTCTGGGATCAGACTGACCGTTCCGTCAACCCGTGGATGGGATGTAGCCCTGAGCTGGTTTCTATCCTCTTTGCGATCCTGGATCTCAGTCGGATCCGCCCCAAGATGGACACGGACTTAGCCGAGGAGGTAGACTTCAGCATGAGAGCTTCTGCCTTGAATCGAAGATTGGGAAGCCTCGTGCAAGTCTTAGCTGATCCCGAAGACCGTGCCCTCCAGGCGGTTGCCGATCTCAAACGTTTGGCATGCACCGTCTATCTGCACTGCGCCTTGTACAACGCAGAACCATCTACCCCAATCGTTCGCAGTCTCGTTCGCAGGATCATCCAGCAATTATCCGCCTTGCTCAAAGAGAACCTCATTATCAATGCGACATGGCCTATTTTCGTCGCTGCCGTCGCGCTGGATCCTGCAGATGGAGAGAATTGGCCAGACCCGGTCACCGGGGAGCTGGTCTGCGGACGAGCTTTGGTCCTGAGAGCATTGGCGACGATGGCCCAATCCACCGTCACCAGTGTGGCGCGCGTCCGCTCCATTATTGAAACGGTTTGGCAGTCGCGAGACCGAGATTTAGCCACCGGATCGTCCGGCCGGCAATCCTCGCAGCACAATGACTGGGAATGGTATGTGGTCCCGCTGAGTGACGCACTGAGCCTGGTATAGTCATGTATCAAAGAATATATCTCTCTATCAGACGCGAGTGCATCGGCTCTGTCGCAATTCACTGTGGCATATCATCGGTGTTATCCTGATCTCCGACTGTTTCCACGGCCTGGAATAAGGTCAGTCTTCAATTTGCATGAGTCTCCAGTCTAAAACAAACGCCCTTTGTTATCGAGACCACTGGCGTCATGAGGAACCTACGCCGTCCTAGGCTGCAACCCCTCTACAGAGCAAGCAGGTCTCAAGACTTACAGCAAAGACTCTGGCCCGTCATTGCTGGTAGCTTCATGCTCGGGGTACTTTCGTGGGCCATTTAAGACTATCGTGATCGGGTGAACTTCGGTGAGAGAACAGTTCATGATCCGGTACTGGCTCGCGCTTGGACTAACACTCTCTATAGGAACCGGTGGCACACCACCCACCATTCGCAGCTGGTTCAAAGTCAACTGGTACCCGCACTGTGATTGAAGCCTCCTAGGGCCGGCGATTTGCGGTCCCCTCAATGGTGCCTCCTGGATAGGTAAGCCTCACAATCCGACACCTCCATATCACGGCGAGAATGGATGCTAACATAGCCCTTGATAGCTCATGGTATACGCGCCGCGAAACATTGAGGAGGTTGAGCTTGTTTCTCAAATCGCCCGAGCTGCGATTTAGGGGACGACGGGTACGAAGCTGGGTTTATCTGTCTCGTCGCGCCATTCTGAATTATTAGCAGACAACGGCTAGTTGGGAAAGCGTCATCGGATGCGCCGCGCGCAGGGCTCGAGTAGACAAGGCGAGATCTTAGCGCAGGAACTAAAGCCAGATTAAAACTCAAAGATATAGAGTAGAAATTAACGCGTCATATCATTTCGCTTTCTCACGTATGACGGATTTATGGCTCGGCCTCGGAGTTAAAGAAAATGGCCGTCTTACGAGTATAAGAACTCAACCATCCACTGCCGTTTCCCAGACTATTCATCGCGCCAGTTTATACTCTCACAGCCATGCCTCCGTTCATCACTCTCGAAGAACACTATGCCTCGCCGAAAGTGCGCGAAGCCAGCGCTGAAGCTCGTGCGCATTATGCCAACTTTCCACCTGCTATAATGTCCAAGTTGGAGTCCCTGGGAGAAGACCGTATCCAGGATCTCGATAAAGGAAACGTGTCGCTCCAAGTCATTTCCCACGGTCCGGGGAATTTATCGCCCCTTCTCTGCTCCGAAGTAAACGATGACCTGGCGTCTGCCATTGCCAGAAATCCCACTCGACTAGCGGGATTCGCCATGCTCCCGATGAGCGAGCCAGCTGCTGCTGTCGCCGAACTCGAGCGCTGCGTGACGAAACTGGGCTTCGTTGGAGCTTTAGTGGACAACCACCTGGACGGGCAGTTCTACGATGACGAACGCTTTTGGCCCATCTTTGAAAAAGCGCAGGAATTGGACGTTCCGATTTACATCCACCCGACTTTCGCGTCCGACTCCATGATGGAACATTATAAAGGGAACTACAGCGACTCGGTGGCGCTGGCGTTGAGCGCGTTCGGCTGGGCCTGGCACGCCGAGACCGGACATCATATCCTGAGGCTATTTGCCAGCGGTCTCTTTGATCGCCTGCCCAGATTGAAGATTGTGATCGGACACATGGGTGAGCTGCTACCTTTCCAATTGGATCGGGTTTTTGCGATCTCGGACCGATGGGGCAGAGAAAGAAGTTTTCGAGAGGTCTGGAGGAACAATATCTGGATCACGACCAGTGGCATGTTCTCATTGACGCCACTCGCTTGCCTTCTGCAAACGACGTCCATTGATCATGTGTTGTATAGCGTTGACTATCCGTTTTCACCGAATGAGAAAGGGTTGCGGTTTTTTGAGGAGATTGAGGCGAGCGGCTTGATCACTGGGGGGGACCTGGAGCTATTCGCATACCAAAATGCGGAAGCGTTACTCAATGTCAAGGCGATCCATGTCTGAATTCCCCCTTTTTTCACTCACGGGTCTATCGCGAAAGAGGTTGTTCATACGTGACACTGTTACTCTACATCATCAGGGACCGCTATGCCGTACGTTGGACACGCAGAATGACGCTGGCGGGTTGCTCTTCAGGAAACTGCTATACACCTGTTCAGTCGAGGTAAATTAGGGCTGACATAGCTTCTCTATTACCGCATCTAATGCAATGGACGCTAAGATTATAATACAATTGCATGTTCGGATATGCAACTGGGGGGGGGAAGATAGGAAGAAAAGAGATCTTCCGACGTGAAATGGTATCATTAACAGAGGGCAATAATTCAAGGAGAAAACAACGGCGTGAAGACAAGACAAATCTTGAGTAGGGCTCAATCTCGACCCTGCATATAGACAATGTCCTATGCCATAGAATTGGGACTCTGCGGCCATTGAGATGGTGCGGTATGGCTGGCGTAAGTGGAATAACTGGTGGCATCTTCGCGACTATCGACAGTACCGCGACGTTTGCTAGCAATGGGATGTGAAGCGATCAAGCTATGCTGGCTGGGAATGGACGAAGCCATCCGGGACCACATGCGGATGATCGGGCGCACGGTCGCAAGACTACCGGCGGTGATGCCTAAGCAAGCTTCTACGTTGGAGCAGATTGAGATCTGGGTGGTTGCGTCTGCGCACGGTCAGTGTGGTGAGGCAAGACAAGAAAGAGGCGCAACTGACGGAGAAAGTCTGGGCTCTTTGCTGAGCTGAGAAAAGGGATGCGGACGATCACAGCAGCGCTCGCTCTGCAGCCAAGAGTTAGTATCATAAACAGCAGAAGGCCCGGTGTACGGTTCCAGAACGAACATGCAACCAATCCCTAAGATCCCGGCCACGGCAAGTTTCGTCCGATTATCCATTTGAAGCCTCCAGATGAGGGCTACTGGAAGAAGGCCCATGGTGAAATCACAGGCCGCCGCGACGGCGCTGTACATGTAGACCACCCCGAGAAGCGAGTTCATGTCCAGACAGTGGCCTTCCATCCAGAGGCGATTCCAATAGTAGGAGACTGGCTGGCATTGGAAGATGGCGAAGAAAAGAAAGACTATCCCCACCGCCGTGGACAGGGCCATCACTCCATAGAGAATCCATTTATGGATACGCTCCACTGTGAGGCGCAACAAGGTGATGGCAATCGACAGTCGAGCAATCGTCACGGTGATGATGTAGATGATCTGTCCCAGCCACCAGAACTATTTTATGGAAGCCGTTAGTAGAAATGGTGGTCAAGCAGGAGACCCAGACTGACCAAGAATCCGCGACGGACGTCGTCAGGTCGGGTCGCAAGGTATTCCGGCGTTTTCCCTGTGCCAGAGGAGGCGCTGAGGAAGGTACAGGTGGCGAATCCCACATTGAACACCTCGAATAACTGTCAGCACAAATCCAGGACAAGACGAAGACGAGGCTGCGCACCATCGCCGTCACAATCAATGCATCGTCGCATCCGAATGCGTGCACGATTCTCAACCGCACAAAACATCGTAGACAAACCGCCACCAGTGATATCCCGAAGAACACGGCGGTTACTATAATAAGGGCATTGCTATTATTCCCAGATCCCATTGTCCAGCGAGGGTAGATGTACCTGGACGGACGGACGGGCTATCGGACAGCCTTGAATACTTTACGAGGAGGGAAGCGGTTCATCAGGCGCTGCAACCCTGCTGATCTAATGATTGAATATATTGGAGAAGGCAAACTTTATTTAACTGAAAGATCCGACACGTTGGGGTCCTCCAGAACCATCTGCATCCAAGCCATGGTTGTTTCCGCGCGGAGCCGCGGAACCTCGACGAGTCTAGACTGCAGTGTGGTTTGCCAGAATTTGGGAAATACTACGCCATGGGAAACTTGCTGTAAACGGCCAAGGGAAACTAATGATCGCTAAACTTTCGCCCTGTGGATGTGCTGTCCTCGGGACTGCAAAAACCTTCGCATCTGTCCTGTTCCAGTTTAGATGTGCTCGGCGATCATTCGGGGCCCGATCTCTGTACTGCGTATGCGACACTGGGACTCATCATCCGACCTCTTGGACCGGCCGTTGCATCATTGGTAGTCTGCTGAGCTCTTCATGATAAGTGGCCAGGCTGTGAGTCACGAAGGGTAACCTCTACGGACGATGAACGCGAGATTCATGTTTGGGGCGTCACTATTGCTTTTCTCCCTCCTGTAATAGGACGACAAGAAACGTGTCCCGAGTATCAAAGCCGCCCTTGCAATGTCAGTGCTCGTGGTGCGAAGCGAGCTGAAGAACTCCACTCGACCCGCCTGCATAGCTAGACGTCCCACTAGACAGTAGTTAGGCTCAAATAGGCTAATACTCCGGAGTAGAGTCTTGATTGATAGCTCCACTCGAGTCGGCCATAGGATCGGGATGGTGACTCGTGGGTACCAAGAATATTTATACGGCGAGGTCTAGCCCTTCTGTGGTGCGTCTTCATATCCACGTCTTTCACCTGAATCAAGAGTTGATAGATATCCGTCGCTTAAGACAAGCAGTGCAGCAAGGCTTACAAAAAAGTGAGTGTGCACCGTGCTACCTACTGCCAACTAGACAACTATCAGTTTATAGCAGACCGTAGCAGACCCGCTCACATGTTTACTTCCCAGAATCAATCATGGAAGAATTCGACCAGTGGATATCCTCATACATAAGCTCTATCTGCTGCTGTAGAACACTATAAGCCGGTCTACCTACGTCCAACGACTCTCGGTTGTTTCTTGACGTGCTGGCATAGACTTCCGGCCGGAGATTCGAGGTAAAGATCATGACTAGGCTGGAAAAGAAGTTGTACACGGAAGGGGTGTAACAGAATTTCTAGATACCCAAACGCTCAAAGATAATAGGAAACTGACAGGTCAAGTTGAAGTGACTCTTGTCATGCTGTGTCCAAGTCCCCTTGACCAAGGTGTTGATCCTTCGAGGCTTGAAGCGAAGAGCCCATTCATCTACAACTAACCATATCTCTTGACAGCTTGACAGGGAGCCATTGCAAGCGGCATGAATGCCCATTGATCTCGTAAATCTATTCCCCACAACCTGTTGCCATGTGGATCTTTCCCTCGGGCTACTTTCTCGACTTGTGTGTCCGATACCCGTTCCTGTCAACTCGACAACCCGAGAAGCCTCAAACCCCGGGCACGTCACTAGTCAAATAGACCCGGTTGTTGCTCGGGGACTTATTTTAATCCTACAGGATGCTAACCAGATTTAGTTTCTCCCGTGAGAGTCCGTGATGCATCATGAACATGTCTCCCAGGCGGGGCCCTACTCAATTTTGTGCGCTGGCTAACTGGTAGTGGCGGAGCGCCACAGGGAACTGTTGGTCTATGACTTCAGGATGGAAATGTAATGTCTTTCTCGGAGAAAAGGATCAAGAAACTATGGGGCCGAGGAAATGCAATGCGCAGCCTGTCTCCCTTCCATACATGTCAACTCTCTCGCGAATATACAGACATCCGAGCGTGACTCACATTTATAGCTTAATGGCAGTCTGGGACCACGGCTCTACGGCGCCAGTGGATATCCACTGTACTCTGTTCATATCGCAAATCACTGTCGCGAGTCGGTGGGGCTATGGGATCCTCGTATTCAAATCCTTCTCCTTGTGAGAAAGCTCCTTTGATCCGGTGGCAAGCCAAACGCCATGTGGTTTGCTCCGCGGATATCATGAGATCTACAAGTACCAGACTATCTAAATTTTAAGTACTAGTTTTTCTAGGTTACATGATAGAGCACAGACCATACTCTGGTATGTCTCTATCAAGTAAATCCCTATAGCATGGAGGTCAGTTATGGAGATCGGAGCGGCTGACCGTGGGCGAATCATTGCCCTTTCTTTTCGTTTTCTGATGTTTCTGAATGGTATTTTTTTTTTTTTCGATATGGCGCCCTGTAGTAGTGTTCTTACCCATTCCTTCTATCTGAATCAGGGGTTGACCGTCACATCGCACCCAAAACAAGCTAGAACGAGCTAAGAGGAGGTGGTGGAATGGCGACATGGGCAGGGATTTCCATGCGGTTCGGACCGGAGGGCTGATCATATATAGTACGACGAGCTACTGCAGTTGCTAGAATAGATGGTCACATCGATCATCAGGCCACAAATCCTAGTTCGACTGGGTTACATCGGCGCGTCGATGGCGAGCGTATTCGTCCCGCCCTCCGATTAGGGTTATAGTAGCGGCTGCTAAGACTCTCCAAGCCTTCGAAAGGCCCTTGCCCCCTTGCCCCGTCGCGTGGGTGCCATTCTTTCCAAAAGCTTTTCTTTGCTTACCAACCTCCTGGCACTTCTTCTGCTTCCTGGGTATATGTAGAACTCTTCGTGCACAGTCGAGGAAGCTGTAGCAAACAGGACAGATGCTATTTGCGCCGATAGTGCTCCTTCCATAGCGCCTATCTCGCAACCACATCTTATTCCGCTTCCTGGGTCTCACTGACCGCAACTCATGCATCCATGAATCCTTCGACAGCAACCTCTAGCAGTCAGGAAATCGGCCCTGGTAGCCGGGATAGCCACAAGGTGATGGCTGTAGGTGTGGGAATTGGTGTGTTGTGATCTAGTTTATCCTCAACGCGGCTTACAACTGCAATGTGAAGAGACCTGATCGCGTCCAAGTTCGATTGAATCGATTGCAATCCTCATCACGTGCAGGGTCGGGTTGATGGACCATATTCTGGAGGCTTGCAGGCTTGGATACAGACTCCCCCCAGCTCCACAAAAAAATGGAAAGAAAATCCAATAAAATAGAAAAATAGAGTAATACAAACCCACGGTCCGGCTATCACGTCATTCGTACGTCATTCTGGATTGCTGGTGTTTGTTTCTTGGCAGGACTGAAAAGCTTCGTAACGAGCGTCGTTTCGACCCAAAAAAAGGAATGGAGAGAAGGGGAGAATCCATCAAAAATAAAGGGAGATCGATCTACATGGAACCTCTAGAAGTAGAGCCGAGAGGGAGACACTTCCCAATCCCAATGAGTCGTCTTTTGGTTCGACACAGGACCATTCGAAGCTCTGGAGGTGAGCTCATGTTTTGATCAGCGCAGGAGACCCCGTGACCAGCCCCGTGCGCCGGCTCTGATTGGCGGGAGGGGCCTTCAGACGATTCATCGGCAGTCACTTCCGTCCCAATCGTGAAGCTCAGCGACAACAAACGCCCTTCTTGTCATGCCGTGTAGATGGAGCAAACGTGCAATCTATGCAATCTATGAGCTGGGCACAGTCGTTCGCAGACTTCTATAAAATACCGGACATATCCCCCCCCGGGTCCTACTCCATGGACTTCCACTGACACACACCACGTCGCGAGAGTGACGGCACCCTGAGGGAGCGGGGAAAATGTTTGGCAAGAGGTAATTGTGATACGCGCATACGCGAAAACGAGATGCACCCTGGCGTGGGCTCAACAGCACTTCTTCAGGAAAACGTCGCAGAAGCCGAATGAGGAGCTCATTCGAGAATTTCGCAATGACTTCCCTTATGTCTTTTCCGAGCTTTCGATCGCTCAGACGCTGCACCCAGAGGGTCTCGTCAGCCACGCCCAACCAGGTACCCTGCAGCCGGCGCCCTGGGACGAACAACCGTCCACGTCCACGCCGGCGAATCTCCTCGGTTTTGTGAGTCCCCCGAGTCAGCCGCATGCCGTATACAGGCCACTGCCCGATCAAATGTGCGCCGTCCTGCATAGCCCGGCGGGGGATTTGCACACCCCGACCGTGGAGTGGAACCTGACCAGCTCGCCCTTGCGCTGGACACAAATGATCAGTGCCCAGACCGTCCGTTCCCAAGATGACCCTCCACCCGCCAACATCGCCACGTTTCCCTCACTCGACCCGAGCCCAGTCTTCTCCAATGTGGACCCATTCGCCCCAGGCTTGCATGCGTCCCCCATCGTCGCGCGCTATTTTGATCATGATCATCAGGAATACGTGGCGCCGGATGAATGCGATCGGAAAGACTCATTCGTAGCATCCGTCCGAGAACTCTCAACGGACCAGTCAGGATTGCTGACATCGAATGTCCCTGAGAGGGCCTCCGTACACCCGGAAATCCCGTACTGGTCCCCCAGATCTGTCCAGGCCATCGGTGGACGCTAACGTGAGCGACCTTTGTAGATTCCGCTACCATGTCATCCTCCATGCGCCGACCGCAATGTTCGACCATGCCCGCGATATCCCCGTGACCTATCTGAACAAAGCCCAGGCCTACACAATCACGATCGTCGACTCCCGCCCGCCGGTCGCGCCCGTCCAGCCGGTCCAATACCGGACCCGAATCGGAATCGCGTTCGAAGAACCCACCCACCGATCCAATCCAACCCTCTGCTGGCAACTGTGGCACGGCGCGCGGGGTGGGAGTGATGCCGAGCGACGCGGCGGTCGCCCGTGCGCGGTGGAATTGGTGGCGCTGAAAGGAGGAGGCGGGGATACGCCTGATCCGGCGTGGCATCTGGAGAGTGCGTCTTTTAATCAGTTCTGTGTTTCATGGACGAGTGGGGGAGAGGCCTATTCGTCGGAATGCCAGATTCTCGTACGATTCCACTTTCTCTCCACAGATTTCACTCAGTCCAAGGGGGTAAAGGGGGTTCCGGTGAGATTATGCGCGAAGACGGAGACGATCTCGTTGCCCGAGGTCCCGTCGGAAGCTGAGACCGAGGCGGAGATCTGCTATTGCCGAGTGAAGGTCTTCCGGGATCATGGTGCTGAAAGAAAGCTGGCCAATGACGTTACCCACATCCAGAAGTCGATTGAGCGTGTTGAGAAACAAATCGCCCGGGCAGACTATCACGGGGGTGGCCTCGGTAAGAAGCAGAAACGCAGGAGCGTCGCGCGCGGGACCACCCCGAGTGATCCGACCCGGTCGATGAGTCGCTCTCCTAGCGTGTCCACCCCGGGCGATCTGTACAAGGTGTTGTACGATCTGCAACAGCTCTTCTCGTCCGCCCTCTCGGTGAGCGTGTTTTCCCTGCCCGGAGATGAGCAGGACGACCCAGATCAGCTGGCTAGTATCACCCTGGGGAATCATCCTTCATCGCCAGCCAATGTGACGGACGTTTGTGGCGATGCCGACTGCGATGGTCCGACCGACGATGGTTTTCCTAGTCGACCGTCTCATTCTCCCCCCCAACCCTCGGCCCATATCACTTCGAAACAGGGCACATCGGCAGACCCGCCACTCGGTGAGCTTTGTCAAGTTTTACGCGCAGTCGATGGGGGAGCTAACCAATCCTTAGTCGCCTGTTTCTACGTCCAAATCCAGAAGAATAGCCGTCCGAGTGCCTACTACCATGCGTTGTACCTGTCCCAGCGGACTGTGCGCGAGTTGGCGTTGCAGCTGGCCAAGCACGCTCGCATCGACCCGAGAGGCATCGCTCGCGTGGTCCATGTCAAACGAATCGGATTATCGATCATGGTCGATGACGATGTAGTCCAACACCTGCCAGAGGGCCAAGACCTGATTGCGAGCTTCGTAGAGATCCCCGCAGTGAACCAAGATCTGCGTTGCCAGCCTCGATATGAGGTGCAATTGACCTATTAGCCATGACTGGCGCCCTCGAGCCAGTCATCTTCATAATGTACAGGACAATATCCTTCCAAGAGAACCATAAGACATCTCGTACAGTTCTTTGGGCAACTTTCGCTGGTACCCTGATTTGTAAGCGCCTGGCAGATCTTACTCCGAGAACTCCGTAGCTGTATGAATCATCGGCAGTCCTGTCAACTCCCAGGGACAGGTAGATGATCTGCTTTGAGAGTCCTGCCATACGTCAGATTGGATCCTCCAGGTCGGTCAACAATGCACAAATTTCCATGTTTTCGGATGGTCAACTAATTCTTCTCCGGTGTAGCTAGCGTAGGATTTAATGTGCCCCGCGAGATATATATATCCCCATGACTTGCGTCAAGGATATCACCAACTGAATTAGTTACTCTGGGGCCGGTAAGGCGTCGACTGTGGGTGTCCCCACAGTGGATCATGATGATGGAGTCCATTATCAATCGTGTCGATGTCGAGATGATTGCATCGATGCAAGGAGTATGTAGAGTGTACCAAGGATGGACCCTGACGGCATCTGATACGGACATCATGTGCCGGGTCACGTGCCCCTCCGAACAAGGCTGATTCCCTGCCCTAAACTACTTCGTCGGTCCACCTCCAGGGTTCCAGAATTCGTCCACGGCACTCTTGCAGAACTTGCACCCGGCATAGCCCTGGATCCATCCTCAGTCGAACTGCGCCTCCACCCGTGAGTCTTGGGGCCAAGAGCCAATTGCCCGTCTGATTGGAACGTGACCGGCCCGTGACGTCAGCCAACCTTAGGCAGTCATTCTCAGGCCACAACTAGTCCGGATGCGGTCTGGTTGCCAACGGTGGCTGATTCCGCGATAGATCGTATCAGAAAGTTATATATCAGGCCCTGGCCCAAAGAGAGTAAACAACTTTGATGTCCTCTCCGCGCACTCCCTCAGTCTTCACTCACTCTGTCTTCCTGTCTGCGCGCTTCTCGGATTCCACCATGGTCACATAGTAAGTCATAAATCACAGAGGAGGTCTCTATTGCCTCATGACATCGAATCTCGATTAACCAATGGCAGCTGTCGCGATCGGTGGGGAAATATCTACCGATGTCGGTCATCCTGGCATAACTGGGGTCGTTGGGTGTTACTGGCCATCATTATTGGACTGGCATTCGTAGCCTTCTTCTTTTTCGCGTATGTTACATCCCATCCTTCGGGGGTGACCCGTCGCGGTCGATCGTCTCTGGAACGCTTTGCTGACACTCTATCTCCTGTAGATGTCTCTCCGCTCGTAAACGCCGTCGCCACGGCCAACGACCCATCTACGGGACCGGCTGGGTCCCAGGCTCACAGCCTCCGCCAGGCCAATGGCAGCAACAACAATATCCTCCGCAACCGCCCCCCGCGCCGCCGGGATACCAACCGTCTACCGAGCATGGATATGGGCAGAATTACGGTGCGAACCAAGGATACTTCGGCCAGCAGCAGTACGGATCCGAGCTCCAGCAGCCACCGAACGCATATGCGCAAGACGGCGTATATTCACCCCCCATGGGACCGCCGCCGGTTCATCCGAAGTAGGGAGTACCGGCAGAGATGTTTACGGACCAATATAGACATAATATGTGGTTATGATAGGAATTGACGATGGGCAATTGGGTTTATTTTGATGCTGGGTTAGGGTGGCTTCAACGCGAGGGCAATCGGAGTTTCCTGCAATGATTCTCAGAGGAAGGGGACTTTTATCACATTTCTGGCGTCTGGTTGGGCTTATGGAACCATATACTTATTTCTCAACAAATTAATGAAAGACTCACTTCTCATACATTCCACGACAATAGACAAGGGGGTTCGCGCAGTGATATACTGGTCCAGTGTCTGCGAGCAAAGGAATCATGCCAGACAGGTACTCCGATAGTGGAAGGTATTCCTCGCCACTAACCGATCCGATGACGGGCTAAGATACCATGTAGAACCAGGACGCTGTAGCAAAAGAAGACGTATACAACAATCGAATCTACACTAGAGTCTGACCAGAAGTCATATCATATCATCTCCCGTACCAGCACAACCCTCTCTCCACACCACACTACTCCTTACCCGCCCGTTCACTCTCCGTCGTGATCGTGGTATCGGCAAAATCCTTCTCATCGGTCATGAATTCATCATGGTTCAGCGAGCGGAAGCGGAACCAGAACAAGATAGTCTGGATCGCTAGCGCTACGGCCGGTGCCCCCCAGATCCAAATGAGATAAGGGTCTTGCGTGACGGGGATGAGAACTTCGCCTAGGGCGCTGGATAACGCCGTGGTGAACAGGAAGATAGCCATCACCAGCCCGCGCATGGAAGGGGGCGAGCGCGCATAAGCCAGCTCATATGCCGTCACGTTGCAGAAGAGCTCCGACAGGGCACCCAGGATGACGTTCGGAAGCTGCCACCAGATCAAGATCGGGCTGACGCCGGCGTCGCAGGACGAGGCGTTGTACCCGCAGGGCGAGGTCTTGTACACGCGCCACTGGACGATGGCACCGATCACGCCGGAGATGATAGCCAGGACAAAGCCGAATGTGATGCGGCTGATCCGCCCAAACTTGATGTTGTAGCGCAACAGCAGGGGGTAGAAGATGTGGCTCAGCACGGGCGTCATGACAATGATGGTCAGCGCGTTGAAGTTGTTCAGGAGGTCGTTCGGAGCTCCGTTGGTCGTCATGGAGGCACCTTGGTTACTGGAAACCGAGCCGATACCGCCGTCGTTGATGTTGTAGATTGGGAAGTAAAAGAACACTTCCGCTGCCACTGCGTGAGGGTTAGGATGAGGTGTCAGATAGTACCGGTGAGAAGGACAACATACCCAGGGTCCGACGAACATCATCGACCAGCTTGTCCGTCCATTCCACCTGGATGCCCTCCGCGGCCAAGACGCTCGGTCGTGCCGCGTCAAAGAAGTTCTTGCGCCAGACGCGAAACTTGTTGCGCCGCAGAGCCATGGAGATAATCTTCACCACCTGGCTCAGCTCCGAAGTCCCACTCGGTGGCTGCTTGTAGGTCTTTTTGTACACCAACGCCAGCACCACGGGCAAAAGGAAGTAGATAATCCCCGCCAACAGAAACGCAAGCCAGTAGCCCACGTACTTCTCCGCGTACGTGGTAGCCAGCATGTAGAAGGCACCAATGTTGACCACCCCGTAGAAGATCAGCATGGTGCGGCTATTCGTCAGTTCGGGGTCCACGACGACTTTCTCCCCGGATTTGAGCACTTTGGTATAGGCCTTCTTGTGTCGGTGCTGGTCCAGGATGGTCGGTGCAATGTTGGGCTTAAAAATCCCAGCCCCAAGCGCCAGGATGAGCAGACTAATGATGAACGGGGGCGCCGAATGCGCGGTGCCCTTCTGCAGAACAGACGGAATGGCGCCAAAGATCTGGATCAAATGCGCGATACCACAGATCAAGACACCGACACAGATGGCCTTATATCGACCGACATGAACATCGGCCCACCTGCGAGGATCAGCACCAGGGAACGTCAACGACAATTGTAGCCAAGGGCAAGAGGTGCAGTCCTACCATCCTCCCAGAATCGGAAGTATATAGGCCAAGAAGGTGAAGAGCAACACCAGCCCAGAACTGGCCTGCAAGCCCATTCCCAGCCCACCAGCAGTCTCCTGCGTCCCACGCGGTGGAGCACCTGCGCCGTTCCCGCCTATAAACTCCTGTCAGCCAGTCCGTACTTAGGTCTTGGTAATGAACAGAATACCTCTTGGGAGAGGAAATTCAATAAAGTTGGAGAACACAGTCTGGGAACCGTAGTAGGAGGCTCGCTCGGCGAATTCAACCAGGCACAGCGAGTAGGATACGATCGGCAGGCTGCCCGCGACTTTGCGGAGAGTGCTGTGCTCTTCTGGTGTCGGCTCAGGAAGCTCATCACTGTCCACTGACTCCGTTGCCGTTACTTCGTAAGTCTGTTTCTCGGCGTCGAACCCGGCAGGTCCATTGGTCACCGAGTCTAGGGCTTCGCCCGGTCCCCGAGCAGCAATGGCATCATCGACGACATTTTGTCCGCCGGCAAGAGCTGTATTTGATGGCTGTGATCAGTCACTAGAAGACTTGAGGGTCGGTTGAGACATACACATGGTGGTATAGACTAGTTTGCTCAGAAAATTCGCCGCTGTGGGGGCAGAGATTGGCGATTCGGATACCACAAGGGGCGAACTGGTGGGCTGCAACCATCCTTATACTAGGCGCTCCAGGATCAGCTTGTACGTGCAGTGTGAGACAGTAAGAGGCCGGTGGGCCGACTTTCGGCGGCGATAGTGCTAGGCATTGAGATAAACCAAGGTATCGGAGTCCAAAGTCTAAGAGAGACGGAGGAGACTGGTTGGATACTGTTAGGCATATAGTGTTTAGGGTATGACCTTAGCGTCGCCATATGGTGTTTTGGGCGAATGGGATTGACAGATATCCACGATGGCGCATGCTTAGCTGCGATGTCGTACATTGTAGCATTGGCTCCCCGGGGTGCTTATCTCCTAGTCCTACCAATACAGTGCCTAGTGCTGCAATGGATAAACTTAGCTTTGGGAACAAGCAGCACGCTAGATGCTTATCAGTGGCGGTCCGACCCACCGTGGTGACCCTATACCGGCAGTTATTCTCATCCTAGCCTTTTGTCACGCCATTCTCTGGACTCAACCGAGCATTTTATGATACCTAAACGGAACTCTCATTGGGCTCCTCTCAAATCGGCTTGTGCAAATCCATGCTAGCTCTTATTGCGGTCATGTATAAGTATAATGATACTATTGTATGGGTTCTTTGACCTCGGCTGGATGCAATCTGGACCGAGGGGGTGAAGGAGAACAGACCCTCGACTCTGTCCCACTGCAACCATTGGGAAGAAGTTTGGCAAATTAATTCTCCACCATGGTGCTCCTAGCCGGCCATCAGGCCAGGTCCACGAGGCCAACTTGAATTGTTATCATTTCAAACGATGACATTCTGATTTGACCAACGCTTGAGAAGCCAGCGCCCCCTTATCACTGATTATGGTACGCTCTGCGCTCATAAAGTATCAATATCTGGTCGGATTTGACTTAGGCTAGATGTCGCCTAAGATACTCTTAGGTGTCCCTTCTCCATTGGCCTATGATAGCGGGTCTAGATGGCGCAGAATTGTCCGTGCTGGTCCAACAATATGCGTAGGTATTTTCTCCATGCCCAATACCAATTCACGGATGGATGGATGGGCTAATGGATCATGCATATCGTAATTAATTTGCCGTTTCTCTTTTTCATTTCCCCTAAATCGCTGGAGACGGTTCCTTGCTAGCTCTCTACAACATTGGCGAGCAGCACGCTTCAGTCAAAGAGGGTTACGCTTCCCTAGTGATACGCTCAGAGTGGACCGATAATATTGGACGGCATAGCGTTTGAGGGACCTGCAAGGACGAATTTCCTGTAACACGACAGCCTGCCTGTTGAGAGACTTTGGGTGCCTTCCCGTAGCAAGGCGTAGAGATGCACCGAGACTCCGTTAGGTACTTGGCAAACGTTGTCACCGAAAAAGAGTGCGAAGAATCCCTATCTACTCCAATGAGGTCGTCAAAAGCTAGGCCGGGCTACACATATTAGATATAGCAGCAAGGAAATCATTGAAGCTATAGTACACACTGGAGTAGGAACCCCCGGGATGGCAGCCAAAAGACACGAAGCTGATGCCAAAGAGCTACTCCATGTCGATAGGCAGTCTCGTCTACCAGTGGTCATGATCACCACGCACTAACTCTTACTCCTATCACCCATCGCCCGATAATCAGAACAATGGACCCAAATACTGGACAGCACGGAAACTTCGGACAAGAAATTCCAATACACAATAAAGTCTTCTCGCCGACTATATGGATGGAAGGCCGCTCAACCGTCTAATCTGAGGATTTCACGTAATAAAGTGTTTTCAATATGGAGATTGCTTTACTGGAGCTAGTTCAGTCGTAACGATATTCTGCAAATACAATAGTTGTCTTATCAATCATTTTCATGCCCATAGCGAATCTATTCCATGCCTTGAGCATCCCTGTCAGGCTTCAAGTAGAACACGTGAAAGGTTTGCTAATGGAATTTGACTGGAATTTATGAACCTACCAAGCTCACATTAGTATCTCACAAGTGGCCAATTCAAGACGGAGGGAGCTCACCAGCTCGGCAATACTGGAGTACGTGCCGCATCCAAAGACGATCATCCCAACAATAAACACCACGCCATTGTACATAGCAGTCTTCAAATTGCGCTTTTCATACCATGCGCCCTCTTTCAGAAGGACATACCATATGACTGGTGGAAGATAGAACGATAGACCCGACACGAAGAGCGATGAAATGATGGATAGTAGCTCAGAGAAGACAGGGATGGCTTCAGCAATAACCCACGCGAGAAGGGTAACGAACAGCACAAGCCCGAGCCATGTAATCCAGCCCCTCGGGGTGTTGATGTACCGGACAACTGAGTTGCGGTATACCTTTCCGTGAATATACCGACAGACCACCGTGGTGTTGATCGAGCCCGAGATGAAGATCACTGGAAGTGCGATACCAAAAACAACCCTTGAGATAAGAGGGCCCGCTGATAGAAGAGCAGGGGACTGTACCTCTTGTCCCACGAATGCATAGATAAGCGAGCCTGTCAGAGTGTAGATGATAATTTGAATACCGCCGAGCCACCAGAGAGTCTTCACATAGTCCTCCGGTGTGTGCATTTCTTCCATGAACGATGGTAAACAACCGCCGAAGGAATAGGCGAATACAATACTGTTGGTCGCTACGATAGCCTCTGCGAAGGTGATGCCTTCCTTCGGCCACGGAGACCATGCAGCAAGGCCAGTAGCAAACCCATTGGAACCGTTCGTATTCTGAATCCCCGTGGCGATCATAGTGACTCCTATTGCTAGAATAATCGAGGCAAAGTCAATATAGCCCAGTATGGCGATATCTGCAAATGCTGGTGGAATAGCCAGTATCAGCAAAATTGCAGCCGACGTGATGCTAAAGACGACCGAGCACACGTCACTTTGCGTGATGGTCTTGAAGGCGATGGCGCCGGTCAAGCAGTGTGATCCGACGACGAATATCAGCAGGCAAACGAAACTAGCTATAAAGATCTTCGATCCAATATTGCCCAGCAGAAGCCGTCCGACATCCGCATAATGAGCGATCTCAGGGTACTTGAGCTTTACCTGGCCAATGTTGTAGCTTGCATACATGGCAACGAAGCCAATACCGATTGTCATGATTACACCTGCCACCATGCCAAGAGTGGCGAATGCAAAAGGCAAGCCCAGGCTCCCAAGAGCGATGCCCTCGACTATGGAAACGACAGTAAGCCGCTTCCAACCGAGCCGATGGAAGTGAGCATCCCCTTTAATGACACATTGCATCTCCTCCTCTGAGCGGCCCTCTTCCTCGAGGAAGGCCTTGCTGGCCATAGCATCCCTGTTAACCTGAGTGATAATGGCGTCGTCTTTCCGAGGACTCTTCCCAACCCCAGTCCCAGATGATATCGTTGTTCTGTGGTCCATTCGGCGAATTATGACAAACGTGACTGTGTCTAACAGGGAGAAGGAAGTCGATCTCAACAGAGGTCAGAACCCTGACCATATGAGTCTAGGGATGTGAGAAGAATTTGCTGAAAGCCAGGCTTAAATGGAAAGGCTTAGGAAAGAGTGGAGCCATGCCCCTCTTCACAAGCGGACTTAATCTATAGGCAACACGTTTTGCTGTTTTTCTCGACCGTTATCTCTGTCGGCCTACTCGCGGAAGCGTCTGTACAGCATGTGTCCTGTTAGGGCCAACCGCATAACTCGACATTGGAGACCATTTCATACTGATGGCAGTCATTAAAAACCATTGCTCAAGTGATTCCCTTCCAATTACTGCCATTATACGTGACATCGAGGTCTACATAAGTGCGGGGTTGGGACTAAGTTAGTGTGATTAGATTCTTCATCATGCAGTAATTTTTCCACCAAGTGATATTGCTGTGGTAAGAAAAACTCCATGATTTCCATAGTTCCGCCTAATGAATTATCCATGTGCCCTCATACAATGACCGCTAAACGCTATGCGTCAGTCTCTCACTCGGCACGGGAGACAAGGAGCACAGCTATCATTCTTTGGTGAGGACCCAGTAGGCGTACTCACTGTTCTCCCCCGGGTATGTTTCTCATGACATGATGTTGATAGTAATAGGTTACGACCGGGGGCCTCGGTCATGGTAGCATACATAGTGGAGACGTATTGGCTGTATTGGCCAGGGATATCGTAGGGTCCAACGACACGTTCCTTACATGCTCTGGTGGCGTTTTGCGGGCTATTCAGGATAGGTTATGCTTCATACGGAGCAGCCTATGCAGAATTCTAGACTGACATCCCGTCATTTTGCACGGCAACAGCGGCATTCTATGGTCTTACAGCACGGGATTAGGTAAAAGCATCCCAGCCCTCGTATTTCGGCTGTTCCACAATCAAGGCTGGACGATGCACTACTATCCAAAAGGAATGGGATAGCTTGGCAAAGCATAGATAATCTAATCAAATGATCAGATAAGAGACAGCCCCACATGCTAGTCTCTCACCTGTTTTCGGAGCAAATTTGTCCGGCATGATTTCTCTTGGGTCCCGTTTATGTACTAGTATCGTTGGTGGGAGAAGGCGTGTTGGTAAACTCGTTGGGTCCCTTGTGGTGAAGGCATCAATCCGTCATATCCGATGAGATTTTCCCAACAACCAGGAACTGTCATGCTGACTGGATTGGGAGAAAGGTGTAGAAAGAACAGCCTTCTTATGCGAATAATCCAGAAACCAAGCTGGTTCTCGTAGCGTTGCCTGATCGTGAGTTTGGCGACGCTCGTGCAAAAAGGCAGAAGTGGACATGTGCCTTCTTCTTCCTTTCTTGTGTGTAAAGACCGAGTTAGATTATATCTTGAAGCTAAGCCATATTTTCTTGTGCATAGTAAAGAGCTACATGATCAGTCGCCGAGCTCCGACATCTATAACCCCGTTCATGGTTCCCGCTCACAACGATCGCTCGACTCAGGATTAATGATACTATTTGTATCAATGTCGGCGAAGGACCAGAAGGGCATCCTTAACAAGACTCATGTAATACCTTTACTAAGTAATGCGTGAGGCCTCTATCGATGGGATCCAAGCGCGTAGTTCCCAGTGATTCTCATTGTTTTCAACTAATCGATTGGTCCCTACCTCTGCGTACTGAATATATAAGATCATGGGCGAAAAACTGCTTGAGTTCTTAGTGGTGATGCTCGAATTTATCAACAGGATTGTGGGAGGAATCGCTTCTGAATGACAGCGCTCGGCCTTTTGGGTTGAGCTGTCAACACATTGCATACAGTCTTCCACTTATACTTCATAAATCAAGCACTCGGACACCCAATGTTGGACCGGAGGTACGTGCTTCTAGCGATACTGGTGACGCTGCCGCTAAAGACGCTCTTCTTCTCCACTCCATCCGGCCAAATATTAACCTTAGCACCAGCATCAACGCGTCGAATAGTAGCACCTCCATTCATTCTGTCACTCGCGGCGCTTTCATAGCAGAATTAGTATATTTTTACTTTGTATTCAAGATTATGATAACCCCCGCTGCATCCTGTCTCGACAGCAGCATCCTTGTTCTGGTTATGGAAATCCAAGTTGTCATTCTCGAATATGGAAGCTATGCGCCTGACTGAGTTAGCCCCGCCTTAGGTTCCATAAGTATGACTGAAGTCGAGGCATTTAAGAAATACCTCATATCGAGGTATTTTGGTCGTTATATCGCCAAGAAGGGAGGTAGAAGCTGCTTCGTTAGTAGAGTGAGATAATATGACAGAGAGCTTCGGAGGAGTTGCCTACACTCGCCTCACAAACATAGATCAGCAAGGGGGCAGCAGCCTGAATATATTTAGATTGTCATATCGGCGAATGATAAGGATTCCATATACAGCCCGTGACTCAGGAACCCCTGCAATATTGCATCCGACATAGGCCTCCGAGTTCCACGATGCCATGCCCAGCAGCTGCGGTTCCACCCACTAGTACGTCAAGCGTACCCTCTCTGGTGCCATTCAGAACAGTTTCCTGTCAGGGGTCATTACGAGTATTCATGCATCGACTGCTGGCTACGACTAAATCTATCCTACAAAGTCGGGTATGGCAATCGATAAAAATGCGCTCCTCAGGCTACGTCTTTGGGCTGTGAACGGCCATCACACGCTCTCGTCATTCGAACAAATATTCTTCTGGCCGAAGGACATCCACGAGCCAAGCTTGTTAGGCAAGGATCCAGGGTAGTGCTTGCGATAGGTGCAGGAATTGGCACTCCTCCATGGTTACTGCACAGATAGGCGGCTCTACGGAATGGGAAGATTGTCACATTAATCGAATAAAATTGACCATTTAGTATCGGTATCACAAATGTGAAAATCTATGGACATTATGAAAGCAAACATATATAGGCATATATGCATGAATAATATAAAAAATAATAACGATGGGGGTATGAGTAAGACAATGGAAACCACTCGCGGACTATCCAGCGCAGTGGCCATGATGCCACGACCTCAGGCGTTCCGTCTCCAGGTTGGAACTCCCAAAGCAAACGGTCCGCCGGTACATGGTTCTCATCTGTTATATAAAACAGCGAAACTAATTAGCAGTCTGTTTTTCCTGGCTCTCGCCACTGCTGAGGGCGAGCTCAGCCTTCTCGGTTTCAAATGCGGCAGGCTGCCCGGACACATCCAAGCCTAGCTCGGTCGCCATCTGAGCCATCTGCTGAGGGGTGAGCTTGGGCATGGTTTCGGCAATCTGGTAAGGCCATTTGCCTTCCACATGGGCCTTGGCGAAGATGATGTCAATCTCCTCCAGAGCACGGCCAGCGGTTTCACAGTAGAAGAACCAGGCGAACGGCACGGCACAGAAGTTGACCAAGGCGAAGAAGAGGTAAATACCCCAGGGACTAGCAGTGGAGAAGACCGGCGTGAACATCACGACGGCAAAGTTGCAAATCCAGTTCGTGCAGGTCGAAGCAGCGGCCGCTGAGGTACGGGTACGGAGCGGGTTGATCTCGGGAGGGTAGATCCAGGGCAAGGGGAGAGTCGTGAAGGCGAAAAAGACGATGAAAAGGAAGATACCAACGACAGCGCCCTTGGCGTTCTGCTCATTCTCCTTAATCAGGCAACCCATAGTAATGATGAAACTGAGACCCTGACCCAGGAAACCAATCAGGAACAGTTTACGACGGCCAACCTTCTCAATCATAAAGAAGGAGGGGATGGTAGCAAGAGCATAGACGGTAGCGAAGACACCACCTAGAATCAGAGAGAGACGCTTCTCCAAGTGCAGGTTCTGCTCGAACAGCAGGGTAGAATAATAGATAGCGGCGTTACATCCGGTAAATTGCTGGAAGAACTGTCCAGAACAGCCGATCATCATACGCTGGAATTCCTGGGTCTTGCCGAAGGTGAAGAGCGTTTTCCAGCTGGCCTTGTTTCCTTCGGTAGCAGCGAGGTCGGCCTTCATCAGGTTGAAATCGGCCAGCACCTCCTCCGAATCGGCAGGGAGATCATTAATAGCACTAAGCACCTCACAGGCCTCCTTATCATATCCCCGCATAACAAACCACCGAGGAGACTCGGGCAGCATCAGAGCGCCGACGGTCACCAAGAGGGCAAAGAGGATCTGGAAGGCAACGGGGAACCGCCACTGAACTGAGGAATCCACGTACGAGAGACCAAAATCAATCCAGTAGGCGACGAACGTGCCGACGGCGATAATGGCACCTTCAAAACAGACGAGGAAACCACGGTTGTGGGCCTTAGAGCATTCCGACTGCCAGACCGGGATGGTGGCGGTATCCATACCGTTTCCAAGACCAGAAATCACACGGCCGACCACGAACTGGCCCAGACCCCAGTGAGTACCGAAAGAAGCAGTGGAGATGATAGCACCGACGGCCATGATAACACCACCGGCCACCAGCAAAGGGGTACGACCAATCCGTTCACCGAAAACCATGGTGAAAATGGCACCGAAGAAACAACCCAGTTCGTAACAAGCCGTGACCGCGCCTTGAAGAACCGAAACATGCTGGGAGTAGGCCGCTGTGGCGCCCTCGGGGATGTATAGCGCGTGGAACTCTTTGGTGAACTCAGTACCGGCGATAATACCGGACATCAAACCCTGATCATAACCGAAAAGTGAAAAACCGAGGACGGCGGTGACGGTGATGGCCAAACGGAGCTTGCGGCCCCGAAAGCCAGAGGTGGTTGTCCACATGGTTGACTGTGTGTCTCGACTGTACCGATCCGATATCACTGGGTATCAGGCGAGAGAGGAGGGAGGAAATCAAAACAAGCACCTGGACGAGGACAAAGTCATTCCTGAGAAGATCATCTGGGGACCATTTTGGGGATCGCCGGGATTTATCTAGTCCTTGGACGTCCGACAGTTGAATCAGCCAAGAGGAAAAAGTCTGCAGATGACGCTAATGGGGTGGCATTATGGGCATGTTTCGCGAGCCGCCCAGAAGGCCAAGGACCCAATAAGGCTTCGCCAAAAGGCTTAGCGGTGCCCTCCAGGCTCAGGGGCCATGCGGAGACGTAGAGTAGGAGTGCCGAATCAGGACAATGCGGAGGCCTTGAAAGATGGGGACCCCATATCGAAATTTTCGCCCGCACTCGGAAATGGGCGACAGCAAAGAGTAGGTCGGCCGAACCTGACTCCACCACATGTGTTTGGCTCATCCACATGGAGAGTCGGATCGGACCGGTCGCAGTGAGGCCTCCTGGCTGAAAAGGCGCCGCTCACTGGTTTTCTCTCCTCAGCGCGCCTGCCTGTGGTGGTCAGAGTCCGAGTCCGGTTGGTTCAACCAGATGGACACGGGTGGATCTGTGCCGTAAGCGGCGGAGGATCATCTATGCTGTTGCTTCAACAGGAATCATACCCGACCATCCTTCCACGGGCAAAGTCGGGGGCTTTCGTGGGTCAGGGTATGAATTTTTCATTTTTGCTCTTTCCTTTCTCCATCCACAGTGCGCCTTTCCCGCCTAAAATCCATGGTTCCTACAACGAAAAGGCGACCACTTCTTACGGACCAATCCTACTGTGTAGTAGGTACCCTTTCTCCAGCAACCTTTGTGTCTTGCCTTTCTTTTTACGTTTCCCTCCCTCTCTCCCTCTCTGTGCGTGTCTGTCTGCCTCCAACCCCTACACGGGACGGCAGACGGCCGGGTTGCCACGCCGAAGGGGTGCCGTGCATGAGGAGCCAGACAGGGTGGAATATGCCACAATCCTCGTTTTCTCCGCTTCTTCGGAGTTCATTGTAAAAGTTGGGGGCGACATCAGCCACCGACATCATTCACATGCTTTAATCTTCCTCTGTTATAGGGGTAAACCCCAGACCCCGTGAATCTAACAGTATACCCTCTTTCCCGGCTCCGGGGGATGTTGGCTGAGCCTTACGGAATCACGACACCTTCCCTCTTTGTCGTCGTACGCCTCGGGAAGTCGGAAGACTTGCGTTTCTTACCAAGCCTTCTTGGCCGAGGAACAAGCCTATTTGCCAATATTTGCCAATATTCTGCTCCACCGACTGCATCTGGGTGGATCGCCGTAGCAAATTAATGTAACCCTAATGTCAGACGGGGCGAAAATTCTGCCCGCGCGGTGTGCCCAACGCCCAATGACAGACCCGTTTTCACGAGCTTGCTTGCCTGGTCCGCAGAGTTTTTCTTCGGGTTGCTTTCTTTTTTGCTTGGTACTCTTGGTTTTTTTTCTTGGGTTTGCTTCTTTTTTCTTGGGTGTGCTTCTTTTTGCTTGGTTTTTGCTTTTCTTTTTCTTGTTTTTGCTACCTTTTGCCTTTTTTTTTCTGTGGGCTAGCATCGTCTGGTATCACGTGTCCTAGCCACTACCCCCGGCTGACTCATCGCCCCAGAATCCCATTCGGTTGCGGCTTCTTGCCCTTCATGGAATCCTATTCCGGGGAGTCGTGGCAAATTTCCTGCTGCAAACGGTCGTTCGTCAACAGACGAAAGGCACTGGGAGGTCTGTGCCTGATCGGGAGGTCCTGTGCTGCCGTGAGATCGGTTAAATCCACGATAAGGAAGGTAGACCAGAGAGTAATATTACTGTAGGAGGGGATCATCTCTCCCCACCTCTATACTATATATATATTATACCACGAAGGCCAGTCTGTGCTCAACGGTAGGAGCATTGAGATCGTAGGGGACAACTTCCAAAATTAACTATACGGTTACATAGAGATCGATCGAGCTAAGCGATTGCTGACTCCTTAAAAAAAAAAAAAAAAAAAAAAAAAGCTGGTTATCTTTGACATACAATTAGAGGACGTACCTACTCCTGCGTACACAGTATCTCGAAACCGCCGATCTGCTCCATACAGAAATCCACGAAACATGGATCAAACGGCTTTTGCTCACGTGGCAGCTACGTCAACTGTCAAACTCATCAAGTCCAGGAGGCTTCGGGCAATTTAGTTTTGTACTCGTACGTTCGGATCAGCACCCATGCAGGAGGCTTTCGGACTCGCTGTCTCGTGCAAGGCCAGTCCTCTTGGCACTGCAGATTAAAAGGACGGTCGGGATGATCACAGGGAATGCAGACTACGGAAAACCATCCCTATTCGGCGGCGTAGGACCATGGTGGCCGCTTACTGTGTATTATCCCATCACGTTAATTCGGATCGGCGCCATGCTCGAGGAGTCGAGGTATCTAATGTCGCCTGGGTTGCCTCCCCTTCCGATGACAAACGCCTGGGACTGGTCCATACAATGTGGACCGGCCCCGTTTTCCAGTAAATGCCTGACGCACAGCTTCCCCATCATATCCAGTGGGCCACGTGAGTGGGGTTTGGAAGGAGATGAGGAAGGCTTCCCTGGACATCCTGCAGGTCATGTTTGAGTTTCTGTAGTTCGACAACCCTCGGACGTCCTGACGTGGTTCGCCCGCGAAACCGAAGTGTCCCCAGTTTTAATCTCTACGGAGTAAGGTCGGCATCGACTTTCAGCCCAAGGAGACTCGTGAAAGTGAAGATATGTCCGTCCGCGCCGTTTCGGCGTGATCGCGCTCGAATGGCCATGCTAAAGGGAAGATACCCTTGGGTCTCATTTGTCAAGCTCCATAAACGCTTTCCGTAAGTGACAATGGAACCGGCTTCTATTCGACGTACCCAGTCGGATGAGGCCCGTTAATATCGGTTGGTCCCTCATGGCTCCACGGATGCAACGAACCATACGGTGCTGCGGTGGAAAATGCCTTAGCCCGGTCATTCAGAAGGCGGAAATCAGCTGGAGACCATATCGACCCGCATAGTCTGAGGGTGGGTCACCGTGCTTGACTTATTGGGATGTCTCCGACATGACTGGTCCTCACGCTTGGCGTGAACCTGTAAGGCGCCATATGGCAATCTCGGAAAATGAGATCGGATAACAATGCTCCTGGCACGGTAAAATGTACCAACTCTGGCTACAACCACGGCTGGAAATCAATTTCTTATGACCAAGGTCGTGGTAGGAACGATTATCCTCGTCAAGGGTTTCCATATCTCACCTGAGTGCAAGAGCGTTCTGCCACTCAATTGGAGGTTGTAGAAAATCCATGCCAAAGTTCGCATCACCAGCGCCTAGTAGCCGTTAGCTTAGCTGTCGGGTTCGCTTATCATGCCCGCAATTTCTTACCTCAGGTGAGGAATCTTCATGAATTGGTACGCTTCATGGACCAGGCGAATGGTTGCCATGGATCTATCTCTGGACTCGTGGATTGGGAGACCTAGAAGAAAATATCTTGATTACCGTGTGTAAGACAAGCCGACCGGTCTCGATGACGGACGGTTCAGCAGTCTCCATATAGCACAAAATAAAGGGCCCGATCGGTGTCAATTGGTTGCCTAGTAAGGCCTCAGGCGGTACCAGTACCTTGTCGTGAGGTTAAATGTTCAGTTCGAATCCCTTGAATCTCTTGGCGATGTTGACAAGGCCATCAAGTGGTCGAAATAGGAATGTAGACACCTAAGGCAGCATGACGGATGTTAGTTATTCCGAACCGACCCGTCAACACCATCAACTGTATGAGGACGCGTAAAGATATCCATCTATGCCACGCCATCTACACTCGGTGGGAGTCAGAGTGAGGTGCTGCGAATCCATATTATTGGGTAGTCTTTATCTCATCCCACAAGCTAATAGTCCTATGGACTGAATGGCTGTGTCCTAACGACGCACAGCTAGCATGAAACGGACGGATTGGTACAGAGAGCCTTTGGACTGGTGGCTTTCAAGAATCGCGCTGCTACCGGGGCCAGCTGTAGATGCCTTTCGACTCTGGGCATTCTGGGATTACAGATTATTGCACAGGCACAGATGATTTCTGGAGAGAGGCAGCTGAAGTCAATAATTTGCTCTTTATCAATGGCCTTCCCACCTGGCTGATTGTAGAATAACATACCACCCCCTTGAGACTGGGAAATGGATACATTTCGCCGGCAATGGGGTGACCAACTGATGCTACGTATCCTCCACTGTAACTTTAACTCCCGATCAAGAGTTACCGCGGCACCTACTGTTCTATTTGGGACCTTCACCCCTCGCACAGGATACAAACCCAAATCAAAGGCCACAAAGATCTTAGCAAAGACAGGTCGTGCCTGGCGCATACCCAATCCTCGTCCAGGACACATTCCTGCCCCATAGTCGAAGGGCAAGAAGTTCGGGTAGCTCGTCGCCGCACGGGGATGGCAGCGGTGAGTATTATGGTCGTAGAAACGACATGGGTCAAAGCTATCGGGATAAGGATAGATGTTAGGGTCCTGGTGGAACCACTGCGCAGGCATGGCAACGAAGCTACCGCGATCCAAAGTCCGACCAATACTGTCAAGGTGGACTGGCTGCTGGAGACGGCGCGTCGCCGTAACCAAAGCCAGATTTGCAGTTGGTGAGAAAATCGGACAACAAGTTGGGGAATGTACTGGATCATGAACTATATAATTATACACTGAAGTTGTATCACACCGAACGGGTTCTCGGGCAAAACTTCTCAGCCGGGGCATCCGATCCAGGATATCCATGGGCCATTCGCCCCCTGTGGGATGCAGCGCGGAGCAAATCTCACTCCGCTGCACATCTGCATATCCAGGGTCGGCAACGGCATAGTTCATCATCCCGATGACATACGCGGCGATAGGGAATGGGATCTCAAGGGCACTGAGCAAACAATCCCCAGTTAGGACACTAACCGTTTTTCCTTCAGTTACCAATGCAGCTTCCCCACCAATCTCACCCTTTTTCATCTTGATTGCAATGGTTGCATTAATCAAAGTGTGACCATCGCGATGAGAGAGCTTTTCAGCCCGTGCGCACGCGATCCACTGGCGAATTTTGAGCATCAATTGCTTCTTGCTGCCCGTGATAGTGGACTGCAAACGTCGCCCGCACCGTGAGAACTGCCAGAGAAGCGGACGAAGTATCTCTGGATACATGCCACGAAGATCACGAAGCCCACTGGCTTGACCACAGAAGTCAACGCAGCGCTGGACATATACCGGGGGTGGGGTCATGTCCAAATTCTGGCCCGATAATGTACAATGTCGCAATTCCAATCATCATGGGCCAAATGAATTCGTATGCAACGAAGGAATGCCACTCCGTGCCTGCGACTCAGTATGTGGATAGTGTATGAAATTTGGATGGCGTCAAACCCTTGTCTTTCTCGTCCTCGAAAGCGGCCTCAAGGGCCTTGTCGATGGTGAGAATGATGGTCTTATGCATCGAACCTACCGACGGGAGATATCTTGGTTCAAACCCTGTGCCTGGTATATTGCGCGTATTGGGGGCTTACCAAGGGTGTTGTTCTTCGACACGGATACCTGCACCGCTTCGACGTGATCCCTTGTCATCGGACAAGTCGATTCCAAACCAAATGCCTGCAAGCAAGCTACGTCGTCAGCGGGAAGTTACTAAGGGCGATAAAGATTGAAATTCAGGGCCCATACGTGGTTTACCGAGTCCAAAAAGCTGAAATGTTCTGGAGTCTTCCGTTGGTAATCTTTGAACGCTTTAGGAGGCAACACGACGATGTAACTTCGAAAGAATGGCATCGCCCACGGCTGCTCTTCCTTGGTATACTGCTCGCTATTAGCCTGGGAACAGTTGGCCCTCTACCTTTCGAACTTACCATGTCAAACGCTTGCTGCACCACTCAGTTAAAGTCCCGACCTATCGGGGGTTGATTGAAGCGGCGCTGCCAGTAGCTTCCCTCCCTAACAATCACAATACCCTAGAGTGCCTTTCGCTTTGTCCATAGGTCAAGATAGTCGGTTAGAACTGCTGCGCCGCAGAGCAAAAGCAGCGATATCCCTACGGTTAACATCGACGACTGTCGTATGGTGAGCCTTAGGTTCATGAAATTCTCCATTTCGTCCAACCCCACAACTGGTTCCCCCAATCTGGACTCTGGCTAGCACTGATAGCAGACTTGGATCCCCTGAGCTTGGGCACTATCATCCGCCCGAGGAGCGGTCAGGATCTGGCGGTAGGAGTTTGTCTCGGAACGGTCGCAGGTTCCACAGAACGCACACCAATGATCGATCTACTTGGGCCAAAGTCCATCGCGATGCTGTCTGACCAATTGGATGCACAGCGGTCGCCCACATGGCAAGAAACGAGATAGGCTGATGAGGACTGCGCCGACACTGGATGTAATTCTAGGTGCTGCGCGTTAGGCAGGATGCGTGACATCCGATCACAACTATCTGATTGGCCCTCAGACTCCATCGAGGATGCCTTTGAGTGTCCTGCTCAGCATCTCGGAATAATCTATGATCAGCTTGGCAAGGCATATACGCATAAGCAGCGATCCATCTGGGAAATCCATTCTTCGCGCGGCCACAAGGCTGTCCATGTCGCCCACAGCTTAGAATGTGTCATTAATCGCCATGCTATGCTGCGTAGTGTCTTTGTCCCTTCACTGGACAACCGTATGGAACCCATTCAGGTTGTTCTGAAAGAGATTAGCGCGGCCATCCAGATTGTGACGGCCTCCGACATCAAAGCGGCTGTACAGCTACAGGAGTTCAAAGCCATTCAGTGCCGAGACAGGCCCTTGCCACATCTCTCTATCCTGACTGATGGGCCAGATGGGCAGATTTGGTGGCTCTTCAAGTTCGACAAAGCACTGATCGACGCAGCATCCATGACCATTGTGCTGCAAGAATTAGCCACATTATTGAATTGTCACTCCTGCCCGCTGGACCTAGCTCCTTCCTACTCTAAATATGTTTCCGCTGTTCACGAAATAAAACCGAAGCAATGCCTGCGATTCTGGCGGCGGACCCTCCGAGGCATAGTCCCTTGTCTATTGACAAAGTCCCCAAGTTCTCTGCTACGCTGTCCCTCCCCGGAACCCCGGGTTTGCACGGTTAGCAAAGAGTTAACCGCCTTAGACACATTGGCGGCTCTTTGGAAAGCTTCAGGGTTCACAGCGACCAATGCTTTCCAGACCGTCTGGGGATTGGTTCTGGCCCGGTCCATTGCTCCTACGGATGTCTGTTATGGAGGTCTCAAGTCATGTCGCGATGCTGCCGTCCCCGGGATTCTTCAGAGGGTTGGCCCTCTCTTTAACATCCTCCCATGTCGCCTGCAGTTCAAGTCTGTTCATCCAACCATGTCCGAATTGAGTGACATCCTTTTGTCAAACCAGTCGGCGATGGCGGAGCGCGCACCCACCACCAGCATACGTCTTTACAGAGTATCATCGAGGCTACTGGGGTCGATAATCACCAGCTGTTCAACACATGTCTGATGGTTTAACCAGGTATGGTTACTATGACAAGGAACCAAAGCGTTCGATTCCAGCTTCTTGAGTCGCGCGAACATACCGAGGTAGGGCTACCAGATCATTTGACTAGGCAATTTATGTTGTAGCTAACGAATTAGAGGAATATAGTACAAGGTAGTCGCAACCGTGATCCTTTTCCCTTCGCATTGTGAGCTCCGCATCCGTTATGGGAATGACTTTTTCTCTGAGCCTGAAGCGCTCGATTTGCTTGACCGGTTCTGTGATACTGCGACGGAGGTTTCGACGGCGGTGAGCTCTATGGAACTAGGTACCAGGGAGAAGCCTTTTGCATAGTTCAACACCATTCATGGGACATCACTTATACTTCATGAAATTCATCAGTATACTTACTCAATGCGGTGTTGAACAAAGATATGGGAAGTGGCGGGCTGTCTTCCACCTGATAGCTGAGGCTGCTATCACCCGGATACTGAAGTCTGCTCGTCTGAAATAATACCTCCCAAGATATCACAAAATTGCTTTGGTTCGATATGTATCATATACTCTTATGCTCAAACCACCAGGCCAAACTTGCCACCTAGAAGTTAAATGTTGGGGGTTTAGGCTACACGGTCAAGTATTTCGCTCGGTAGCTAGGCTTTAACCACTAAAACCATGGGGTGGATCGGGTTTCCAATACTACTGCCGCTCCATTTGATCCCCAGATATAATTATAGACTCCATCGGCAAGGCCGATGGCATCGGTAAGCTGCCGAGGGCCGTGAGCAGATCCTAATTAAATCGGGAGTTAACCGAACGATCGGCAGGCACCGAAAACCTGCCTTCTCAACGGCCCCAGCTTTGGTTGGTCAGATACATTTCTTTCTGACAAAGAAGGATGTCGAATCTAACCTAGAAAAGATGATGCTATATCGGGGAATTGCATTACACACAAGGCGACTGATTCTGGGGATGATTCCCTCAGTCACCGTCCAGAATCTGACTGATGTTCAAAATCTACCTTTAAAACACATATAGCAGGCTCTAACACCAGTCCAAGCTGCATAGCTGGAAGGTGAGGGTAGAGTACAAGTCAAGGAATAAGAGTGATCGGATGATACATACTAGTAATCATCTGGGAGGTGACCTGTCCATATTTTATTTTTCCTTCCTCCTCGGAGTAATAACCTCACAACGACCAAGGTAATCGCACTCTAGATCCTGCACCAAGTTGGTGACGTTCTCTGGGGGTTAATCCAAAAGACACTAGCCACCGGGCAGATACGCCGGGTTTGCCGGTAGCTAAAAGCACTTCAGGACCAATTTGGACGCACACTGTCGATCCTGTAGCCACTCATGCAGTCATTGGTCTATACCAAACCGCTTGGCTAACAGGGTAATATATTGCAGCCCGGATACGACGCCGGAAGAACGTCTAGTTCTTCAGGGGGAATCTCACCATTAGCCAGGAAAAGTGGATATTGTCACGGAGAAGGCCAATAGTATGCTTCCAGGGATGCTTATTACAAGAGTAGCAATGGGGTGACCATTGGATATGGGGGCCATATGTGTGTTGATTGTAGAAATAGTTATTCTTGCACAGGTCAAAAAGGGCAATACCCAGGTATAAAAGGGGGTCGACCATCGCGAGCATAAATCGAGGAATCAGGAATCATCCGTCATCCACTGACAAACAGTCATCTCTTGATATCTTATCAACTTCGTCAGAAATGCATTTCGCTGGAGTCGCCGCCATTGCTTTGGCCGCTGGTGCCACTGCGTATGATCTACCAGACAACCTGAAGGAGATCTACGAGAAGCATAAGGTATGACGTTGAAGTCTCTTTACATGTTCTAGCAATGCTCTCTTAGTAACACAGTTGTCCTGTCTAGAGCGGAAAGTGTTCCAACGAGCTGCAAGGTGGCTACGACAATGGCCATTCCCATGATGGAGATACCTTCTCCTACTGTGGCGACATCCCCAACGCGATCTATCTGCATTCGTCGAAGAATGGAGGTCAATATGCCGATATGGATGTTGACTGTGATGGAGCGAATAGACACGCGGGCAAGTGTTCCAATGATCACTCCGGACAGGGTGAAACCCGCTGGAAGGATGAGGTTCAGAAGCTTGGGATTGATGACCTGGATGCAAATATCCATCCGTATGTGGTCTTTGGCAATGAGAACGATGATGGTGACGATCCTAAATTTGATCCACGGGAACATGGAATGGAGCCATTGAGTGTGATGGCAGTTGTATGCAACGGCAAACTGGTATGTGCAGCTTCCTCCGTACGATCTACAAGTATGTGTCTAACCCTTCCTCCCCAGTTCTATGGTATATGGGGCGATACCAATGGCCACACTGCAACCGGAGAAGCGTCTCTTTCAATGGCCGAGCTTTGCTTCCCGGAGGAGGACCCCTCTGGGGACAGTGGCCACGAAGAGAATGATGTTCTTTATATTGGTTTCACTGGCAAAGAGGCGGTGCCTGGAAAGACCGCTGACTGGAAGGCCGACAATACCGAGTCCTTCGAGGAGAGTATCAAGGAGCTCGGAGATAAATTGGTTGCTGGTCTCAAGGCTTGAACTATTGAGGCAGGTGACCCGTGAATTGGTTCTGTAGATCGACAATAGCTGCGTATCTGTATTTCATGTATACATTGTCTGAGAATTTGAAGTGTATTTATTGCATCAGTTATTTCAACAATCTATGGATCAATAGAAACAGAGAGACGAGTGGTGAGATTGAAACCTCTAGTGCTTATTACGGCTCCCACAAAGTATAACCCACCGTCGAATCACGATCGACAAGAAGGAGCAATATAACGAGTAAGGAATCAGCTCCAATTTGCCCAGATGCTTGGAGGATCGGCACTCGGATATTGAAACGGCCCCGATGGGCCAAATATGGCACTTAGTGCTAAGGCCTTGCAGGATTCTGACGGTCTGACCCCCTAGTGCGCGAGGCTTCGGAATGTGACCTCGCGTTACTACGACGGAATAGCAAATGGCCCCAGAATAAGGGGGCCAAGAGAGAAAACTCGGTCCCAGCTCCTTGTCCCAAGCATGCTGATGCGGCAACGTACAATCCTTCTTATAAATCCAACTATTGGCCGCGTGAAGTGCCAACAATACAGTTCTTTCTCCTTGATAACTACATCTCGCTAATCATCATACGTTAAAATGATACCCAAGTCGAGCCTCATAGCTGCTGTCCTTTGCCTCGCCATTGAAGGGGCTGTCGCGCTGGATCCAAAATGTGCACCGGGAGGCAACTTTGATCTGTCGTACTGGAACCTCCAGCTCCCCACTGGTCAAACTGGCCATCCCTCGACCATAGTGCCATCTAAACTGAAAGGCTGCGATGGGTACCAGGAATCCGGTGTTTTCTATACCGATAGCAAGGATGGCGCCCTAGTGATGAAAGTTCCCGGCTCTCCTTCCTCTGCTGATTGCGTGACAACTCCTAATAGCAAACACTGTCGCACAGAGCTCCGCGAGCTCAGCTCTGATGGCGGCGATAAGGCTAGCTGGAGTCCATCTGCATCGAAGAACCGACTCAAGGCCACACTCACCGTACCAACACCGGATGATGGGTCCCACGGCACCGTCATCGGTCAGATCCATATCGATGACACTATCTCAAGCAAACCCGTCTGCGAGCTGTATTACAGCAAATCGGGCGACCTGGTCATGGGAGTTGAAAAGACGCGCGCTGGGGGCAAGAGTATCTTCACCAAGGTGGGAAATGTTCCTGTCGGGGAGAAATTTTCGTACGAGATTCGCTATGAGTCGGACAAGTTGAGTGTCGGCATCAACAGGGAGGCACCGCAGACATTGGATACGTACTCCTTGGACTCACCGAAGTCGTACTTCAAGGCTGGGAACTATAACCAGGGAGACTCGGCTTCCGAGGTGCACTTTTACGAACTCAATGTTCAGCATTAAGGACTGCGCGCATGGATGAAGGGGGGCTAAGGAGGGGAGACCATATAGCTTTTCATTCTTTCTGTCTTTGTGAGATTGGTTGCTGTCGTGGGAAAGACAGACTGATATCTGAAAAACTCTCCTATGGCGCTGTAAGGGGAATCGACTTGGCTTGTCCTGATACCGTCTACATTGGCAGAAGACCTACAGACATGGCAACTCAATGATATGAGCGCTAAACACCAACCACGATGCCATCGAAGGGTTATGCTGCAATAGTAAGAGGTCTAACGTGTATATTATGCTCTTTCTGTAGTAACGCTGTACTCTATCATTGTACCGGAATACTCTGCGCGGAAACCAGAGCCTAAAGGAGGCTGGCTTCACCTAATACTTGTATTCAGATGAAATGTAACGAACATGTGAAGTGAATATGTAGCTGTATCATGAACTGTAGCTTGTACCTCGACGATTGCTATTTATTGAACCTTTCCCCGCGAGTCTACGCGCCAGATTTCCTCAACAACCCCGTTCCGATGAGCATAATAGAAGTCATGCAGGTTAATAGTAGGATCGATATGGCTCGGAATCATTTCAACCCTGTCGCCCACGGCCAAATCTGGGGTTCCTTCCTCCCAGCTCAGTGAGCCGTGTTCATCGCCCAGGTTCTGGTGCGTGTACCTCGGGTCTTTACACTCTGCCAGCCCACTATCTGTCGTCAAGGACTTTAGGCCAGTATCGATTGTCACTATCCTCTCTCCTTGTTTGCTGATGACCGTAGAGAGTAACGTGAGGCTATTCGAATAAAATGTCCCGACCGCATTCCGGTAGTCGGTGTCCATGAAAATGAAGGATCCAGGCTGCAGTTCGGTCACACCGGGCACTGTAGCGCAGAACTCAGCAGTTCCAGTCCCCCCTGTCGTAACTACTTCAATGTTGAAGCCCTCATTGCGGAGCAGCGTCGCTGTATCTGTGAGGACTTTCATTGACTCGAGGCATTGTTGCTTACGGTCCTCCCAGCTGTGGAGGTGCTGTAAATGACCCTCATATCCCTGGACACCGATCAAGCGCAGGTGGCGGAGAGAGCTGATATGCCTTGCCAACGTGAGCGCTGCCTGTGCATTGGCAACACCGGTGCGATGCAGACCTACGTCGAGATCCACCAAAACAGAGATAGGTTCTGCGATGCCCGCCTGCGCCAGTGCATTGTTAATTGCCGTTGCGCCAACTTCACTGTCCACCACAATCCTAATGTTTTTGTGCTTCTTGAACAGTTCCACCAGTCTTTTGACCTTGGGCTCGCCAATAATCTCGCAGGTGATAAGGATGTCGTCGAACCCCGCGGCGGTGATGGCCTCAGCTTCGGACACTTTGGCCACACAGCAGCCTTTGGCCCCTGCAGCAGCAAGCTTCTGTGCGAGGATCGCGCTCTTGGTAGTCTTCAGGTGAGGGCGAATGTTGAGCCCAGTGGGTAGGAGGCTGTCAAAGAGTTTCTTAATGTTGGCTTCCATGAGATCCAGATCCACAATCATGGATGGGGTGTCAAGGCTGTCGAGCCTGTCGCCGATCTTGGGGGAATACATGACGCAGTTTCAGACGATACGAAATTCTATGAAGAAAGATCGGGGGTAGAGAGGAATCCTGAACAGTCAACGTAGGCTGTAAACATGCAAATGCAGGGTATCATGGCCAGTAAATACTTCGAATTGGCCCTGACAACCTACCCCGCCTTGCGTCCCACAGAACGCTTCTGCCAAGGCCAACTAAGGCTGTGGGTCATTGGGCAGGCGTGCATGACTGGGTGCATCTGGTGCTAGTCGCGTCCAGTGGGTCGCGGGGAGCTGGTGAAGAGGAGGCAGTTTGTATAAGACGGCTGGAAGTTGACCGAAAACGGTAGACAGTTGATGCTGCTTGCGGCCATCCATTTGCCAACCCGTGACCCTTCCGCCACGCACTGGCCTACTTACATCCACGCACTCGATGGTGAACAAACCCTTAGCCATCGACATCGCCTTTGCATCTAAAGGACAAATACCCAGCACGTCGCACTTTAAGGGGTTTCTCTTGGTATTCCACATCCTCCAAATCCGAACACTCAACTCAGAATAAGCCGAACCGGCCGCAATAGACAAACATGGACTTGAGAATAGGACGCCATTCGTTGAGCGTAGAACCGTCCGTTGACGTTGCAAGACATACTCTGCTATAAGACTCGCATCCGCGCATGTCTGCAGGGACTGGCGGCGCTTTAGAGGGCTCTTCCTTCAATTCCGCACACATATCTGACCTATGGCAAACTCCATTCGTAACCGACTATGTGAGATTCGGTGCCGTCGGACCCGCGGAACAGACAGACTAGATTGTGGAGAACCCCCACGCAGGGTCAGTGCGCTCGCAGGTCTGATCCAGTATACACGCGCTGTGGAATTCTCTATAGCCTGTGTAGAATGGAGTATCTGACATCAGGTTTCTTTCCTCGGACAGTCCATGTGTCAACTGCATCGCAGCTGGGAGCCGCGGATTAAGACCGCCATGCCAAAGAACATAAAAGCCGCCCTTGAGCGCAAAGAAGTCCCTTGGATTTGTATATCACCTTGAACAGGATTACTACAAACTCTATAATCCATTGTCGCCTTTTGCCAACAAGAACGACGCTTCACCATGACGAGCTCCACTACCAGCGCTGACCGGGTTGTCTTTATTGGGGCCGCTGGCGAGATGTGTCGCGTGGCCATTGAACGGTTTGCTACCGCAAGCAATGCCTTGCTGATTCTAGCGGACATCAACACGGACGCCCTGGAACCGCTTCTCGCGAAGCTGCCAGCTGGCCGTGCGACAACCAAAAAGCTAGACCTTTTCGATGAAGCTAGCTTGCACGACACGATTACCGGGGCGGCTCTCGTTGTCCTTGGCGCCGGACCCTACGCGCGAACCTCGGGGCCCGTCCTGGCCGCCTGTCTGAAGGCGAAGGTGCCTTACCTTGACTTTGACGACGACGTGGAGAGTACTACGGCAGCTCTCGCCCTACACGAAAAAGCTCGGGACGCTGGCGTGCCATGTTATATTGGCTGTGGTGCCTCACCAGGTATGAGCAATGTACTGGCGGTTGACGCCGTCGGCGATCTTGACACGGTTGATACGATCGATCTCTGTTGGCTCGTGGGTGATGAGCGTCCCGGTATTGGCAAGGCGGTCCTGGAACATCTCATGCATATTGCTGCTGGGCCTTGCTTGACATGGGTAAATGGAAAGCCATCGCTCAATGAATCCTGGGTCGAGACAGGATATGCACCCATGGTAGGACAGTGTGGTGAAACACTCTTACACGAGACTGCACATCCGGAGCCAGTCACCCTACCACGACTATTTCCAAACACGTCGCGTATTCGATGCCTAGGCGGGCTAGATCCTGCACCCTTCAACGGCATCGCCCGTGGACTGGGTACAGCTGTACGTCGGCAAGCATTGTCTATGGACGAGGCCGTTAACTTCCTACTCGGCCTGGTCAATAACGCTCCATCGTACAGTGGGTGGACCGATGCGCTGGGCGGCTTGACCGGACACTTCCGCGGCGGTGATATTACTATCAAGGAACTGTGGCATTTGGTGGCGCAAGGGGCCCAGGCTCTAGGCCCTTGGCGCTATGCACTTATGGGCATGATTGACCAAATTCGAAGCGGTGAATGCACAGTCGGAGAGATTCTGTCTTTCATCGCCTCTTCTGTGCGCGGCCAGCCAGCACCATATCGTGGCAGTCTACTCGTGCGAGCGATCGGTTCCCGCCAGGGTCACCCTGCCGTGGTGATCAAACGAACAGCGAAATGTGGCGAAGGCTCCTATCTTATGAAGGACATGGCGTCAATCACCGGAACGGCATGTGCCGCGTTCATGGTAATGGCGCTGGAACCAGGGCAGAAGCGGACTGGTGTGTTTGCTCCCGAGGATTGGGCGAAGCCCCAGGCCTTCTATCAGGCACTGGAGCAAGTGGGCACTCCCCGTGAAGAGATTGTGGAATGTCTCACTTCATGATGGAGTGATCAACAAAGGGAGGGAAGTCGAACGGTTTGGACGCCGGTGATGCCAGCTAGACTGGCTGGACGTATCCTATTCTCTATCTTTCTGTCTCGCGCAGTGTTATTCGTTCTTGTCATTAACCGTCGGATATATCACATTTTGGCATGTTATCGGAAACATCACTGTCAATATCTTTTATCATTACTGTTCGTGTTGTTAGTAGATATGGTTATGCAGTTCTATCTGTATAGACTCGCTTCGCCGCATTGTCCCCTGGGTTCTCGAAGATCCACGACTAGATTAACAGTAACTAGGCAAAGCAGCTTCTAGGGTTTCGGTTCAGCGTCAGAAACTGTATCCAACCCGCGGGCTCAGATGGTAAGCCTATACCCATAGCTGTAAACTCACATAATTATATTAACCTATGCCCCCCCCAAAGAACCTAGTTTAGTGCGTAATATATAAAGTTCTACAGTGGACCCATAGCCAGTAAAACAATATACACATGCAACAAGGGATGTTATCCGTCGGTGGCTAGCAGGAAGTCACCACAGAAGAATAACCCCCGACCGAAACTAGTAGATATCGCTCATTCTGGTTGCTGCAGATTCTTTCCTAGTGCAGGCGGAAAATTGACGAGATCAAATTTTTGATTCTCGCCATTGTGGCTGAACCTTCTTTGCAAAAGCTTCCACGCCAATCTTGAAGTTCTCCCCTCGGACCACCCGGTCCACATACGCCTCCCTAGTTCGTGAGGCTGCGTGTTGGACACTGGATGTCTCCCAAGCCTCCCTCAAGCCCTGTCGCGTGACCAAGATGGCGTCGGGTGAGAACGCAGTGATCCGCTTCGCGATCGCCAAAGTCTCCTCCAACAGAGACTCGGGTGTCTTGGAGATTCGGTTGATCAGTCGAAGGGACAGGGCCTCCTGTGCCGGGAGACGGCGACAGGTCAACGCCAGCTCGCTGGCAATTTGCATACCACACACTCGTGCGAGGCGCGGCAGACCTCCGGCCGCTGCAAATAACCCGACGCCTGCTTCTGGAAGCCCGAACTCGGCTGTAGGTGATGCAACGACGATGTCGCTACACGTGAGAGTATATTAGTATTGGATGGGCAGCTTGGTATAGACAAAGAGAGAAACTGATAGATTAGGTAAAGGGAATCAAGGCCCAGACTTACCAGTTGAGACAAATTTCAAATCCTCCACCAAGGGCAAAGCCATTCACGGCGGCCAACACGGGCTTTACGCCTTTCCTCTGGCTCAGCCCAGCAAACCCCGTGGGTGGGTGTGTCAACAACGCTTTCTGAGCCAGGGATAGCTGTCCAGACGTTTTGGAACTCTGTTCCTGCAAGTCTTGACCCGCGCAAAAGGCCTTCTTTCCTGCACCGGTAATCACGGCAACCAGGAGAGATGGCTCATGATCGAACCAGGTCAAGAGCTCATGGGCTTCCCAGTGAGCATCTGAGGGGAGAGAGTTGCGCTGCTTTTCGCGGTTGATAGTCACCAGGAGGGTCTGGGGTTGAGGAAAGGATACAATATAGTGCTTTGTGGAGGGGGGTTGGGTCTTGAACGGTACAGCCATGATGATTTTTCCTTCAAACTCTGAGCACAAAGATTACAAACGAAACTTATGACGTGGAGTATTATACACGAGATGGCCCCAAATGTTCCCCACACTGGCGCAAAATTGGGTGAATTATGACAGACGCAATTTGACCGACGAGATACCCGCGGCCCTCGGTCTTTGCTGTACCAAGTTAACCATCCTCTGTGAGGGGCTCAGGGTGAAACAATGATATTGACGAACAATGGTGGCATTGAATCAATAGAATTGGTGACAGATAGATACGGCTAACAATGAACAAATTCCCATCCCGTTAAAAGCAACGCTCGGCTGTTTCAATCTTGCGGTGGCAACTTCCCACTGGCTATAGGATACAAGTTGCAGTAAAAGCTATCTGTGATGTAGGCTTCCAGCAGAAGCACCGACCTATCTAGATCATGATTCGGCATTGAACCCTCAATCGTTTAGATTCATATGTAAATATCATAATTTATAATTTCCCAACATCTGCCGTTCGGTCAGCAATTGAACAAAAGGTACAGAAAGTTGTTTTGCCCAAGCCACATTGACATGATACATTGTCCGCCGGTATTTCTGCAACAATCTAAGAACCAGGTAGACTGTCTAAGTAGTAAGCATACTGGGATGTACAAAATTATGCATTGGGGTTTGGATCCAATTCTCTCCTCTATTATAGACCGAGGTGATTCGGATACTTGTTCGGCCCAGGCTCGGGAAGGTCCAGAGGCAATGGCAGCGGTAGCAGACCATATTACGATTAAGTTGATCCCGAGAGTTCAGTATCGACTGACCTTCTTTCTCCATTGTTTACTGAGAGGACTATATGAGCCAACCTGACCATGTCACACGCCGCCACTTTGACACCTGTTGTGATCGGAGTAGGAGATATCAAGAATACCTCTGTGAAACCCGAGTATGCATACGAACCAATCGAGCTTATGATTCAGGCAATTACAGCCGCGGCAAATGACAGCTCCGTACCGAGAGGCAAGATTATTCCCGCCGTTGATAGTATTGACGTTGTTGCGAACTGGACTTGGCCATATCCGAACGCTGCTCAATTGTTGGCGGAGAAGCTCGGCGTGAAACCAGTGCATCAATATGAAAGTGGTCATGGGGGCAACGCGCCCGCGAAATTGTTTGATGAAGCTGCTCGACGAGTGTCTAAAGGCGAATGTCGGCTTGCTGTTGTGACTGGTGGTGAAGCTCTTGCATCATGTTCGTTCGCCCCTTCGCACCGATGAGGTATTGGGGAAGATATTAAAGGAGACAAATAATAGTGGCTGCATCCATGGCGGAAGAGAATTCTCCCCCCAGTAATTGGACTGAAGTGAAAGACCATTCGTCTATCTGGGAACGGTCGAAACGTGATGGTCCGTTTCACTTGGATACAGGTTTGGGGAGATAATTTGCTAAGGCTGTATCAGATCTCGGAACATTGCATTCGATCGGACTTCCGATTCAGGTCTACCCTCTGTACGAAGCTGGACTTCGAGCCCATCGCAAACAGACTTACGACGATAATCATCAAGAGTCGGCACAGCTGTATGCCAACTTTGCTGAAATTGCAGCGACCAATCCTGTCGCGTGGAACTATGGCAGGGCCCCTGCGACAATCGATTCCATTGCTACTATCACGAAGAAAAACCGAATGATATGTTCACCATGTAGGTTTCAACTGCAGATACGTCATGACTGACATACATTGACCGTTCCCAGACCCCCTGTTGATGAATGCCTTCAACAATGTTAACATGGCAGCCGCGTGTATTGTTACTTCCGTGGACTTTGCTCGCCAATTAGGAGTGCCTGAATCTCGCTGGATCTACCCCCTTGGAGGCGCCGGCACAAGCGACGCGAGCAGTTGTAAGTGCAGCATCTTCTTGTCAGGGGGCAACTCACAAACGATATGCAGTCTGGGAAAGGCACAACTTTCACTCGAGTCCTAGCATCGCAAACTCGCTGGACGAAGCGCTCCGAGTGTCCGGTTTGACCAAGGAGGACATTGACATTTACGACTTTTACTCGTACGTTCCTCTCCTTCGACTGATTTCCGACTCTGCTAACTTATGAAGCTGCTTTCCTATCGTCCCTAAATTAGCTTGCCGGCACCTCGACCTCCCCATCACCAGAAAGGATCGCCCTTTGACGGTGCTTGGTGGGCTGACCTCCTTCGGCGGTGCCGGTAACAACTATTCTCTCCATGTATGACTCTCCTTTGGACCACATGATGTGATTCTAACCGCGGTACCAAAGGCCATCACGCAAGTCGTTCGTGAGCTACGTGCTCGCCGTGGACAGCATGGACTTGTTCTCGCCAATGGCGGTGTCCTGTCCTACCACCACGTCGTGTGTCTCTCCGTTCGGCCGCGAGCCGATCGATCCTTATATCCATGCGAGAACCCTTTGCCGGAGTTCTCGCCTGACATTTCTTCGCCGCCAATTGCCGCTAAGGCAAATGGCCGTGCAGTCATCGAGGCATGTCCATCTAAATTACTAGATCGGCTGAAGCTAACTGGTGCAGACGTACACGGTGGACTTCCAGCGTAACGGCTCTCCTGGTCAGGGATACGTGGTGGGCCGTTTGGAGAGCGGGCAGCGCTTCATCGCCAATGCTGCCAATGCTGCGACCCTGAAACAACTGTCTAGTACCGCGGTTGAACAAATTGGCCGTACTGGGTGGGTCCTGAATGACGCAGAATCATCGCGGAACCTATTCTCATTCGAGGGCCCTCATATTTAAGGTTCTATAGTCGGCACAATGTTGGAGAGGAAACGGGTTGAGACCCAGCGCGGCCCTTGGTCCCGGGCTATACTAGTAACTGTGCACGGCTGCAGCAACTATGGAAGCGATTTTTTACATAACAACTTCCCTATAATGACATATTACCCAATGACTTAGGACTCCATGGAATGCTTCCCAGCGGGGCGAATTTTAATGCAGCCCCGCAACGCTCTTATGCATCAACCTAGGTGCATTGGTTTCCTGCATCTCAATTCCATTTGGGGTTCCAGCACCTCGGCCAGGAGACAGTGGCCACTTGGTCCGAGTGCGTCAGGTCAGGAAAGCACATCCATTTCTAATGTGCATCGCCACAGAACGGTTGTATCAGTTTTCCTGGCTCCTGACTGCCCACCATGAACGAAGTTGTGTCACCAGTAAACCATCGTCATGTCCTCCCCACCGACCACAGACCAAGCCGAAACTGGTACTGTTCATCAGAAACGCCCAATCAAGCGGGCAACCTCTGCATGCTTCAATTGCCGACGGCGTAAGGTGCGATGCAATCTCAACTGCGGACGCCCGTGCACCAATTGTCGTTTAGACGGTTGGAAATCCATTGTTCCTGATCGCAAGAGGCAGGGCCGTCGGAACCTGGTTGCTCCAATTCGACGGCGAAATGACAGGGAACAGACCGGTAGACCTTCGGTCCTGGGAAAACATTCCACCTAAGCAGGCAAGGGACTTTGATGGAATCGGCTGAGGCACTCGAAAGAATCATCGAATTGATATCCCCAGGCCAGGGAGAACTGGATGGTAACTTTACGATCGACATATTAACGAGATGGAAGATGGAAATGACAAGGCCAATCTTCCCGACTGGCAGAAGTCGGTACTGCTCGGTCAGATTGGAGACTGGATCAATGGACAGGTTGCAGGGTATAAAGAATTCTGGGCGGCGAGTATCATTTGCAGGCACTGCCCAAGACCCCGACAGGCAGGATTCAGAGCCGGCTTGCGCTGGCCAAGATACGAGAACGTAGAATGCCTAGGCTGTGAGGATTGATTCGCGCCGGAGGCATTTATTATTTTTCAGTCTTTTAGTCTCTTTCAATCTACTATGTACCTATCCCAGTCGCCCCCCTCCTGACTACGCCGCCATGCATGCTCCCGTTGCCCCAGTTGTGCCTCTGGAACAACCATGGCGATATCGATTCTCAATCTAGTTGGAAAAGTCTCCTGGAACCTATGCGCCGGCTCCCGCGGATTCCGAGCGGCTGCCGATCATCAGTGACCAGATCGGCGTCTCTTAACGCAATAGGGAAGCCACACCATATCGCCCAATAGGCAATACTAGGCAAAATAGAGTGCAAGCCAAGTACGATAACCTTTCACCGATAGCGTGGGTGTATCCGTCACCGTATGATGTTCTCTCACCCTCTCGTTTGGGTGCAGTAAAGCAAGAAAGGGTCTGTCTGATAGTGAGGAAGAATCCGAGATCGATATTAAGCCTGTAATGGTACATCGACAAATCAGGTCGCAAGGTGCTGATCTAGGAGAAACTTGCTCGGAGGCGAATATAGTAACATCGACATCGGGACATGCGCAGTGGAGCCCCAGAGCATCTCTGACCATGAATCCTTCCAAGGTTCTTTGCTATGATCGTGCGAGGAATCTTCGAAGCCGCGGATCCGCGGATCCGAGCTACCTTGCTGCTCCTGATAATACGCTACATAGAGCGTAGATCTAACGGTGGGGCCCTCTCTCCTCATGGTCCCAAAATATCAGGTAATCCCTGGCGGCGATCATGTCGCTCCCTGTACAGCCGGTCAGTTGAAGCTGTACATATTAGCACTCGCCATTGCTATATAAGCCTATATGCAGCCCCAGTACCGAGCTAACCATCCTCTACAACTTGACATTTATCACAGTACAAAAGCATCGAGATCCTCCATAACAGCGAAAACATGAAGGAGCTTTTTGATGTTGCGGTAATAGGTGCTGGGATGGCGGGCATACTCGCCGCCCGAGATCTCAGCCAAAAGGGTCATTCTGTTGTCCTTCTCGAGGGTCGAGATCGAGTCGGCGGACGAACATTTACGACCGAGGCCTTTGGGACCGAACTCGAACTGGGAGGTACCTATGTGCACTGGACCCATCCAACCATTTGGCATGAGCTACAACGACATGGCATCCCCATAATTCCCCCGTTGGATTCACAAAAGACCTACTGGCTAGCCGATGACGATGTCCACTCAGGCACAATGAACGACTACTACGAAGCCGTCAATCCTCTCATGTCACAGTTTGTGCATGATGCTCGTTCCCAATTTCCGATGCCGTTCAACGTCAGTGCTTCAGCGAGTGACGTCGACCAGCAGTCCCTCGAAGACCGCATCATCTCCTTGAACCTCTCGGTCTATGAACGCGATGTTCTGGAAGGAGCTATGTCGGGCTTGGTTCACTCATATAAAGAGCAGGGTGTCGCCCAGCTGCTTCAAGGTGTCTCTGGCACCTTCGGAGACTACAATGGCTTCTTCGAAACTGCTAGCTTTTGGCACATAGAGGGCGGTACCAAGCGCCTGGCAAAGGCCATCATGTCCGAATCGACTGCCACGATACGCCTCGAAACGCCTATTCAATCAATTTCAGACAACGGCTCTTTGGTGACAGTCACCACACGTGCTGGTGAGATTATCCATTCGCGTTTTGTCATCAGCGCAATGCCTATAAACACTCTTGGCGATATAACCATCGAACCCGAGCTTCCTGCACCGGTGCAAAGCTTGATCGATAGCAAGAATCCGGTAATGGCCAGCAAGATATACGTTCGTGTTAAGGGTACTATTGAACCCTTCAATGCTTTTGCTCCGGCTGGTAAAAGCCCTATCAATGCAGCTAGGGTCGAGTCACGGTATGAAGGAGACACGCTAATCATGTGCATTTGCTCTGATGCCGCAGCAATCCAAGCAAATGACCATGCGGCAGTGCAAGATGCTTTGCGAAAGTTCGTTCCTGATATTGAGGTTGTCGATACTGCTAGTCATGACTGGGGTACTGACGAGTTTTCTCAGGGTGGCTGGGGATGGTACCGGCCTGGGAAGCTGACAGGGGCCGCTCCACTGATGCGACAGCCTCATGGTCGCATCTTCTTCGCAGGGAGTGACATTGCTTCGCTCGGGGCTGGCTTTATTGAGGGTGCTATGCAGACGGGTGTAGTGGCCGCTCGCGAGGTTGCCAGTGCATTGGCAGTTGGAGAATAAGCACGAGGTTTTCATTATTGGGAGATACTTGTACTGGGTTGGCATCGATCGACATCCCCATTCTATCCGAGCGTTTATTTAGGTTGTCGTTGCTCATCCCTGACCGGATCGTTCCTTCAAGACCCCCTACGTGGCCTTCTCAAAGCCATTCAATTCCAAAGTAACATCCAGCATCGAGCAACGAGAATACCAAATACACCGTCATTGAATCGAAATAATGAAAGATATACATGTCCCTACATACATAATACCCTAGTTAAGAACCGATGACTCGATAGAGTAGCACGGATTGACCCTGCTCAAATTAGAGAACCCTCACTCTCTCCCATCGCTCAAGTGCTTTCTGATAGCGAGATTGCGTCCTCTCTAGTCTTGCGCGCATACGAGTATCGGCTTCATCTTCGCCGGCAACGGTGTTCAGCTCAGTATCATCAAGCTGAGCAAACCTATCGGCGGAGACAACACGCATTGGACATTTCGGTCCCAGAACATGTCTCTCCATAACCTGCATCGCGACATTGTCGATAAAACGCCATAGGGCAATGTTGTAGTATCCATCTAGTCTCGCTCGGGCGGACAGAATTTGGTTCAAGGAGGTAGGTATAAAGTATGGTTCTTCATCTTCTTCTTTCGAAGCTCCATTGGCCTTACCACTCGCTGCTTTCTTCGATGAATGCCCCAGCAAGATCTCATCTGTCATGCTCGTAAACGACAGTAGATGTGGATTGCGAGTAATCAAAGGACGGGCCTGGTTATCCTCAACCAATTCCCGAAGTGCCATGTCTGCGTCTCGATTCCATTCTTCAAGGGTTTTCCCAACAATACGACTTACTTCCAGACGCACTTTGCTATTCGGTATTGCGATCTTTAATAGGATGTTGTAACAGTCCGAGACCATGATCTTGATATCCTCAACGAACTCACGGGCGATACTTTCCCAGTGCGCTGAGAGCTTCCGGAAAAGGGTTTCTTCTACATCTGGATGAACGCTTCCAGGAAGGCTTCTTCCTTCGCATATCTTGGCTTCCTGAGCAATTGCTGCGTAGAGCCCTTGCCCATTGACCACATGCTCCTCCCATACCCTGGGATCGGAGCTTTGAGATCTGAGCCACTCCAGGTCTGTTTTGTAATCTGTAATTGCGATCGCAATATTGTCGCTCTTGCACATATCGTCACGAAATTGGTCCAGACGAAGTCGGATTTTGTAACGAAGCATAGCCTTTGCATCTGTGGAAGGTATGTCTTGGTGCTGCCCTCTTAAGGTTCCTTCAGCCATCTTCTGCATCTCATTGCAGAACTGGAGGACATAATAGCGTTGAGCTCGCGCAGTAGTTCTCGACTCTCCCATTCTTTTCAGATTTGCTTCACACTCACGGAGGTGCTGAGTGATTTCAGTGATAATGTGGGGGATCTCTTTCTGGATTTGAGTCCGTCGTTCCTTGTCGATGTAGCCCATCAACGATCGGATTCCAAGCCTATCTTTCGATAGACCTTCCCAGGCTGGCTTAGCAAATTCCTTGAGTTCCATGTCGTCTCGATCTGCGTCAGACGAATCCCGCTCAGTAGGCAGTCTGTTGCGCAACCCGAACCAACCATGGTCCAAGTGTGGAACAGTGGCCAGGTCGTTTTGGAGAAGTTTGATCATCTAGTTAGCTCGTCAGTATTTGGATGATGTAAGAGCCTCGGAAGACCATACCCAATGGTCTGATCCTTCCTGCTTCCGATCGCATTTGGTGAGAACCCCGATGCATCGGGTCTGCAGACTCGGTATCTCTTCTATCAACTCAAAAGTCTTATGTCGCTCCACGTCCACGTTGTCGACCACAACCCTAACCACCGTTAGCCTTGGTCATCAGGGTCAGGTCAGATGGAGTGCATAGCACTCACAAAATGATATTTCGTTCGTTATTCAAATAAGTACGAGCCAACTCCTCCGCCACTGCCGCGTTATTCCGGACATGCGATTCTTCATTTAATCCAGTACCAGCGTCATTCGATACGTCTCTAGCCTTACTCGACTTCTTTCCACGTATTAAGCCGGGCAGGTCCACGATTGTCCAGTGCATTTCGTCAGGGCCGGAGCGCTCAATTCGGAGGGTCGCATCGCTCAGCGTCAATGGTTCGGTGGGCTTTCTGTCACCGAAGATGCATTCCGTTGCCTATCTGTGTTAGCAATGACAAAGGCCAGCGAAAGCCACATGCACCGACTTTTTCTATAATCTCCTCCATGACCTCCGAGGTCAGTTCCTTCTTCTCGATGGCGAAATTCTGTACCCGAGCGAGAAGCTCATCATCTTCCTCAGACAATGGGCCCGGGACCACTGTAGCCTTCACAGGAAGTTCCTTAGCCGCAGATGTCTGTCTAAATGAAATCTGAATAGGGAAGCGAGTGCACATATTGTCCTTGACTGGGAAGGACACTTCGGTGATAGCCTGAAGGACAGAGCTCTTGCCGGTGTTCTGGTCCCCGACGACAACGAGCTAATGACGACCGCAGACATCAGCATATGCTCCGGCCAGTCTCCAATCAACTTACCTCCGGTAGCTTAATCGTGTTACTGAGTCCAAGCGCCTGAAGCTCATCTATGAATGCGAGCTGCTCAGAGCTCTCCACTCCAATGAAATGGCGTACTCGCTTTCCCATTTTGGCTCGTATGGTGCTACAGACACGGTGGTGAAAATAAATTTACAGTACTCAGAGATACTGTCCAAGATGCAAGAACGGGGTTAAAGGGGTTCTCATCTTTGAGGACTCCCAAAGCGCCGACCACCGCTAAACATCGCTTACGGGTACCTCGGGCCTGCGGCGCAGCTGCATGCATTAGGGCATGCGCTAACGGGTACGTTATGGAGACCAACCACGAACCCCAGTCCATGCAAAGTACTCCTATTTGTTGAACTCGTGCTGATACACTGGTAGCGAGATAGTACGAGCAGGACGACTAGGATATCTGGAAGGGATTTGCGCTCAGGTGATTCACTTGACACAGGGGTTCAGATCCATAGCTCAGATGAAGTTACGCTCGTCAAATCGCTGTACTTGTATCGTAAGTCGACCGGATATCAATACCACCTTATATGCACCGGGCTCAATCGGGAAACGTTGTTGAGGTTGATATGGTACGTTCAATATCTAGCAGCGCGGGAGCTTCCGGTTTCTGTCCCAGGCTTGTCGAGGTTCACCTCGGGATGTGATATCATCCAGGAAGGTATGACGATCGAGATATACGCTCTTAATCGGGCCCACTCAAATGACAACCCCGCGAAGATACGTAAAGTGGAACAGCGTTACATGGCGGTAGCCCTTTCACTGACCCATAAGGCCGAAGCCTCCGCTCGAGTGCGATTATCTTCCCCTAGAATCTTGGCGGCTAAAAACCACTTCCTGCCCTGCCTGCTTTTAAGCCAGGCGTGAACGAGAATGATGCCCGGTGATTCTACTGGCGCACGATATGAGGTATTAAGGTTAGCTGTATACAAGCGTAGTCGCGTCTCCGAGGATGCTGGTTCACTGTTGTGGAGCTGACAGGCCCAAAATTCGATACAGCATGCTAGTGCTTCGTCGAGAAGTGCGCCGAGTACGCCACCGTGGACGGTGTCGCGGAACCCATTTCCTCCTGAACCCAGGTGTACGAGTATGACGATATCTGGCCCAATCTGCTCTCGATCCCGATTCTCCCATGCAGGACGGTTACTTCGTAAGATTTCCTTCCTGATGAATGCAAGAATGTGCGGGAACGTATTAGGAGTGTTCATTGTTTCGCTGAAGAAGGTGTCCGATGGGTCGCTTTTCTTGTATCTAGATGGTAATGTGATAGGCTGGTAGGAGCTGGAGCCGTTCAAATATGGGAAGCTGCATGGTAAAGAGGCGAAGAAACTTAAAGATGCCTGCTCTGGTGGAACGGTGGTGAGGATGTCGATGAACTTCATATTCGTAGTCGTAAATCCCTGGGCTATACTTGTCGTTGTTCTTGCAATGATGTCAGAAATATATGTAAGTACATGTTGCTATCTGGCATGTAACCCATATACGGGACTGCAGTAGTCCTGTTTCAAGGTTCATTTCCGGGCTTCGGTCCGCCAAATCACCATACAGGGGAGCATATGAGTAAAGATTGGTTCCTTTTGTACTAAGCTGGTGTAGGATCGGCTCGCAATGGATGGTAGGTTTACGCTAATGTAGGTACAGTTATATATATACCCGAGGGCTCCGCAGAGGCCCTCATGCAATACTGCAACTGATGTGGAAGATTATGGCACACAGCCGTACCTAATTAATAACTTGTCTTGTCCTTCCCATCCTACTGTGGTGTATTGTCAAACAAGGAAAGCAAGATGCTGGGTGGTTTCCAGATCTGTGATTCCGATGGAAGCCGTCAGTTAATATGGGGGGAACAACTCGGTATGCCGACATTAGAGTAACATTGCAGCAACAGTTCTTGAACGGTTTTGTTTTGCTAATCATCAGGAGCTGTGGAAGAAGACACGTGGAACCGCCAGTAAATGTCAAAGCTTTGGTTGTATCACTGATATTTGAGCATTAATAGAACCACATCAAACACACGCCTTAAGCTAAAACATCATTCACGACATACACCTTCAATTGGGATCATTCGTCTGATGAATCCCCAACAACCGCATCAGGTCAGGGATCTCAGTATGATCCCGGGTCGTCTTCATCCGATGGCACCATGTTACCTCCTTTTCTTCCTTCCCCGTCGTCTCTTCGTTACCTTTAACCGGTTCGAACAGGAACTCCCCCCCGATCTGCTTGTAATACCCGCTCTTGTGCGCCAAGCCTGATGGTATATATTTCATAGCCTGAATCATTGATTCGCCGACAATCCGAGCCATGCCCTTGCGAATATAGGACGGTTGACTGCCAATGGCCAGCGAACACACCATGTCCAGGTCCTGGTACAGCTGTCTGGTGGGGTCCGTGTAGATTGGGAAGTGGCAGTTGGTTTCCTTCGCATACATCTCGATCAAGCCCGGATCGCCGCAGCCAATGATTACCACCGAGGTGCTTTGTGCCAGAGGTTCCAGCGCACTCGGGGTGATGGAGGCGGACAACGTTCGAAGAAACTCTTGGCAACTCTGTGAAGATCGGTAAGCGAGGTCTCTTCCTTCCGGGGGCTTCGTTCATTGCAGAGCCGCTGGAAAAGAGGCAGAATAAACGTACGCCACAGAAAAAGTGTCGCACGAAGATCAGTAGAACCCGTTGAGCTACACCAGGCCCGGAATGAAGGCTGTTGAACGAATGAGACTCGCCATGCCTATCTAATACGGAGTAGTTCTGGATCTTGCGTAAAGTTTCTACTGATGGGGGCTGATCACTGGTCTGGACTTCTCCTTGGAAGTCTTGCAGAGCTTCGCTGCCACTGGCTGTGTCCACCGCCGGCTTGGGATCGGCTGTAGCAGACATGGCATACTGTGAAATTATATAACTAAATGAGACAGGATGAGGAATTATAGCACGTCGAAGGGTACCACGCTAGACTTGCCAGGGTTTTCAAGTCTAGCACTCGGGATGCAGGGAAATGGGGGTGAGAGCGAACATCAGCGCGTAAGATGACTGACTGGGAGATATAAACCCCACCTGACCCCACCATCAACCTCAACCTGCCAAGGTGCACTATATACGATAGTAAAGGGTCTAGACAACCGCACAAAACTCTTCTTGAGTGTTGCTGACATGATCGTCATAGTTATTGCCCAATACAGATCTCACCCACCAGATAAACGATCACAGATGCCTCCACAACACTGCTAGGACCACATCATTGCCGGAGAGAACGAGGAGTAGAGGATACTGCACTTCGAATATGCTCAGATTCCAATACGCACCCATCTATTGGATCTACATAAATATGAGGGTGATCGTAATCTCTTTCCTCATCGTCCTTGCCTCCACTCTCATCCTTATCCTCATCACTGAAGGATCAGCACCCTCCACGCAGTCCCAATAGCCAAAACTTGTGCATACATGACATGCTTATGGTCTGGTACGTGGATAAATGCTCTAGCCTACATTCCTTTCGTTGTGAAGTAAATCCAATGTTCTTCTCTCACTTTTCTTGTACCTACATTATCGCATTCCATCGCTGGATTTAGTGATCTGGCCAGACATCCTATCATCACCATGAGTTGCATCAGTGTGGGGAATGACATGATTAGGGCCACCACAAGGATCTCGACGCCTCATCACGGGGAAAGCGGTTCGTTTCCAGAGCGATGCTTATCCTATGGCGAGGCCTGGTAAACGCCGGAAGGGGTTGTAGGCAGGCGGAGATGTCGAACACTTGAATGTCACAATACGCTGTGAATCAATGCCGGAAAGAACAGTGACTCCGTAGATAACATCACATACTAGAAAAAGCTACATACATGTACGATTGACCTCCTCATACCCCAAGCAGAGATCAAGTCAAATGACGCCTCCACCACTCCTCCTTCCGCTTGAACGACTCATAGATGGTTTCATGGCCAACCCAGCCGTGGCCCTCACCCTCAAACTCAACCACCTCTGCTACCCTCCCACACTTGTGCATCGCATCAGCCATCATCCGGGCTTGTGCAACAGGGACAACCATATCGGACGTGCCCTGCAGCAAAAGGAGTGGTGCCTTCATCTGCGCCGCAAAATGGCACGGACTGCGTCTGGTGAGTTCAGCATCTCTGTCCCCAGCCTTCGTTGTACTGAGTAAAATCCGATCCACATCGTGGCTTTCGAACTTGTAGGAATCGGCCTGCAGTGCCCGGACATCGCTGATGCCATAGGAACTGATCCCCGCCGCCCAAACGTCGGGATACATGTGCAGCGCCCGCAGAGTCAAATAGCCGCCTGCACTACCACCGTAAATCCCCACGCGCGCCTGATCGATCAGCCCGTTTGCCACCAGGAAGTCGACTGCGCTCACGGCATCGCCAACATCCACGAGTCCCCAGTGTCCCGAGAGACGTTCACGATATTCGCGACCGTATCCGGTGGAGCCCGTGTAGTTCAGAGCGCAAACGGCAAAGCCACGCGTGGTCCAGTATTGAATTTCGAGATTCAAAGCTGGGTTGACGCAGCCATTGGGCCCACCATGAACGTAGACCAGCGCGGGAGGAGGACCCTGATCGTCTGACTGATAATTCGGATTCTGTGGGGGGAAGTAGAACATGTATACGTCGCCGTCACACTGCGGGCCGTACTTTTGGGGTGCACGAAATTCCGTCGCGCGAGAGACATATTCAGGATCCAAGTGGAAGGATGCAGTGGAAGCCAGCACGCTTCTTTGAACGGAATCGGTGGGCGTAATGGATACCAGAGCCAACTCCTGTGGCGATGTTGCCGTCGAGCCAACGATGGCGAAGCTGGTCGGTGAAATACGGTAAATCCCATTCGCACGCGAGCCCAAATCGAGGTAGGGAAGGTCTAGCTGCCGAGCAGAGGATGTGGTGGTGTCAATCAGCAACACCCGACTCGTGGCGTGAGTGATGACGGTGGCGACGATCGTCGTTGCATCAAGGGAGGTATACGTGGAGCTGGTCGGGCTGTTAGTTTGACCACATATGAAACATGGAATCACTTGTAATACCTTCCAAGTTCCCATTCAGCTGTAGCAAAGTCTGCCTCTTCGAAGCCCTTCAGCGCCAACGGACGATGTGCGCCGTTATTGACGTTGAATGCATATAGCTGCCAGAACCCTGTCCTATCGCTCGCAAAGTAGAGCGAACCGTCCAAGCCCCATTTTGGCTGCGCGATACTCTCTTCCTGTGCTTTTCCTGCGACACGTCTCGAATCTTTCAGACACCCATCTTCCCATGTGGCCACATAGAGAACGGTTCCGGTCCATGGCATGTCCGGATGGGACCACTGAATCCAAGAGACATACTTCCCCGAGGGATCGAACTTCGGATGGGAGAAAAAATCGTCACCTTGGGCAATCGTGGTTTCCTCCCCAGTATTGATGTTGATGGCCACGAGGGAGTTATGAACCATAAATGCTTGGGTTTCCGGAGTGGCTTCACGATGGTCCTCCTTGATGGCCAGCATCCATTCTGCATCGATCGGATGAGGGCAGAAATCCGCATAGCGGACACCCTTGACCCCTTCCAGGACCAAAGTAAGTTTGCTGGACGCAGGATCCAGCAAGTAAATGCTGCTAGAGCCCTCGTCGGAAAACGAGATCAGCCCGTCCGGTCCTATGGCAAGGGAACCACCACCGAGCTCTTGCACCGTGGCGTGTGCACTAAGATCTTTCGGCAACACATCCCGACGTTCGCCATCCCAATGCTGGACGATAGCATGGCGGCCGTCCTCTGTCGGGTGGCATTCCACACAGTAGATGGCCCCCGTGGACTCCTAATTCTCATTAGTCCGATAGTGAGCTTAAGGAGCTGGGACTAGGACCCACATTGACGACCACTTCGTGCAGGGATATGCTACTGCTTGACAATAGTTCGGGGGTGAGTGGGCTATTCCAGCGTCCGTAGGGTATGGTCATCTTGAGTCGTCATATATCGCGGAGTGGTTGTTGTCAACTGGTCCACACTTGCGAGACGGGAGATTCAGTTCTAGAGTTATTTAATCGGTCAAAGTATTTTTCCGTCCCAATTGCTCGTATAATCATTATGTAAAATATTAAAACAGGGAACAAGAGGAAGCTAAAACCTCGTCGTCAGTTATAATCTGTCCAGTTACAAGACTGATGGATAAATTGTATTTGCGTGGACTTGTGACGGTGACTGGAAAAATGGAGAATTCTGGAAATACATACAAGGTGGCCCACTGATCGACATGTATTCTAATATCTTTCGAGCAATGAAGGATATCCTCTTAGTATTTGTCTCTTGAAAAGCTTAAATCACATAGAGATGCTCTGAGTGGCCTAGGATATCTGGCGAACCAGATTGTAACTCGACTCAAAGGTTTGGATCCATTGAGTGCCCATGTGGTGTCCCAAAAAGCATCTGGCGATTTAGGACTTCCATAGCAAGGTCATATATGAGATCGGCTGTTAATTGTTATGTATTCAAGCCACGGATGCTAACGTAGTTGACGTAGTTAGCGAATTGTATAAAAAATCCTTTTTCATATCAGTAGCGCACGGTCACCAGTCGATCAACGGAGACCACCGTAAATGTACGTTAATTAACATGAACAACCACAAGCCGGCGGTAAATTTACCGGTAATGCTGACAGTCAAGTTTTGTTCGCGATCTGTTTGAACTCTGTTTACCGATCGCCTGAATTCGCTGCGTTGAAGATGGATCGTCTACCGGTAGAGATTCTCCTGTCCATCATCCAGGAAATTCCCAACGCACGAGACCGACTGAATCTAGTCCAGACATGTCGGCGCTGGCGTGCCTTATTCCTGAGAATTGCTTTCTGCTCGATCCGCCTCGAATGGCTTCAGCTTCGGCGTCTGGCCGTGGCGGCCCTTGCCAACCCGGTCATCAGGTCCTCCATCCGCAATATTTCGATGGAGATCGCCGCAAGGGAAGGTTCACCGAGCGCATTAGGCTCGGCAGTTCAGAACTTGATAGATCTCATCAGCGAGTCGCCCGTAGAATATGATGCATGGCAAAAAGCGCTCTCCAAAAACCAGGGTGAAACGTGGATTGCTCTTCTAATGGCTATTCTCCCTAACCTAACTGCACTTTCAGCGCAACATGGCCACCCCGCAGGCTGGATCACCCGGATTGTTGCGAAGGCTGCGTGGAAGCAATTGCCTTTCGATCCCAGCACTCTCCCGGCCTTGCAGCGATTAGAAAAGCTCGACCTTACCTGGCGTGGTCTTTCCACAGTTCTGGGCCACCGCGAATACCTCCCCTTGTTCCACTTGCCTTCCCTTCGCACTTTGCGACTGGGGCCAGTACAGGAGCTTCACTCCCCCTACAATGCAGCGGACCACCCCGCCTTCCTTCCAGTCCCAGGTACGTCGCCGGTCGAGGACTTAGTCATGGACTTCGTTTGCAACGGAAGGCATGGGATGGCCGATTTCATTACCTCCTGTGCCAACCTTAAGCACTTTGTATACCAGCATACGAACAACATTACCTGGGTTTCCCGACAGGACGAGGAGGATTTGGCGGGTGTAGACGCTAGCTTTCGGCCTTGGTGCTTCCATGAGGCGCTCCAAACACAGAAGCACAGCCTGGAAGTTCTCCACCTGAATGACCTGGGGGAGGCTTCCACCCCTCGGCGAAGTCATCTGTATAGAGAAGCTGTCGATACCATCTCGCATGATCGGTGGTTCGGGTCGCTGGTGGACTTTCGCAAGCTGTGGCATCTACGCATTCGCGTCAGCAACCTTATCAATTTCCACCCCAAAGAGACAGAGGATATGATCCCGCTAGGAGATATTCTGCCTAAGAGCTTGAGAGTTTTACATCTAGCTGACTGCAACGAGGACCACTGTACTGTATTGGTCACCCACCTCGAGGATCTTCTTGATCGGCGAGAGGAACAGTTTCCAAATCTACACTCCTTACTCGTCTCTCCTGAACGGGAGGAACCACACGGAACGAGAATTTGCATTAAGGAGTCCTTCAGGAAGCAATGGACGACCCTCGGGGCAATGTGTGACCGGGTTGGTGTTCGGTTCTCTCTTGGGATTGGGGAAAAGATGGCAACAAATGTAAAGCATTGGTCTCCGGGAAGAGTTGTAGACGAGGCTTCGTTGAGTTGATTCGACATATACCCTAGATGGACCGGCAATAGCCTCACCGATATTCCATGCAGCCTATACGTCTCTCCCATCATCTCGTACTCCCGTCCACCATGCCCGGATTTCTTGATACCACGTCCAGCTTTCTACAGCACCGGCCCCGGCAAGAACAGCAATGAGGACTGTTTTGCCCATCTGAGTCTTGAAGCTGAGATCATACTTCCAGTAGTCCTCTCTCCTATCGTTCGGTTGTTTCTTTTTATGGGTGTGGTCTTGGTTTTGTAGAACGGTCCGCGTGGAGAATGATGCTGTGGCCCAAGGCGGGTGGCTATGAATGATGCCATGGAAGGGCTTGACACGTAACAAGGCCATGTCGTTCGCACTCGATGATTCTGTAGGATAGCTACAGTCAATATTCATTGGGCCATACAAATGAGGTCCGGATTTGTTTGTAGTACCTCGGATACAATGGCAGGACTTGAGGACTTGTAGAATACATCCTCCAGCTTGTTTATCAGTGAGTCAGCCCATATCAATGGCGCGGGGTAAAAGCCCTAGGCCCTTAATTAGCCGGTAATTCTGGCTAAACTGGTATAGTCTATTGAGGTCCAAAGCATCCCCGATAAATGGATTGATATTGAGTCTGATGCGGGATATGGAGTACAACCTGCCAGGATATCAGCTACGTCTACCATTGGAGATAGGAACAAGAAGTAGCCCTCGAAGAGTTTTGTCTTGGTACTCGGGTTCACAGTCTCTGAATCTTCATTCTTACTAGCTATACCATATTAGCTTCTCTAAATTACTATTGTTCTCTGTATACTGGGAGTCGAACTTCACATTGCTCGTATATTATTAAAGGGGCTATGGTTGCATTTGGCAGTGATAGAATGACTGTTAGAGCATTGAGTGTAATAAATTGCCAGCACAATACAGAGATATTATTCTATATACCGCAATTACTTCAATTATTTCAATCCAAAGGACTTGATTAGGTTTGATGAAATCACGAGGTGCAGGACTAGTCCGGGTTGAGATGAACATGTGAGGGGCTGTTTTCGTCTCAGTTGCAATTCTCTGCATGTCCTCCTCACATCGTTATCTCTTGACACATTTGCGACGACCTCTATGTCGCATGCTCTGCATGACAACTGTCCCACCAGCTGGCCGTGATGTACCTTGCGCGATCCCAGAATGCTCTCCTCCAACCGGACATACGATGACTACACGGTCGGGTGGATCTGCGCGTTACACATCGAGCTGACGGCCGCCATGGCTATGCTCGATGTAATCCACCCCTCTCTTCCGCCGCGCGACGGAGACGACAATCATTATACCCTTGGTCAAATCGGTACTCACAATGTCGCGGTCGCGTGCCTTCCGGCCGGCCTGAAAGGCACGAACTCCGCTGCCACGGTCGCTGCCCAGATGAGAGCGACGTTCGGCTCCATTGGATTTGGATTGTTGGTCGGAATTGGTGGCGGAGTACCAAGTGACTTACACGACATTCGACTCGGAGATGTGGTGGTTGGAATGCCCGGTGTGAGATCCGGAGGGATAATTCAGTATGACTTCGGGAAGACGGTCGCGGAAGGGAAATTTGTACACACCGGGTACCTCAACACTCCGCCGGTGGTGCTGCTCACGGCCATGAATACTCTCCGCGCACGTCTGGAATTATCCGGCGAAGGTCAGGTCTTGAAAACCCTAAGCCCAAATCTACCGGACAGCTTTTCTAAGCCGTCCGCGCCAGACCAGCTCTTCAAGGCGGAGTACAGTCATGTTGGTGGAGTCTACACATGCCAGGAATGCGATTCGAGCGAGGAGGTCGCCCGAGAAAACCGGCAGCACTCGTCACCCTTCATTCACTATGGAACGATCGCCTCCGGGAACGAGGTCATGCGGGATGGCCGAACACGCGACAGACTCAGGGATGAATATGAAGTTTTATGCTTTGAGATGGAGGCGGCGGGTCTTATGAACACGTTTCCCTGCGCTGTTGTTAGAGGTATTTGTGATTATGCCGACTCGCATAAAACCAAACGATGGCAGAGTTATGCAGCTGCCACGGCTGCTGCGTACGCCAGGGACCTGCTATTTGTCGTGGATAACACTGCATCTGCGAGTAAGTTCTATATGTTTAATTACCAGTTCGCTTCCTTTACACCTTGCCTGCACTGCACGGATCATTAACCAAGTGTCTGTTCACGAAAAGAGTCCCGGAAAAGAAAGCCACAGCCAGACGAATGGAACGTCGGCTCCTCAACGAAGAGGCGGATGTCTCGGGTATTCAAGGAAGAGGATGGTGATGGTTCTGGCTGGACCGCACGCTTCGGTCAGATATCCGGTATGTGTCAGATACTGCAAAGAAATTCGGCGTGGAATGTAGCATCACAATTGAAGGGGTACTGAGCTAGTACTGATGTTTAAGCTAGGGCGCGACCATTCCACAGCAGAAACCAAGTGCCTAGCGGCATTTGATGTATGTGCGTACAAAGAGCATAAAAATAGAAATGATAATCGCTACGAAGGAACCTGTGAATGGTTTCTCCAAGACCCCAAGTTTATTCACTGGAGAGACAGCGCCCAGTCTTCTCTGCTTTGGGTATCCGCTGACCCTGGGTGTGGGAAGTCAGTTCTGGCCAAATCGTTGATTGACGGGGAGCTTCGGATGTCCACACACCGTACGACATGTTTTTTCTTCTTCAAAGACGACAATCCTGAGCAAAGCTCATTAGAAAATGCCCTGTGTGCAATTCTCCATCAACTCTTTTCTGCACATCGGAACCTCATCAAATGTGCGTTGCCTGACTTCAATGCGGACAAGGCTAGCTTTGTAAAATCAGCACACAGGCTGTGGGAAATACTTCTAGGTGCGATTCGCGATACGGATTCCACCAACTTTGTTTTTATTATCGACGCCTTGGATGAGTGTGAAAGGAGAGGCCGCCATGAACTGATCGAGCGTCTTACATGCCTCCACAGCGAGTCAGACAAACGATTCAGTAGAGCCAAATTCTTGGTAACTAGCCGTCCGCACTCGGACATTGAACGGCGATTTGAAAGCTACCCATCCATCCGTTTAGCTGGAGAGGAAAAGATAGGAACAATAAGTGACGAGATAGACGTCGTGATTACAGAAAAGCTCAACCAGTTACAGACTTCTCTTGACCCAGAAATACAAAGATATTTGCGTGAGAAACTTCAGAGTACGAAGCAACGGACATATCTGTGGGTGAGACTCATCTTCCAGATGATTGAGGAAGTCATCGATGAGCGATATTATCTTACTGAAGAGGATGAGGAGGTCAGGGGGCTGTTCGAAAGCTTGCCGGCAAGTGTTGACCAGGCGTATTCGAATATTCTCCAGAACACGAAGAAGAGCGGACCAGCGGTAAGAATTCTGGGGATTGTTCTAGCGGCAACGAGACCACTTACTGTACGGGAGTTGAATGTTGCCCTCTCGTTAAAGGGTAAAGAGTTCAGTCCCATGGATGTCCACCTTGTTCCAGAAAGGGAGTTTCGCATCCGAGTTCGAAACCTATGTAGTCTCTTTGTGACCGTCGTTGACTCAAAGGTCTACTTAATCCATCACACAGCGAGGGATTTCCTCATGTCTACTGCTCTGCGAGCAGGTGCGGCTAGTGGTTGGAAAGGTTCAATTAGCCTGAGCCAGAGCCACCAGATAATCATGAGCCAGTGTGCCATTTACCTGCGGATGCCATTCTTTGATAACCAGAGGATCATCAGGGATCAAACATTGGAGCTTCGTCATCGACCGTGGAGTGATGACATAGCCGAAGATACCCATCCGTATCCATTCCTGGATTATGCGGCGAAGAATTGGGTAAACCATCTTCATGCGTCTGGCCGCGTATCGTCAGAGGTTATTCTGCTACAGGACCTTTGCCATACAGGGTATCATAGGTTTCAAACATGGTTCCAGATATACTGGTCATCTAAAAAGTCTCGGTGCCCTCGCGGATTTACTGACCTTATCGCTGCTGCGTATTTCGGCTTTGCAGATCGTGTGAAAGCCCTGCTTGAAGAAGGAGCAAATAAAGATGAGAAAGACTTAACGTATGGCCGGTCTCCCCTTCTCTGGGCTGCTTATTGCAATCAGTTCGCTGTGGTACAGCTCCTCCTTGGCAACGAAGTGAATCGTAATCTTGCCGACAATGAAGGTCGAACAGCAACTTCGCTTGCCGCAGAGGCTGGCGCTGCTGATATTGTGGCAATGCTGGTTCGCGTGGGTAGTGACTTAACCTTGAAGGATCTCAACGGCTGGTGCCCTTTGATGTGGGCAGTGGATAGGGCCCAGATCTCGGTAGCGAAGGTTCTAATGGATCATAAAGTCGACATCAGCTCCCGCGACCGTTACGGTAAAACATCTTTGTGGGTGGCTGTAGAGAAAGGCAATGATGTTTTATTAGAAGCCCTCCTTCAACAAGGAGCAGATCCGAACATTCGGGTTGGCTTTGATCAAACTCCATTATCCTCAGCCATCGGGAAATGCCAGCGGAGGATGGTGAAACTTCTCCTAGATCATGGTGCTGAAGTCAAATCCACGATTGGCTTCGGCACAACCACGGTTTGTCTAGCAGCGGAAAAGGGGGATCTCGAGATAACCAGGCTTCTTGTCCAAAAGGGCGCCGACCCAAGCGCTCCCGACCGAAATGGCCAGACAGCTATCATGATTGCTGCCGAACATGGTCACGAAGGAGTTTTCAACTACTTGCTCCAAAAGGGTGTGAGCCTTGATTCTGGCGGCCAAACCCCGTTGTTCGCGGCTTTAAAAAATGGACACGAAAGCATTGCCGATCGACTAATTCGCAAACTCAGGGCGACTTCCTCTGGTACAAGCATTATCAGAAAGACCATGCTGCAAGCTGCAGCCCAGGGACTCCAGCAAATTGTTGAATTCTTGTACTTTACAGCGTTGGACATTGGATCCCGACAAGAATGTGCGATGGAGGCCCTTACGTCAAGCATATCATCGCGACATATGTCGACGGTAAGATTTCTACTTGACCAATTGCTGGGGATTGACATGCAGGACTATGGGGCAATGGCTCCTATTTTGATGGCTATTGAGTATGGCAACTATGAACACGTTCAAAGAGTATTTCAGGACAAAGTTATCAAGCACTACAGCACTGACACTACCGATGAAATAACCCAATCTGAGGAAACAGCGATTGATCGGAGATCGGCCATCAATGACCTCCTACAGCATGGTTGGGAGCCAGCTCGCAGTGACAAAGATGGCAATACAATGCTAGAGATTAGCATAATCCACAACTGGTACCCAAGGATTGCCTGGGAACTGCTACAACTGCGAGTATTCCCAGCAGATATCTTGAAGCGTTGCGCCCGTCGGTGCGTCAGAGAAGGCCACCCGACTGCTTTGAAAGCTCTTCTGCAATACTCTCCTGACGAAGTGCTGGAATCCCAGATTATAACCGACCTTTTCAAAGAGGCAATTGACAAGGAAGATGTAGGTACAATTACCCTGCTAATTAGCTTTCGGGGTAAAAGTGATAGTATACTTCGCAGTCTTTACCTCCGCGCGATCAAGGATGGGTTAGTCGACATGGCCAGCATTCAGATCGAAGAGGGGGGGTTCTCGGAGTCTCAATTAAACGAACTTCTTTCAATCGCCTGTGTGCAGTGTAGGGCGGGGATAGTCAAGGCATTGCTTAGCGCAGGCGCAGGCGCTAAGAAAGATAGAGAGGATCCCAACGTCACGGAAGCCTTGAATGCTTCAATGAAACAGAACGACACCCGTATCATGCAGCTATTATTGAAAGGTGGAACATATCCTACGAAACAGCTGGAAAAGATCATGCTGTGGGCATGTCATCATGGCTTCATCGAAATTGTGGAACCGCTACTGCACGCTGGTGTCTGTCCAACATATGTGAACGAACAAGGAGACAGTCCTGTTTCAATGGCTTTGATGGGCCATCACGATGATATTGTGAAACTGCTCAGTACCTGGATGGATAGCCCGACCCCAGGCGCTGCTATGGCTGAAGGGAATGTGACGAAAGCGAATCAAGAGCGAAGCAACCCCAATATCTGGTCAGCAGCTCCAAAGAGAATAAGAATTGTCGATATGACGCGAATTGAGGGAGATTACCGGATGCAAACATCTATGATGTTTACAGCCATTCGGTTTGATGACCGCGATCTGATGGCCGACGTGTTACAGTCAGGGATTGTCAATCTTGACCTTGATGACGATGATCGACGGACAAACTTGTTCACACCACTCACTTGGGCTGTGTGGTCTGGCAACTTGGATATAGTACAGATGCTGCTCGATAGCGGGGTCAATCCCAACACATCCGGTTCATTCGGAGAAACCGCTGTTTCACTGGCCATCCGTGCCCGCCAGGAGCTCATTTTAAAGCTTCTCATTGCCCACGGCGCGTACTGCAACTTCCAGGACAAATGGGGAAAGACTCCATTGGTTTGGGCTGCACGATACAACACTCCTATGATTCCACTCTTACTGGAACGGGGGTTTAAGAATCCCGTACGATATATTTCATATTTGAACACTACGCTGAAGTAAGACGTATGGCCCAGGTTTGCTGCGTTCTTTAAGCATCTGTTCAATCTTTCCGTTGTGGGTTGCTGGCCTTGGTTGGGTCGACCTAGACGGTTAGGGTCGAAGTGAATTGCGGCACAAGATCGACGTCTTGTGAGAACGAAGAGAATAAAGCTCCGCGCAACACTAGTCCAGTGCTGAATTTAACGACTGATACTGCGACTGGAACAGAGTTGTTACTATTTGGGGTTTCTTATGATCTTAGGCGGTCAATATCGGGACGAGCAGGAATGCTTGTCTGACAAAGGGATGCGCCTGCGGAACCTAAAGTAGAGATTTCCACCCATAGTTGATGTACTTTGCTGATCAATCGAGCCAGGCAAAGGAGGACCTCCAGGGACCCGCGGCAGAAGCGAAGGCGAAGCCATTCCTTCAACCCGCGCCCGACAACGACACTTCCTGCATGACGTTCGACCGGGGCAGTGAGCGCTGCGTTGGGACTAGGTACTACTGTACCAACGATATCATGAAGTTCCCGTACACCGATGAGGATGGCAGTGTCTACAAAAGCGCTGCTGAGTGTCTGGTGCATCCACGCAATGGTCTGACAACCCACGGTAGCATTCAGAACATGTGGGTCCAGGAGGAAAGCGGGAGAGTGTTCCAGGCGTGTCCAAATGTGTCTGTTATTATATTAACCCCCTGGCGGTAGATTCAACATCTGGGCCAGTTTTACTTTCTTTGTGGATTCACCAGCATGCTGAGAAATATAGGCCTCTCTACCTTGAGATCACGGCGTAGATTATCTCAATTTGTAGGGGGAATCAATGTCTGGGTTGTTGTTCTATCTCACACTCCTAGAACCTAGACCTTCTTGACCAATATGCTCCCCAGCTGCGCTCTCAATCCTGGTCCCGGTGGTAGAAGCAAAGGAATGAAAAAAAAAAACATACAACAGCATTAGTATGACTGTGCTCACCCAAGGCTAGTCGTGGGCGTCTCGCCGCTCTTAGCGGTCCTTCAGGGCTCTCTTCAGGGACCTGAATATTCTTCACCCAAAAGGCTCGGAAAGCGTATTTGCACATCTGCGCGCTAAGGAAGACCACCATAAATATTAGACAGCATGGGGTCTGTGATATCTCCTATTCTATATTCGCTCTGTCTGATCAAGCTCTGTTTTCAAGCTTATCCCTAGAAGTGATTGCTATCTTTCTTTACCCCAATCGAGATTCAGTAACCGCGCCATGTTACCAGAAGGCTTTACGACAATCAGACTCGAAAACCACAATGATTCCAAAATACGACGATCTGTTCTTGACCGTACTGAAAGGGAATATGATCGAGTTCTCGAGTACTTTGATATGTATGGGATATCTCATCTAGATCTATTGATCACTGCTAAGTATGCCAGCTTTGTCGAAAATCACGCAGGCGCTGTTTCGCCGCCAGATATCCGGACTTATAAAGGTTTTATGGAATTCCTAGGGAGGAATTTAAAAGGGCGCCTTAGTAAAGGCGGGACTCCAGTTTTGAGTACCCTTGACGGAATGAGGAGAGATCTGGACGCAGGCCTTGCCCGCCGGCGGGACTATCATGTTCCAGAACATGTCAGTACAACAATTAGAGAAGTTGGTCGTCTTACCCTTGACTATCTTTGGCAATCTAACAAACTACCTAGTGGATGAAGAAGGATCTCAAGCGACTATTGAATATACCTGATATCCAAATGTCAAGAGATGGGTTCTCTCGGAACGATCTCAGAATTGTCCAAAGGTACCTGTGGTGCCAGGACTCTTATGAGTACCGTGGCGTGTACCCAGAGAGGTCTAGAGTGGAACTCAGCATATCTATGCTGCTGTACTGTTTTACATCGGCTAGGACAGGTGAGGTATACGAGTCTACAGCTCGTCGAAGTTTGGCCCGGGAGTATGACGGTTCCGAAGTAGAAAAGAATTTACGCGCAGCTGTCATGGCAGCATGCTACAAGGTACGAGCCGTGTTGTCGATTTCTTATTTATACTGATTTTGTTACAGCACTTTCACCTTAGTATCGAGTGGGTTGGAGGTGAAGTCATGCTTGTTCTCAACTACGACCGAGACTATTTGAAAGGGTTCTGGAGAAAGCAGCAATCTGACCTCCCAGTACACGGCTTCTATGAGAAATATACAGAAGAGATCCCGCTTTTACTGAACCTTCTAACATTTTTCCTTCCTTTGGCCTCAGCTGACCAGGCCTTCCGTGACTATAAGTCCGCGGATGAGATCTTGGACAGAGTAGACTTACTAGATGCTACTCTCCAAGAAGGGGATCAAAAGTCTATTGATACTATCCATTTCAAGCCGCATATATTGAACATGCCGGTTTTTCGCCCACGCGATGAGCAAAATATCGCGGACTCGACTGGGAGATCAAGAGGAGCCGATGCCTTTGGTAAAATGTTTGCGGCGCTTGGTCACCGAGCAGGCTATCCGGATAATATAACTGTCCGGGCATGTCGCCGATCAGCACTTATGGAGGCTGGTACGTATTCTTTCTATAGGCAATCTCTAATACTAAACCTTATTAGACAAGTATCACTCAGAAACAGCGCGTATGAAGTTCTCTGGACAATCAAGGCGAGATACTTTCGGAAAGTCCTACGCTCATCGAGTTGTTGAGGTAGATGGGGCGGCTTCCTTTCTTGGAATAAAAAGCCGACGTGATCACATTGAGAACAACCGCAGTATGGGTGCTCGTCGTAACCCTCAGCTTTACCAGTCCTTGCCGGCTAAAGAACAAATTAAGTTCCAAAACCGTGAGGACATTGTTCGACTTGATACCGAAATACAAGCATTAAAGAAACAGGTAACAGGGTTGAATGACGAGGATGTTAAGTCCCTTCACCGGCAGCGGCGTCATCTCGAAACACAACGACAGCGGCTCTACAAGGATGAATTAGCCCGCCTACGACTAGATCAACCTCGCCGGCCAGAATTGACAGCCGATAACGTTAAACAAACAACTTTTTACTACACGCGAAAAGTTATGCCAGAGCGTGATTTGCTAGCGGAAATTCTCCCTCACACCGCCGAGTTACGCAGTCCCACTGGACGCATGGCACTCCGTGCCCTGGAGGCCATCTGCTCTCAAATGGGTACTGTTTATTACCTATCAAGCATTGCACCCGTGGATGGGAAGTGTCTCTGTGATGAACCTATTGAAAAGTAAGAATTCCCCAACTTTGCTGTGGCAATAGATATTTATACAGCTAGATATCACCCCCACCGACGGTGGTTGCATCTGTATCGCTGCTATGCGAAAAAGCTTGCCGCGATGGGTAATGACAACTTTGCGGAACTTTGTGTCGACTGCGATCTATGGTATAACGACATTGAAAAGTGGACCAGGCATTGCGAAGAACATCTCGGTGACAGTTCTACGTTGCTTCGTTGCGACCCAATTGTGTTTCGTAATGCTCCTGTTAAAGCTGGTCTCTGTCCATTCTGCCTGGGAGAGGAGATTATGGGCCCTCGTAAACGGATGACACAGTATCTTGATCGCAGCGATTGGTATAACCATATCCAGTCGCATCTCAGCCACAAAGCCCTGTTAGGGATGTTTCACTGTCGTCATCCCGCTTGCCAGGAAGACTTTCAAAGCCTGGCAGATCTGGAAAGCCACCTCCGTGATGTACACTGTTATAACCCCCCACGCGGGATGAAACGAGCCATGCGGTCCAGCAAGTAGGAAGGTTTGACAAGAAACTAGGAATCTCTAGTAATAGTTGTGGGTATTGAGAATCATTGTGTCGTGTGTATGGTCTATTCGTTTCGAGTTCAGTTAGTGGAAAGCAGTCCCCCAGCAGTACTTAATCTAAAGAATATTAAGACAGCGTATCCCTATTAATACTGTCATCTATGCTTGCTTCCATCTTGCCAACTCAATAGCATATCTACCTAGCCGATTAGTACTTACGGCTTGCCTCATCCTCTATACCCAAAGCTGCGATTTCTTAAAGCCCTCTCAGCAAATGGAGCTGAATAACTCCTAAGGTATCCTGGAAATAATACGTTAATACAATAGACTATTCTTTTATACTTCTTCACATACAAAATATATTCGACTAACATAGAATTGGTCACTAGTGGCGATGTCCAGTCTCATTTGCAACCAATGCAACTATCTGGCGAAGAGAAGGATACCATTGGCTAACCCCGAGAGCCATGAAGATGTGCTTTATAAATCAGTATTATTGAAGGCCAATACTGGGATTAACTTACACATAAGAGTTCGTCAATACAAGCTCGTTGCGTTAAAGCTTGAAAGTCCCGGATCTCTCGACTCCATCTTTCCGGCCTCATCAAGACAATCATATTAGGCTCCCCAGAGGCAGTCTCCGGCTCCATAAGCTCCATCATCATAAAGCCTATGGCCGAAATGGTATTCGGCTTGGACACTTGATTCGCTTCAAGCATATAAGACCCGACATTTGCTGATTTCTTAGTATCTTTTACCAAAAGCCACATTGTACCATGTGAATGGAAACACACCTATCTTAATGCAGCCAGCCTTTGTAAGATAAATATTTTCAAGAGATATATTCACGTCACCAATGTGGAGGGTTAGGTGGAAATAGTGTAACCCGTAGAGAACCTAATACATGGATTAGTGATGTATAAATACCACTCCTTACTTCCTGTATGAGCACTTGCCTCTTTGCAGATATAGGATATAAATTTCTCTTCTAACTCCATGTACTGTCGTACCTGGTACAAAGAAACTTCCGTTTTCTCATATATCAGAAGTATTTCGTTCGCATCGACAAACACGGCCAACAAGTTCACCAGGTTAACATGGGATGTCTTTACGAGGTGATGTTTAAGCATTTTCTTCTTGACTGCTTGCTCCTTAACAGCCACTGTTTGCCTTGAACCATAGTTATTCCATGTCAAGCAGGTGTTCTTAGAGTCGTTTTGATACCGAGACTCGGTGTATCGTGTTCCAGCTGAGAGTTCCTTGGAAACAACAAGATTATTACTATCGGACTGCTCAAAGCGCATACTATTATCTTTGATATGTAGCGGAAGCCGTGGCGGTTTGAAACGAGGCATAACTCCCTGCACGGTGTTAGATACTGGCAGTTATAAAGTTATTTCAACAGTCATAGGTATACTTCATGGTCTTTCGTATGTGATCGAAACCTCATAGTGTGAACAGGACTCAGAAAAGGCACTGTGCTAAGTACGGATCCGTTGGGCTCTGCTCAGGCAAAGGACTTATATGTAACTAGAAATAAAATTCATTTGATACTAGCCTACCGGCCGACAACGGCTTCTAAATCTAGAAGTTTGTGGGCGAAGCGCCCACGAACACTCGAGGTTAGTACGGGCTTGCAGCCTGGTTACATAGGATACTAATTATAGCATTAAGAACACCACAAGAAAAAGAATATACCAAAAATAGTACGCCAACCAATGCAGCTAAATGCACAATAAATTAGAACCACAAAACTAAAACTGACTTATTGTATATAGTTTGTCCTATCCGGAGAACTCTCATCTGTAGCCATGGATTGATTAGTATTTATCCTGAGTCATTTACTTTAGCTCGTGGGTCGGGCAGTCTTTTAAAGTTTCGTTACGTTAGCTGCTGTGTGGCCAAATAAAAAAAGAAATAACAATTATAACATATATTAAGCTCACTGCGAGCTTTGAAGTAATTGAGAGTATTAAGTGACTTCCTTTATCATCTGTACAAGTGGCAGTGATGGTGGAAGGCAATCATAATAGACAATCGTGTACACCATTTCCTCTGGACTTTGGGGGTCTATTAAGCGCCGAAGCGGAACCCCGTGTATATGACTCAATTGAACCGACGCTTGACAGCTTCCAACATAATCCACAGCCTAGGGCATTAGAAGCAGACAAAGGATGGAGAGCACCGTCAAATCGGCCCCGCCGTCTCCAGAAACGCACTGGACTCATACAACAACGCTCTGACGATGCATCCTTTAAACTAAAACGGCAGTCTACGGAGTTTTGCGAGCCATGCAGTCCTTGGACGAGATATACGCCATTCACACGGGAAGGAAAGCCAGGAAAGACGTGTTTAGCATATAACAAGAATAGTTTAGGAGACGTCGTCGCTATCAAGCAATATAGGGTTGGTGGAATAAACAAGTCGCAACATCTCCTGAGGACCTCTCATCGAAACCTCGTCAACCTATTAAGTTCATTCAAAGATGGAAGAACCGTCTACCTAGCCTATGAACATATGGTTATTTCGCTGGAGCAACTACATAGCGGGTTTCAGCTACAAGAGTTACATATATCTTTCATCTGCAAAGAGGTTATCCCCATATAACTTCGTATTGTACTAGCGCAATGCCCCATATTAACGTTTTATTAGGTCTTGAATGGTCTTTCTTATATTCACAAAGACCTTGCAATTTGCCATTCCAGAATTCAATGCGATAACATCTTTATAGATAAAGATGGCTGTGTGAAGATAGGTATTACATCCTCTTGTATGTGAAAGAATAGCTCTTCTAACCAAATCCAGCCGATATTGGAGCTTGTCTGCTCGAGCGTCATCAGGGATCTGAACAAATTGATATAAGATCACTGGGCTGGATGATGACAGAAATAATGGAGCCAGGCACTGCGGATGCAAACCGACGAACAATTAACCTAGAAGATACAAACAAATGGAGTTCAAATATTATTGACTTCCAGAGACAAACGGAGAAGCTCCCGATTGAGCATCTTCTTCGGGTACGTCTCCGACCATGAGCATTCACAGGCAATCTATACTAACTAAAAAGCATGACTTTTTGGCGCATGCACCGTCACGAGAAAGGAAGTGCCTTGTTGTACCAATGATAAGAGCAAAGGCAACTGCTCTGCATGACTATGAATAAAGTTCAAGCAGCAAGCGGCATTGAAATCACGACAGAGTATAATTGAAGTTCCAACTCGGGATGTTGATTAGATTTCATGATTTATATCTTGTTAAACACTTTGCTGTTTACTATCATTGCTATGCTTTACATGTCGTTTTATTTATTCGTGTTGTACAGATGACTTTTCTTATAAAGATCGTTTATCCCGAACAGGAACAGCAGGTCCGAAAGTCGTTTTTACCTTTGTTGTAATATGCTCTTAATACAGGGTTATTAATAAAAGATCTCATTAATACAGCCAATAGCCATAAGATAATAATGTTATCTTACTATCTCGGCAGATGTGTCCAGGCATGGCTCATAATACCGATCAATAAATTTATAAGGGTCTCTTCTAATTTCTGTGTAGAAATTCTCATCCGGCGTTTCGGGGCTTCGTTTTGGAATCAACAACACCAACCGGTGTTTGCAGACTGCATCCCAGATGTTTTTCAGTGATGCGACAAAGGGTTTAAGGCCGTCCCTAATAATAATGAATTGTGACCCTTGGTTTGCGAAATCGCGAGCAAATTGAGTGAATATCAATCTTTGACGTGGACTGTTTGAGAATGTAGCGTAGACCCCCCTGCGCCAGACATACATGACAATCACATCTCGGTCCTTTAACATGTCTCTTACTACATCTGACGGTCTTCTTCCACGAAGCTGATGGAATTTACTTTCTTCCTGATCCTCATGCTGACTCTCTGACAAGACTGGTTCGTATGAATCCATCTCCCTGTCTTGTATATATGATTCTGTATCGATAGAAGCTGTCTCATATGATGACTCAGACATCGGCTCGGATTCAGCTCGATACTCACTCAAGCAAGAATATATAAGCCCGCCACTCTCGTGTTCTGTATAAGATTCATGCTGCTGAATTTGTACTGGTTGACTCGACTCTCCATAGTGCTCATCTTCTGGTAAGCTTTGGGTTATTCGTGTGTTGATATCCGTAGTTTCGTCCGAATAGTGGCTGCCGGAAGCCGGAGTTGATTGTTGTCGTCGACTGGGCAGGGGAAATTCTCCAAAGAAGGAAACAAAAATGTCTCGTTGCACTGCGAGCGAAGTGGGGTGGGCTCGCTGAATTGGGTCATAATTATATATGACATCGAGAAATAAATATCTTCGGTCGCTTTTATAATGTTTGTGAGATGGACGGTTGCAGCGAAGCTTCCTAGGCAGCGGCTCAAGGTTTGTTGAAAATTTCGCCTGCTCCTGAGATGCACGCAGAGCAACATTCTGGTCGATATGGTCTCCAATATAGTGAGCTAGACGGTTTGTGTTCCCTTCATTAACAACACAACGTTCGGGAGGCCGTAGCTGTTGTAAAAGGTTCCGAGCAAGTATCCTATCTCGCCTTTTACTATCCTGCCCACTAAATTCTTTGATAGAGTCTGTCTCAAATCCAAGATCAAATGCCAATTGAGATAGTGAGAACATCCTTTCCAGTTCTGAGCCATTGACGGTAGGTTTGATCTTTCTTGAATCCCGATACGGAGCAAGGTCTGTAAGGATAGGGAAATCACGCATCACAGCCAAGAAGAGCTGGCGATAACCTAGGTTTGGATTGATATCCGAGCTGCCACTTCGATGTTCTAAACAGTCCTCCGCGACCTGGATCCGACAGAGACCAGGGAGTTGATTACTGCCACGATACCCATGGAGAAATTCATTTGACATTGTTCGTTTAAAGCCAGCCGGAAGAAGTCGCTTCAGCACCATGGCACAAGCCTCAAAGTAAAGAAAGTCTGCAAAGAAGGTATGAAACGACAATATCCTCCCTTTTATCTTTAATATGCGGTCCAAGATACGGCGGCGGTCGCTTTCTAAGGATACAGCAGGAAACAGTGTTTTTTCGTCCATCATGTCTTGTATTTGTGCCGCGTCGCATGAAGAGATCTCTGGCATAAGGGTTTCAAGTGATGCAACGGTAGCAGGGTCCAGCAGATTTGGTGAATATCCTGCCATAATATCACTCCACTTCTGGTGAATACAGCGCATATAATGGACCAGTTCCTAAAGAGTATCAGTCGCTTGGAACAAGGTAGCTATTTCATGACTTACCTCATGGCATTGCAAAGAGAGTACGCGGCCCAGGTAGGAGAGCTTTAAGGATGGCCAAAGACCAAAAAAAGGAAGCAGCTTGTCGAGACCTCGGCTGAGCGGTTTGACTCTTCTTTCCATTCGTTCCAGCTCACGGCGTGCGCCCTCGCGAAGCCTTCCGCGCCACTTCAGTTCTGTTTCATCGTCTCCACGTCTCTGGTAGTATCGTATCTTTCTATATATATCGCCATCAGTGAATGGTTCAGCATTCGGGTGCTCCTCTCGGATAATATTCTGTGTATACTGTGGCATGTCTTCCAGCTGTTAGCCTATTGAACCCAGATCATCAGACTTCGGCAATACCATCACTGTAAAGCTGTGCAATCCACCATTTATCCCAGAGGAAGCTGTCTGCTGCTAGCAGTCTGTGCTTTCCATGTAGCACCGTGAGCCTAACATCGCTAGGGAGGTCCAAGAAATGAGTCTCAGAGGCCTCAAGTAGGTCCGTTTCTTCCAGCTCTTGTACGGCTAACGATCGTTGTAGAACTTCATTATTAATAAGCACCTTCACGAAGTTATCTGGATTTAAACGAAGGCACCCTTCCGTCTCAAAAGTATTAATGAGCGATTTGACATGTTTGTCACTGATTGTTCGGACTCTTGGAGTGGTTCTGTCAAGGTCGAAGTGCTGCAGATAGACTTTTGCCTTCCCTCGATAGTAATAAGTCTTGTCAGAATGTAGCTGGTGATCAATATTCGACATCGTAAGAGATAGTAAAATTGCTGGTAGAAAATTTGAAAAACTAAAATCTTATAAGTACTAGACGTTATGCTGACAGGAAAGTTATGGATAGTAGAAATCTAAGTTAGTGAAAATTTAGGTAAGAGAAAATATTCTAAGGAGTATAAATTTAGCGTGATAGAATATCAGGGATACTAAAATTTTATAGTTAGTAGAAATTTATAGTATTTTAGTATTATAGGACTGAAAATATTATGAATTATAAAAGTTAATACTAGTAGAATATTAGAATACTTAGAATTTTATATATTCTATAATAGTACTATTATTTAATATTAGCTCTACAATAATATCTAATTTTTTCGGTGTTAAAGGACCGGATATAAGAGTACATGGCTTCATAACGCCTTTTTTTCTCTCTAAAGATAGAGTATCTAGCAAGGAGATGCCATCGGGTATACTTTGTAGAAATATATTTGTGCGTCTTTTCACATTTGTAGCTTTTATTTTTAAAGTCTATTTTAGTAGTCGATCTACCAGTAAAGAGGACATAGTGTCCTGGTCCAACCGCCAACGCGAGACGCCCATGATTATTTTAATAATACCACATTCTATTTTGAGATATTTTTTTCTTAGATATGATTCATCTTACTATACTATATGAGACTCCAAAGTATTATGATTCTATCTTGCTACAATCATAGCGAGTATTTACTCTATCTTAATTCTAAGAGTCTGTATATCTCATAGGCTCCTATAATACTATAGTACTTCAAAGTAGGCTGAAACACATTGTGAATTCGCAATTCACGATTGCCTAAGCTAATGCTTCTCAATTGATTGTCGAACTGGAACGGCATTCTCAGTTGACATGCTTTGGCCGTCGGCATCCAGGAGCGCATCGATATAGGCCTAAAAGGTAAGCCGAGTTCTACTAAACATCTCCGAAATATTAGTAAACATACCACATCCTGGTCAGGAGGAAAGGTTGATCGAAGCGTCCATAGTTTACCCCGGCGATATTTAACAATGGTAATATCCACAACAACTAGTCCTAGCTTTCGCGCGATATGAGAAAGTATCCTCAACATCGTGGTGTACTGAATAGACCTGAGAAGTATATGGCGTGGACAATAGAAGATAGTTCAAAATATTCCCTAGGACCCTTTGTAACAGGAAAAATGGTACTTATATACGCGGGTTTGGAGAACAGGTATGCGGTAGGTTTAGGCTAGGTATGTAGAACTAGTGGTGAGAATTGCGCCTGTTCTACATTGCTCATAATTGTATTTGTACAATTGTAACATGGAGCTGCTACTATTTTGGGCTAATCCTACTGGGTAGTAATAATTGTAAACCTGCCTGCACTTCCGAAACTTTATCTAGCACTTGAAAAAGGTGTGGCGGAAATACTAAAGTTCTATTTATCAGGAGCGAGTACTGGCTTCTCGGCTACCAATACAGAATTTAGAGTAGGAGGTAATAAGTCAAAGTACAAGACAGGTCGGCAGATAGATTAGGCTAAATATACATATATAGAATAAACTCAATCTCCTGAAAGGAAATCCCTAAAACTGATATCCCAAGCTAAGAAGGATACCAAATAGCCTGTATTGAAAACAATATCCGTTGATAAATAAACTATCAATTAATAAACTCAACCAGAAAGATAACAATGGATTAATAGGCCAACATGTGTACATTCTGTTTAACTTAGCCTGAATTCCCCTTAAACCATATCAAAAACTATATAGTGAGAAGGAGACCAATGAAAAGAAGGCCCAGGTCATATTATCGCTTCAGCCTTTTGGATGCTACCGGAAGAAAGTTAACTCGACGTTTGCGTGACTCAAGCAGGTTGCCTTGATAGCAGGCACGGCATCGGATACTGCCTGGGGAATCATGGTCCGATGAACCAAATGCATTTTGGAAGCCCTGTTGTGTCTCAAACCAAGCTATCGTTTGTGGAAACCCACTAATATTTTGACAAAATACGCCAGGCATTCGAAGAGATATAGTCACACAGTCTGTAGGATGTCGTACAGTGAATGCGACGTCACGTTTGTACCGGTGGCATACGTGACAGATGTCCTTGTGCAGCCGGCATATTGAAAGAACCTCTTCCCCTGTCACGAAGTGCATGTCTCCCGAATAGAGATGTTGGAGGCTGTCCATTATAGCGTGACCATCACCACGGCAACGTATAGATCCCTGACAGTAATAAATTCCCGAACTGTACATGGCAGGACAGTCAAGCTCGAAGTAAAGGTTAGACACCAAAAACGCAGTTGCCGTGTGTAACAGGTCATGTCTGGTATTTGGACTAAGATGAATATTATGTCGCTGTCCTTGTAGGTCGCTAATATCATCTAATCGAGTTGGACGTTTCAATCTCGTATTTAGCAGCAGAAAGTACTGTTCTTCAGCTTTGTTGAGGCCATTCATGACGTCTCTTAGGCGTCTTTCACCGTCCAAGTTATCCATAAAAGAATGCCATAAACGGGAGATGGAGTATGACGATCTTTTGGGCTTATCCTCCTGACCTGTGCCAAGGGAGACAGCGATGTCTATGACTACATCTCCGTCCCATATCCGAGCCACTTCCCATAGAGCTAGTTCTGTAGGGCTAGAGAACGCAAGCCCTCCGTCCCAGAACAACCCAACAGCCGTCTGGATAGGCTTAAAAAATCTATAATTGTTAGTGGCGTTTCATCTGCGATAATTATGTAACTTACATAGGAGCTGCTGAAGTAGCACGGGCCCTGAGACAAATTAGACAGGAAGATATCTAAGATGATAGGTTGGATTGACTAACACTTCCCATAATAGTGGCTCCATATTAATGTCTTTAGGACGGATCAATTTGTAGGCTGGATAAAGGAGTCATGGCAGGCCCAATGAATAGGAAGTTCATATGCATACCTTGCTGTGGGCTCGATGACAGTGGGCCATTATAATTGGTAAAAATAAAACGAGAGTTGCCATGAGAGGTTGCAGTGACAGCAACTCGTGTACCTGGTATAGCTCCTGGAACATAATCAAAAAATTGTCTATCGAGTGTGAAATGCTGTTGTATCCCGTCCTCTAGTGTAGCTTCATTGTATACTGCATCTCTGGCAATGAATTTTAAAAAAGAGCCAAGATTCCCAAAAAAGGAGTTCGATGACTGAAAGCAGCGTTTAGCAAGAGACTCAAATACTTCACTGCATCTTTTCGTCGACCAATGTAAATGAAACTTCCCAATTGCGCTTAAGCCTCCTGCTCTTATGTGAGCTAATAAAATATAGAGGACTCCCAGTACTTACCGGAACTTGTTCCGACAGCAAGATCAACCATCTCATGCAAAGGGCAATGTTCAATGAGTTTCTGTATTTCATCCATGAACGCTAAGGGTGTGACGCCCCGAGCTCCTCCGCCATCTATGCCCAAGACTCTGACGCCTGCCGTCTTTGGTTTGATGTCCACAGTTAATTTGCCATCATCACCATATATACATGTTAGGTTAATCCTATTCTCTCGGCCTGCAACGGTTGCACCAAATATTCTGATGCAATCGTAGCAGATGGAATGTCCACAGCTTAGGTGCTGTTCAGGTGCCCGGCGAACACAATGAAGGCATGTGACGTTACTTCTGTACGGAGATAGGAAGTTTTGAAGTCGCCGTGCATTTGCCCAGTGCAACCTGCTTGAAGATATATAATCTCTTTGTAAGCTTTCATAATGATAATAACAAGAACGTTCAATCTGATCACATATATAGCGTGCGCATTCGTCGTTGTAGCATTTCCTTAATGTCTTATAACAGTGCTCACGGTATAAGCTTAAGAAAACATATTCTATAGAAAATCCTGCAAGAATCAGCAATAGCTTCTATCACGTAACTGTTCATGGGGTAACACTCACGGTGCATTCGAGGCGGAAATGCATCCATTATAATGCTTGAAGCAATCAAAGAGGCCATCTTTTCATAAGGTGTTTTGTGCAGAATTGCCAGTTTAAAAATAGAAATCAAATGCTCCTCATATTCTGCACCCAGCTTGTTCCAAGCACGTGCGGCTTGCAGAAAGTCGAAATTTTCCGATGTAGTATTTGATGTGTGTTCAATCGCACACCTGAACAGAGACAACATATGGGGGGCTGAAAATAAATAAGACTCACGACGTCGTAAGTCTAGCATCTCATCGGTCTGGTTTCGAATCTCGTCTCGCAGTCGTTGATGTCTAGCCAATAATGACAGGTGATTACCACCAAGTCGAAATACCTTAATGGCAGAAAAGATCTCCGTCAACCGAGAACCCATACCAGAGTGAATTGTCATTTGCAAATTTTCCCATATCTCTGAACAGACCAATACATCTTCAGACACGATAAGTAAGAGCCGTGGACGAGTGGTGGATGGCCCGGTTGCTGCACTTCCAATGTCCGCCCATTCCATGAGCCGTATTGCTATGGCCTCAAGACTGGAGAAGTCATCTGCGAAGAGGCATACCACATCAGTAAATAGAAAGAGAAGCCTGGCGTACACAATATCTATTACGGCATGCGACTGAGGCCTCCAAGATGCAGGATGTGACACTGTATCATGGCATAAGACGTGGCTACGCTCTGTATGGTTTTTAACGAACGGGTTGCTATCAGCGAATATCAATGGGGAGTCCGTTTGCAATGAAGCAGTATCAACCCGTATATTGACATCTTGGCTTTGGCCCCGTCTTCCAATGTTATTTTGGGTAAATATCTGCTTAAGCGCTGTATCCTTCGCTCTTGTACCAATAAAGAAAACCGTTCGAAGGTGCTGCGTATCCGGTCTTGGTAACTCTGCGATTACTCTGCCTAATCGACCTGTATCTTCAAGGATAACTTCGCCTGTATCATTATTTTCAACATGGCGAAGCCAGGATAGATGGTCACAGGTAGACATAATGCTGCTGTGGTTATTTTCCAGCACGGTAATGCGTAACTTATATAGCTTGCAGTCCACAGATGTTAGGGATGTACATGTGTACAAATGCACAAGTTATGCCGTGGCAACCACCTTTCGATCTGTCAAAGTTCTTTGTTTTTCTCTGCCATTCCTGTTTTAACTCTGATTGTCACCTGTATATTTGTCCTTTTTATCAATCGAGCAAACAGAAACTAGAAAAGATATTAGACATGTTGAAAACTTAAATACAAAGGTCTAACACCATAGCGCATCCACACCAGTTTTGTTAATGTTTTAGCAAACTAAACTCATTATCGATAGCCTCCGATACATCTTTAATCAGTCGCAATTGTTCTTTGTTAATGGCTTCGAGCATCTTAGTTCTGATCTCCAGTTCGTCAAGAAGGCCCCTAAGCTTCCATTGTGACTGCTGTAGATTCTCAAGCATTTCTATTCCCCATTTCACCTTAAGTTGTGCGACCCTCAGTTGCTCTATGTAAACCTTTATATCTCTGTCAAGAAGCATGGGCGAGTGACTATCGCCAAGAGAGATCTGGGAGGATTCTGGCCGGGCCTAGATCAAAGAAAGAGAGTTAGCAGACTGCTGTATAATCTGAAAGAAGAAAACAGCAAGATCAAGCGCACCATGAACTGTTATGGATACAACTTCCAAGTCTATTTAATCTGTCTGACGGGTGATATTTGTTGTGGGAAATAACGTCTTTGAGAAGGGATCAATGTAAGTTGCACGACTTCGCCCTCGAAAAGCAGGTTGGAAACCTACCTGTGCTTCTGACAGCCCAGCTCATGTATAAATGGTTTCTAAAGAAAGATTGATATTATCAGTCCTAATGATCCGCGGCCGGTTTGTTGTGGCTCAGAGATCACAATTTGGCTCGTGACCTAGAGCCGTGCTTCCCTGATTTTGGTGATGATTTGATGTCAGACAATATATCCGGTGCCCCGGCCTAGTTCGTTGCTTAGTTCGTTGCTTAGTTCGTTGCTTAGTTCGTTGCTTAGCTCGTTGCTTAGTTCGTTGCTTAGTTCGTTGCTTAGTTCGTTGCTTAGCTCGTTGCTTAGCTCGTGGCGTAGCTCGTGGCCTCGGTTTTGTCTGTATGTCTGGACAGTGGCCTACTGTCTGATTGGTTTGGGTAACGCCAGAAGCCCATCACAGATGTAGGATAGACTGATCTACCACGGTGTAACACCCAACTACGGTATCATAACGGAGGTAGCTGTGATAAGGAAAGTCTAAAAAAACTTAAATTCTGGTACAAATTATACTACGCCAAATGAGACACTTCCCGGTGTGATATGCCTTAAACATATCACCAAACCTTTATCCCCGCACCACATGTCGCCCATTCCCCTCGGCTAGTTGTCCAACCTTTGCGCTGAGTTGCACCAAGAATGGTTGCAAACTATCAATATATGCTTCCAGGGATTTGACGTTCCTACCCCAGCCTTGTTAGTTTGCATGGTGTGCAAAGTGTCAGTCAATCTTACTGTTGTTCCGTTCGTAGTCTATGGCGTAAGTTAGCACATGTGATAGACAGCGGTCATGATATGTTTACTTACTGGTACTCCAAAGATTGAACCCTCTCAGACAGATCATGAACCGACTGAGTAAGGCTTTCGATATTATTCGCGAGATCAAGTCGATTGTCTTCGACCAGCTCAGGGAGTTCATCGAATTCTTGAGTCTGGGAATCGAGAGGCAATATGGGTGACAGGAGAGGAACAGTTGGCTCAAGGGGGAAGTCAAATTCAGGATCAAAGAGGAAGATGTCAGGGTTTGGGAATTCCATCTCCATATTAGTGCTCCAGTTGAGAAATGCATCCATTGTAGCGTCAACCATTGTGGCTTCTAGTGTTTAAACCTTTACTATAGTCGGGCCTGGGCTCTCTTTCTTCTTATAGTCTAGATACGCCGTAGTTATGTTTGAAGCTAGGTACCCCAACTATGCCACTTGTCGTCCTACTTTCTGGCCTTAGCCTTCTGTTCATCTGGGCTTTAGGGCCTGGCGATACGCCCTCGAGACTTCTATAAATATGCTACAAGCACCCCTTCTAACCGCCCAACCACCACTAGGTTTATCACTTTCCTATATCGCCGTTTCAAAATGGAGCCTATAGGTATCCCATCTCTCGCATCGGGCCATAACAAACAATATTACCCGGAAGAGGAACTCTTCCTAATCAATCTTAAACAGTCTAAAATGTCCTGGCTTCAAATCGAACGGCTATACAACCGAGCTATGCCGGAGGACCGTCGACGGACGGCCTCTGCCTTAGAAAATAAGTGGCGACAACTCTATCGTGATGGGATTACATCGGTAAGCCCATAGTCTATTAATAGCCTGCGAGTCTAATCTTTGTAGCAATATACCGAAGGACACAACGTGTAGATCAAAGCAGGTTGTGCAGCACTAGCGGAATGTTGGATACCATTTCGTGGAACATTCTATTTTTGGCTTTGGAAGGAGCAGAGAAGAAGGAATATGGGGAGGGTGAAGAGATACTATACTTAGCATTGTAACTAGTCTAAATCCTAGACAAAACGTGCTGTCGGATATAAGCTCGTGGGCGCCTACGATGATAACGTATAAATATATCCTTGTTGCCTTACTCTATTACGAAAATGCACATTGTTCACTTTCTACGTTCCACTCTTGTATTCATGAGGACCAATATGGCAGGACTACCAGTACGTCTCTATACCCTTCTAATAGAACCAACTAACTCCCACAGACTTCAACGCAAAATAGCCCTTCAGCCAGCTCGATCCCTTTCAGGGTTAGCTTCAGTCGCGAACGACAGCATTTGCGCTACATTTTGACCCTGGAACAATCACTTATGGAGGCCGAAAACAAATGCCACCGGTCACAAATTGCTTTCAATACTCTTTACGGACTCTATGAACAGCTCTACAATTCCTACAATGACCTGGTGGCTTCATACCATCAACTTAAATTTACCGGTAGTGCGGCCGAATATTCGGCAGACTCGAATCAAGGGTTTCAAGGCGTTGGTTTAGGTATTGATTGCAACCCGGGGAACACAAATGTAAACAAATGATACTGTACTGAATAATTTAGCTTTAAAATCAAGCCAAGGAGCACAGTTTGGATATGATATAACTAAAGCCGTCGCAGTCTAGTCAACTATTTACTCATAGTAGAACATTTCCGAGTCCAATTTTCAACGTTTATGACTGCATCCTCAGGGCTAGACCTATACCTGATCAGATAGTTCTCTATATCAGCCGCGTAAAATGTTCCTTTGGGAATCTTGCTGGAGAAATCTTGCGCCAATCTTTCCATATACGCCCTGCTGTATGTACCGGTTGTAGAGAAGGCCCACCTATCTTCACCATTCAATTGGCATGGCAAGACTAAACTTGCATAGGTTGTTAAGAAAATGTCTCGAGCAATAGAGCTGGTCACGGAAGCCACAGGTATAATCATATCGACGCATCCATGCCGTAGGAATGGTTGAGGCACTGTCCTCTCTTCGCTCGTTAAGACCAGAATACGGCCCTCCTTCGCATCTAGTCCAACCAATAAATCAACTAGGACTGGGACAAGAGCGTCGTCTAACATCTCGATATTCTGGAGTAACAGTAGACATCTTCGAGGCAGGCTTCGAAATAGTATAGCATAATCACTTTCAGTTAAGTGCTGTGAAGCGACATTTATGGTGTAGATATTTAGACCGACGAGCCCGGATATTGCCAGACATATGTCAATCTTCCCCGACCCTGCCGCTCCCCAAAACAGATAACCACGACGATAAGGAATAGCATGTTCTGCATACCATGTTGCTGCCGAAGGGGATAGAAATGTATTCAAATCTTCTAGCAGTGCATAACGTCGTATCTTTCCAAGCCCAGTTGCAAACATCGAAGGTGGGAGACTAACAGCCGTTTGTTTCCAAGAGACACATTCTGTTCCGGAATGCGATGTTTCTCCGCGGAATATGATAGTGCTATATGCATCATTATGCCTTTCGTAAAACTCGTTATCTGGTTGTACCTTTACACTAGGGAATAAGTTATCAAATAGGATATTCATCTGAAATATCAGAGCAACATTCATCATGTATAGAAGCAGCAGACATAATAATTTAAGTGCCACTCGGATACCGGCAGCAGATAAACCAGCAATCGTTGCCATTTATTAGATGATTGTTTACTCAGCTCGTGGGTAGATAACAAAGAATTATCGTGCAAAGTAGAATGGAAGTAAATGTTGCCCAGGACCTATTTATGCACGCGAAAATAATACAAGGGCTTTAGAAGGTACAAAGTTGAAATTGCACAAACGGTCCAGCGGCTAGTACAGCTGTTTTTTAGAATATGTTTCTATGATATGAACTATATCTCTACCGATGTGAGTTACAGCTAGTCTATTTACGGTTAGTGGCTGTCAGAAGAGGCCAACCATGTTGCAAAATGCTTTCCAAGTTAACTTTATTTGGCACTAGTATATCTCGGGATATTATACCTACCAGAGGTATTCTTCCATTTATCATTAATCTTTGACGAATCTTCTTCCCACCTCCACTGCTATCTTAGATTTAGCCATTGACGCATTCGTGAAGACTCTCCTAAGATAACACGTTGCTGGGATGGCCTTGCACTAATACTACCCGAAGTCAATTCCCCATCCTGTCTCCCACGTTCCCGCCTAGGCGGCCTCCTTTGCTGTGGGTTATTTGCTCTTCTGGGCAGCACCTGTCGTCTAAACGATGGAGCAGGAAAGATAGATGCAGGCCGCAGTCCCGGTCGCGGTCGGCCTGCCACTCCAGCTCTCAGCGATTCACGGTGCCTCCTCAATGGTTGTCTTTCACGGAACATGTTGAGGCGATTTTGCACTTCAGGGCCTACTTGGCTCTGGCGAGGTAATCCTGTTGATGCTGAACTGCTCCGTTCAGCGCCACGGGTACGAGGGGTATAAGGAGGCGGCAGGTCATATATAGGCGGGGGTGAGGGGCTCTCTCCGAGCTGTGCAGCAAGCTCTTCATGGCCTCGACCATCTTCGATCTCCAGCTCATAGAAGGTCCCATCATCAGAGTCTTCTTCGTTTTCCTGTATCAGAGTAGTATAGAACTGTGCAGTGCGGTGGATTTGCGCCTCAAACTCCTGTCGTGTGACACGCCACTCGGTCGGGTAATTATTAATCTGTATACGTTCCCAAATAAAGTCGCGGACATCTTCAAATCTAGCGGTAGACTGATATATATGAACATCTCTTAAAGCTAGCCGAAGCTGTTCACCAGCTTTATACCAGTTAGCGACCTCAATAAACCCCGTCCCAAGTCCGTGGTCCCATTCGAATGACCTCGCATCTATCTCAATATTTAAGGAGTCCAGTATATCGGCAGCTGTAATACGATCCTGATCACTACCCCATAATATGAGACGAAGCTGATTTGTGGCTCTGTGCCAGTAGGGCCTATATACCGATACATCGCGGATGGGGCATGGCCTTGCCAATAGCTCATTGTCCTGGATGAAGACCCCATACGGGCCAGTTTCTGGGTCACGTCGTGTCGGATTACCCGAGGGATCCTGTTTCCTGGTGCGAACACCAACTGGTGGCACCAGATACCTTGGAGGGAGTACAGGCATTTTGGAAACCCGTGGGATGTGTTGCGGTCTCTGGTCTCATCTACTTCGTATATGTTATCTACGTCGGTTCCTCTCGGTATAAATAAACTCTCTTTGCGGTAACTTTGTACAAATGCACAAATGGAACTTTGCAGAAAGTAAATTTCCGTAGGTAAATATATATACTTTATTGCACCCTATGATAACAAGATTTTTTATTCTATCTCTTGTTCCCTTGGTTCAAGCTGCAAGGCCAAAGGACCCAATTCACCGCCATGTCTTCCAGAGCAAAAGGTAAACAAAAGTTACACCGTGTACTAGAAAAAGAACCCTCCATACTCACTGCAGAGTATAATTCGGCGACTCCACTTGTTCATACTATTATCTGGGACCCGAGTCAGGAATCCACTGAGAAAGCTAGCAAAAGATTACGAGGGATAAACGCCCGTATCCGGAAGAATAATGTTGCGGAAGGACTCCCCAGAGATACAGGGATAGTCGACACACAATTCTTTATTGACGCTGGAGATGCTCTTGACGGAGCAATAAGAACTTACGCCTCGACCGGCCAAGTTGACCAATATTTAACAATCAAGGCAACTTTACGCGGTTTTATCAATGAGTCAGGGTATCCTATTGAGTGGAACCTCAGTGATGATTTTTTCAAGGACCGTGCGAAAGATAAGAGGTACATAGATAATCGTCAATTAAGCACGGAACACGCTGAGAGCTCTGGGGAACAGCGAGCCAAGGAACCAGAAGATGGTCAGGAGATCCATCCAGAACACGCTGAGGGCTCGGGAAGACAGCAAGACGACGAGTCTGAAGATGGTCAGGAGATCCATCCAGAACACGCTGAGGGCTCGGGAAGACAGCAAGACGACGAGTCTGAAGATAGTCACGAGGTCTATCCAGATTATGCTGAGAGATCGTGGGAACAACAGGATATTGAATTTGAAGATGAAATCTCTAATATCTCAGATCATGAGATCTATTCCGACTATACGCCTGACGGAGGATATGCGCAAACTCGCGAAGGTCGAAACTCATATCCCGAGAGTGAAACTGATGATGAGGAGCATGTCGATAGTGCCAGTCGTGACAATGCTAGTCAATGGCAACGGAGCTTTATACCTTTACATGATCTTCTTCAAGAGACTGAAGAAGCATATGGGGTGCCCTTTACTGATGGTCAAATTCTAGCATGGCGTGAGAATGGAAACACGGGTTGGTCGGTGATTGTTGGATATGAATGTGATGGTCGGCAAATTGCTCGTCTAGAGGCCGCAAGAAGACGTCGATTCAACAAAAGCCGAAGCACACACATCAAGACTAATTCCAGGGGGCACAAACCTATAGGCAGAAGAGGGAGTCGCAAAATATATAGGTCGTCAGAGGATATTAAAGGGTTCGGTCTCGTGGCATGGAGGGTAGATGATAAATACACAGACGATCCCACCTCTGTTTTACGTCCATCAGAAAAAGCTTGGTACCCTGAGACATATATACAGGTTACTTGGGCGGATGATGTTTGCACCTGGGAGTCTCGTGATAGCCTTCGGTTTGTTTTTTCTGGCAGCCCTTACAAGGTAGATATCCTAATTTATCGAACCGCAATCGCCTTGGAAGGAGACTACCAAGAAGCATTGACCGGCATACGCCCGCATTATCCCGATCGTGGAACCATGCAGAATTTGCACTGGCGGAATACAAACGCTCATGGAGGAGCGCATTGGCTTCATCCTCGAGCACGGAAAGACAGAAGAATCATTAATATACAGGAGGAGAGCCTAAGCGACCTTGAAGATGAAATCGAAGATCGCGAAGAAGAAACCGAGGAAGAATACACCGAAGAGGAAACCGAGGAAGAAAACATCGAGGAAACTGAGGAAGATGACATCGAGGAGGAAGCTGAAGCAGAATACATCGAGGAGCCAACTGAGGACGGTATTGGCGCGAGACTCGAGGTAAATGAAACCAGCGAGCCAGCTAGACGACACTTTCTGCCAACACCACCTACTTCTCGAAGACAGACCCCTCAGTATAAAGGCAGAGAAACCTCTCAGCCTGGACCTTCGCGCAGCCAGTCCAGGCGACCTACAGCTCCCCCAATGGCACCAATACCCGAAATGCCAACACGTGGACAGACCAGTAATTCACGGAGTAGCAGGCCTGCTTTATCAAGTGCAAGCCGAGGTCATAGAGATGAAATGCCACGATCGCGATCAAACCGATCTCCTGCCCATCTGCAAGGGCGTACCTCCCGGGCTCGAAATACAGAACAACAAGGTAGCCAGCATTCCCTTCCTCAGAGAAGGGTAGCTTCCGAACTGTCGTCTCGACAACCAACATCTCGAGCCCCTACTGCAAGGGTTCAAGGGCATGCACCGAGAAGGACTCAGGCCCCTACTCCAAGGGCCCAAGATCAAACACCGAGAAGGACTCAAGCCCCTACTCCAAGGGCCCAAGGTCAAACACCGAGAAGGACTCAAGCCCCTACTCCAAGGGCCCAAGGTCAAA